GCAAGAAACAAATGTCAGCCACGTCTGTGGCCCGACCTCACCTTCCGCTGCGGCGCCAATTGCGTCCAGCGCCGACCCCCCGCCGCGACGGGAACAAGACGATGTCGGCGGCCACGGTGGTTCCTGTTGTCATCTCCATTGAGTTGGCCCCCAAGTCGGTGGCTGGCTCGTCGTGCCACGCGGCAGAGGCCCAGTGGTGGTCACTTGGTGCGTCGTTGGGCCAGTTCCTGACCACGTGCGTGACCAAGGCGTGGTGTGCGCTGCGGTCAGCGGCTACGAGCGTGACCAAGGCGGTGGTCGTGGCCAAGACGATGCTCTGGTCGGTCTATGGACTGGTGCAGCGGATTTACACTTGGGCGATGTCGGCCAACGTCGACACCCCCAGTCAAGGGATTGAAACTGCCTAGCTCCACTTGCGCCATGTGTATATTTCACAATACCTATTTAGTTCACAGTTCTTTATCGTACATATATGTGTGGGGCTACCTGTACCAGCATTCAGCAATGTTCAATGACAGTTAGGTCCGTCAACCGCCCTTTGTAGTTTAAGTTGTGTACTTGCATAATATATCAAAAACGCATATCTTGTCCATCGAAAAACGGTCGTTTCTCGTAAAAAAAGTAATTACATATCGTGATATATATAAATTTATTCGAAGAGGGTGATCTTGTCCAGCGCGACGACGGCAGGCAAGTCGCTGTCCAGTATATGAAGCTTGCTTTCAGCCCACACTGGCGCCGACGGCTAGACCAGCGCCGCCATGAGAAGGAGACTAGTAGTACTAGTAGAAGTAGTCGACACCGACGGTTTGGTCACGGAGGTCAGGATAGCTGTGGCGGCGGCCGAGTCCATCCACGAGCGCGCCGCGTCGGGGCCGCAGACGGCGACCACTTTGTGCAACTTTGCCATCCAGTAGCGACGACAGGTGCAGCACCGTCTCAGCTTCGACGGGAAACAGCAGCTACGACATGAAAACGATTGACCCATTCATCGTGATATATGGAGAAAGTATGATCAAAATCATCCGTTATCAAGCATTGCAAGAAAAGATCGAGGCACCGTACTTTGACTTGGTGCATGATGCGGTAGTACATCGAAAACGCGTCCAGCGTGGCCCTGTGTATATCCGAGTCATCCTCTGATATGGCAACCAACGTATTTTAATGACTGTTTCGTCGTATATATACTGTATATATATGTATATCAATGGTAATCATCGTAGAACACTTGTGTAAGTTAGTGATTGGAATGCTGCTGTCAACAGAAATTATTTACTCACGACTACGTACATAGTAATATTATCCAGTGGAACTATCAATTAACGTTGCTCTATGCCAAGTGCACTAATATACTCAAGTGCATAGCATACTCTTTCATGAGCCTATCTATTTGAGTGTTTAGGGACGTCTGTCTATTGAGGAATCGTCTCCACTGAAATGGACGAGGATTTCAATAATACTAGGTACTAGTAGTACTACTAGTATCCATGTCGCGCTCGTTTGGAAAGTACGTTCTGGTATGTCATGTCGCCTACAGTAATACTATACGAGTATTGCCCTTTTACCCAAAATAAGCCAAATCTATCGATCGATTCTTTATACTCAATGTTGTATGTTGTCGTCTTATAATCACACTAATTTTAAGTCACACACTAATTAACACACATATCAGCTTGTACAAACTAACTACACGATACAAAAGATAGATTAGTAGATACAGTATCTGCGTTTGCCCAACTGGGCCAAATCAAACGTTTGGATTGGCAGAAATTCCCCAGACTGTGATTTGATTGGCTTGGTATTACAAATCCATTCTCTCCAGACATTAGAGGCTCCAGTTTCGACTCGATTGGACAATATATATACCTATTTAGTATCGCACACTTACTCCACACTCTCGTGTGACAGCGAGTATGGAGACATAGGAATTGCATTTTAAATAGTAACTATTTGATAGCTCTAAAACCATGTCGACGTGTTTTTGCTGGCGAGGCGGGTGCGACGGGATCGCAACGCGTCTTCATGGAGGTCAAGCATGTTCAAAGTCGTTTCGAGGAAGCCCGTGAGTTGGATGGTCTTGTCTTGGTGGCGGATTACATGGGGAAACCCTCCCTTTCGTGCGACGACGTTGCCTAGCAGCCGGGCGACCCTACCACGGCAGTATACCAAACGATGTCACAGAATTGTGTATGTGTTTTTGGGTACGTGGAATGAGTTATCACCGTCCATTGCCATCGTAGAACGGATGGATGTAAAACACGAGTGCGGCGAACGCATAGTATGCGCGAACAAGAGGATGGGGCAGCGCCGTGGGGTCGTTCAACGTTGTCACATATTGTCGAAGAGCCAGTTCAATCTCCACCGACGGGAGAAATACTCTGTAGATGCGCTCCGAGGCATACCCCACCGCCGCATCTTCTCGAATCGCCCCTGCATGTGATATATATATATTAATATATATATATTAAAATATACAAATCCAACACCGAGCATGCTTCTCGTACTACTGTACGTACCTCCGTCATGCCCTTGCTCAAAGATCGCTTCATGCAGCGCCGTGATTTGATCAAACGTGAGCATCGCCGACGTGTCGTCCAGGATGGCATTGAGCACCGCTAGTACCCTACTTCGATCGCCCACCCCCACCGGTGACCTCCTATTTATCCCGAAACAGAGTGTTGGTTGTGTAGATGAGAGTTGCTTTGTTGTTTTGAGGTATTGTCAACGTATTCGATTCGAAATTGGAGTGCGATGCTCATAATCGAATATGACCAGAATGACCAAATACATCGGCAGACAATCGATATAAACGACCAATCAAAACGCAGAACGCGAATCAAGTAGCCAATCAAATTATCCAGTCTTCAACAATACAATACATCGAATTCGTGTGTGGCTTTATTTAGTGTGACGACACTGCATAATTTTACATACAAAAGTCAGTACAAAGAATGGATCGATATATCGATAGATATATGAAAGACAAGATCGATTGATAGATTCGTACCGGAATAACGTCTGGTTGTCGTGGGCGTTGCCGACAGTGTCGTAAACGTCGCTCGTTGTCCACTTGGCACTTCGAAACGAGTCTTGGGAGGGCGTACTTGCCAGCTTATCCTTGCCGCGGAACCGGTCCCACTCATTGGCTAACGTGCAGGGCAACTACATCCCCATATAATATTGTCCAGATATTCGAAATTCGAGTGAGTTGCGGTGCTCGTAATCGAGTTTGAGCAGAAAAAACCAAATACATCGGCAGACTATCGATATATCGACCAATCAAAACCCAGAGCACGAATCAAGTAGCCAATCAACTTATCCACTCTTCGATGACCAAGGCAACATCGAATTAGTATGTGAATTCAATTAGTGTGATACTCGACGATCTGTACATACAAAAGTCAGTACAAAGAATCGATATATCGACACAATCAGCACAAAAGTCAACCAAATTTTGAGTAATGAAAGACAATACTTATTGTATTCACAAGAATCGATGCGAATCCAGGTACAGGATACCATCATCAACGTCAAATTAGTGTGTGTGACTTCAATTAGTGTGATACCACCAATCACTGCAGGACACCTGTTTACATACAAAATGCAGGACAAAGAAGTTGATCTAGAGAGTCAGGTCACATTTTTTGGCTAAAAGGACAAAGTAACACGGTCCATCCATGTTAAACCAGGATCGAGAGCCAAATACAAACCTCTTGGAACTCGCGCCACACTGGAGATCGAAGGCGGGTAAATATCGACGACTGGGGAGTTCCTACCTCGTTCAAACAAACTCCAAATGTAAACACAAGGGGGAAGGGTATATGTTGTGTACTGTACGTACGTGGTGGAGGCGACGGGGCTACAGACGGGCGAGGTAACCCTGGATGTATATGCCCTATAAACACATCGTCACATATGTTCATCAGTACACTGCCTGCGCCCCTGGCTATGGATATTGAGATCTACACCTGGAACTTTGAACTTGCAAAGCACACATTCCACCACCACGGGGGTCGGGTGGATGCCTAGCGGTTCTACCACCTCGGCCGACTCTGTCGTTTGTGTTGTTGTTGTTGGGATCCCCTCCTAGTAAAGGCAGTGTCAGTTGGTTCGTTCATCGTAGTTCGTAGATGGGTCACTACCTCCATGTCATCGCTGCTGCTGCTATTGCTACCATCTAAACCGATGGGCTGGAGATTCGCCACATACTGGCGCAACTCGTCTTGAAACAAGTGGCTTTTCGAGTAGACCGAGCCTTCCGTGGGGCTTACGGTCGTCAGATACGCCAACACATACACGACGACGTGCACCAAGTGCAGCTACATATGTACGTACATTTGAGTCGACACGGAGGTTGCAAATGCGATTTGTTACCTTGGTCGAGATCGAGTCTACCACGTCGCATGGCTCCAGGTCTAGCAAGGTGGGACCCACAACGTCATCGAAAAATCCTCGCTTCAACAGCGCCACCAACGCCCCAAACAAATCGATCGTGGCCTATGATATATCCAAATATATTTGATTGTTAGTATTAATAGTATTGTATATATATCCAAGAACACGTGATTGTGGTTCGGATTAGTAGTATTGAATTTGTTGTATGAGCAATCGCATGCTATATCCAATAGTAGGATGGTGATTTTATCAGCAATTGTATTCTATAACCAAGGATATTTGATTAATTGGTTAGCAGTCGTACTATATATAATAAATGTATGAACATCAATATCCAAGAAAGTGTGTTGGGAGCAATAGTATGAATGTATTAGCCATGGTATTTCCAAATATATAACCACGAGTATTCATCGTAGGATTTTGTTTTGTATATGACCAATATCCAAAAATATTTGATTGTTTGCCGTACAGTAGTAACACTAGTATGATATATATATATATATTGTGTGGGCAATTCGAAGTATTATGATAGAACGTACCAAGTGGTCTTCGCTGCTCATGGACGTGGCCAGCTTCATGGCATAATCAAACAAGTGCCACGATATACACAACGACACCACGTCGTGCACCGCCGCTACAGATATCCCAACAGGAATATATATTACCACTCTGAATATGTAACTAGTTAGTTATGACATTTCATCACGCTAACTGGTTTTGTTGGGCAGTACATAGTAATGTCGAGTCGATTCGAAATCGCTCACAGAGCTCGACCATTGACCAATCATAATCCCCCAAACACGAATCAAGTAGCCAATCCAAAAAATCCATTCAAATGAGTCTATCACACAACGTAGATCATCCCAACTGGACGAAATATATATCATACAATCAAAAATTCAGGACCACACAACATTCAATCGAATTAGCACAAAAGTCCACATTTGGGCGGCTCAATCAATATACCCTGCAATTACTCCCCAACATGTTGATCAATGTATACCGTCGTCTGGGGCCACAGTGTCGACCGCTGTGAGCTCGCCTTGGCCTGTGCACGCATGCTCCAGCGCTTGGCAGTACTGGAACCGCGACATCGTCGCTGTGGACTCCTATAAATCGAATTCATATATTGAAATCAAAATATTATCATAGTATAAAAAATAATACTATGGACGATTATGTCTGCTCCGTTGTGGACAACAATTTGCCTCGATCGACGTACATGACGCAACACACACAACAACACAACGGCCTTGACCAGTCGCTGAATACGATGCACTTCGTCAGGGTCTTCAGGTAGGGCCTACGTTGAAATTCGATATATATATATACATGGGTGGGGTATAATAATATTTTGCTTTACCTCGGTGGCGTACCATACCAACACGGCTACAACCGACAGCGTGTGCACCATGGGCACCGCCACGACCGCTTTCAAGCCGGCTTTCCGAGCATGTGGCACGAAGAAGAACTTGCTTTGACTCGTTGTATGCAAACTAGCGACCCATTCCGGCTGCTGGCCACTGCGTACACCAATAATACACAAACAACGTGATATATATATATATATATATATAATATATACATCAAGATCAAACTCTCTAGATAGAACACAATTTTTATATATTTTTGTTCACCTGTACACACGCCCTGCCAGGTCGTGTCCTGGATCGAGCAGCATCATCCCCCTCGCTTTGCGAAACTGAGCCAACGGTTGCAACGGTCTACTTTAACATATGAATTGTATAGTCCATAGGCAAAAAACAACATTAATATGTTAGATCTATAGTAGTAGATCTAGTAGTATTGGATGCATGATCCGTGAATATAATATATATATATACATATATTTGACAAGAGGAGAGGTATACGTACAACGTGTCGTTGTATGTGTGACGAAACCATACATTGTGCAGCACCAATGCACATCCGTTGGTGTTTTCGTCTTTTATCGGGACAAACACTTCGCCCACTTGCCATTTATGTTGCTTTCACGTGGAATAATCATAATAATATTAATCAACGATCACACATGCAAGGCAAGCTGCTGTACCCGACACACACATCGTAAAATGTGCTCGAGCGCCGTGTTGAGCAGAGTCGAGTCCAGTTGATGCGGGGATTTCGCCAAGCTGTTGTCGTCTAGCCCGTGTTCCGTCGCGTGGTGGTCGCGCAGGTACCTACAAAAAAGTAGATTCGTGACTCTTGTTAGGAAATTTAAAACTAGCAACACCATGGAATTTCGGTCGAAATAGGGAACAAGTCCACATCAAGAGGTCTAATTTTTATAAATCTAAAGGACTAGGGTATTCATTTAAATTGGTGTATCTTTTTTTTTAATATAAATGCGATGGAATACAATTGCTATGGGTTGTACACAAGCCTGAACCATAAATTAGATCATATGGACATATGTACGTACGTGGCCACGTCTGTGTGTGCAAAATGCATAGCTTCCGAGAGGGGCGAGTTTCCCCAGCGATCGAGCAAGTTGACATTGGCCCCCACTTGGACGAGAAACTGAACGATGGACGTCCGGCCTTCGCTAGCCGCCACATGCAAGAGGGACCTACACGGCGCCATCATCAAACGAAATTGAATGCTTGCAAATACAAGGTATATATATATACAGGTTGTACGAAATAGATAGATAACTTCTTTTACTTGGGACAGATTCGAATATTATAAGGTGTGTGTTGATTGTAGCGGTATTGTAAAAAAGGAAACCATGATATATTGATATAGGAAACAATGATATATTGAGATTGGAAATCATGATATATTATTAATATTAGAAACCATGATATATTGATATAGGAGACCATGATATATTATTAATATTGGAAACCATGATATATTGATATAGGAGACCATAATATATTATTAATATTGGAAACCATGATATATTGATATAGGAAACCATGATATATTGAGATTGGAAACCATTGTATATTGAGATTGTGCGTTTCGCCCACATTTGCCCACTACTTTGGGGGGATTGTTAAAATCACGTTTAAGTCAAGCAAAGCCGTTTGATTGGATAAAAATCGAATAAACGTTGAAATATACTATACAGTGTATGATTGACAAAAACGCATGAATCTTCACAAAATAAACACCCCTTAAATTTAAATATATATCATCTTTCGCAGGTCTGACGATCGTTGGCAGTTGATTCAACCAGCCGCCAGGCGAAATGATGAGTAAAACATATATTGTGGTATATTCGGTATGAATTTCCAGACCCCGTCGAATCGAATCACGAATCGATGCTATTGGCCAATCCAATTTTGAGTGGATTTGATTGGCTCAAAAGGACAAGTAGAGTCAGCCAATCAGAACTCCAGAGTGATTCAATATTGATTAGACAAACTACACAAAGTTTGGAAGTTTATAAATCACAATAAGACTTGAACAAGAATACAAAATGGTTTCATTGTGAAATCAATGGAGAGAATGGTTGAAAGCAAGAAATATATATACATATATCGCGATATATAGGGATTTATAAAGACATACCTGGCGTCGTAATCTTGGACGTCGGGGTGGACGAGTCGTGGTACCAGCTGCTGCAGTCGCGCGAGGTCATCGTGCTGGATGGCGGCGAACGCGTGGGGCACGTCCAACGTGATGGGCACTTGTGGCAACGACGACGCAGTGTATACATGTCGACGGAAGAGACTCAGCACGTTGGACGCGTTCATTTCCACAGCGATCGACATGGGCGTGCGGCCTTGCTCGTCGGCGACGTCCACGGTCGCCCCGGCAGACAGCAACAGTTCAATCGCGTTCATTTGCTCCTTCTCGACAGCGACATGCAGCGCCGTACGACCCGCGCCGTCAACCGCATTCAACGCAAGACCATCCAGCCACGCACGCTTCAATGTGTCCGTGTCCCCTGTCGCAATCTATACATATCAAGAGGTGAGTGAATGAAGGAGTGACAACAGGTTAGGACGACATACTGCGGCAAACACTTGGTGGACTTCCCCCAACACGTTCTTGGGTCGGTTTGCATCAAGTGCATCAAGTGCATCGTTGTGGCTTCCAACTCGTCGATATGGCGCCGTTGATGTGTCGGCGAAAAGACTTGCACGAATATGGGTCGACATCAACGACGCCACCACGGCGTCCTTTGCGCAGTCGAGAGGTGTTACACCCCATCGATCTTTGGCATGACAGTTGGCGCCCGCTTGAATCAAGAGCTTGACTATTTCGGCATTCCCATCGCTCGCAGCGATGTGCAATGGCGTCCTGTTTACGTACGTAATGTTAACACACTCTACGGCCGTGAACGATCATCCTATCGTTCCTACCGTCGATCGTAGTCTGCGAGGTTCACATCCACTCCTTCTGTCAGAAGTCGACGAAGCATGTCTACATTGCCTGTCCCCGCAGCCCAGCACAGCGCCGTCGTATCACGAAGCTTTGACGGGAGCTCGTCCATGGTCTTTCTTTTGAAAATGAGGATCTGCAACAACTCCGTCCATCCGGATAATTAATTGTACAAGTCTCCATTACTGTACCGTATACTGTGAATCGACCTTCCCATTCATCCGGACAATTGTACAAGTGTACCGTAAACTGAAACGACCTCGGATTGGTCTATTAACTTTGTATAATGACAAATAAAACCAACTTATTTCATATATGGTCATTCTTATTGGCTGATATACATGGAATAAAATCCATCATAGCGATAATTCCAAGGTGTGGGGTGAACAACATGGTTAAAGTGCTGCTCAGTGGCGACGTCGGCGGCAACTGGGACGCTCTGCATGCGCGCGTTGAGAAGCTGCATACGTCGGCGCATGGTCCCTTCGATGTGGTGCTATGTGCAGGTTTCTGCGATGTCTCTGCCAATGCCATTCGCGCGTGGCCACTGCCAGTCTACGTATTGGGAGGACTTGGTGATCAACCCAAGAACACGTCGACCAACTTGCACGTCGTGTCTGAAAACAGCGTGCATACGATCTCTGGGTTGCATGTGGCATTTCTGGCGGACCCCGAGGCTGTTCAGAGCTTTCGCAGCGCGCTGACCGCTCAACCCGTCGACTTGTTGATCACGACCGACTACCCTCAAGGGTACAAACCTCACAATCTCCGTTCGCGACATATGATGATGGATCCATGGCATGTAGATTCGACCAGTTGGTATCTGTGGAGCAAATCCCGTCGTCCCTCCAACGCGTTGGCCTCCAGGTATCGTCGACACGTGTCCACTCCTTGACCCTGTCGCATAGAGCATTGCCGAAGCCGTGGAAATGGCCGTGCCGCGCTACCACATCGCAGCCACGCATGGATTATTTTACCAGCGCCTGCCGTACGTGACGACCCACGGCGCCACGCGGCGGGTCACGCGCTTCATTGGGCTAGGCCAAGTGGGGGCCTCCCCCGACAAGGACAAAAAGTGGATGCACGCTCTCAACCTTGACGTACTTCGCTACCGTTCGTTTCGACTCTAAGCACTCGACTTAGGTCTTTTCTTCGTCTGCTTCTGTGGAGATCCCGGCGGGTACGACCCAGAGCCCATTTGAAGCCACCAAGCGACAGCGGCAAGACTCGACTGCTTTCCAACCGCGGAAGAGGCCTGGACTGTCGGCGGAAAAGGCCCAGCAATTGATGCAGCAAAGCAGCCAAGGGTCTAAACAGCATTCGTTCTACGACCACACACAGCACGCGCGACTGCCGAATCGACAAGAATGCTGGTTCTGTCTGTCGACACCCACCGTGGAAATGCACCTGATTGTCAGGTATATATATATATATATTATTTATTTTTTTGGTCAAAATATGGACTTTTTTCTATGATTATTTTCCAAATCGATCGATCGAGTTTTTTAGTCCCCCTATATATATATTTGTCAGCCAAGATGTGGACTTGTATGTTGACTTTCCAAATCTATCGACTGGGTTATTATTATACCTATATATACTTGTAAGCCAATGTATGGACTTGTATGGTGATTTTCCAAATCTATCGATCGACCTATTTTTATTATATGTATATATATATACTTGTCAGCCAATATGTGGACTTGTATATGGTGATTATCCAACTCTATCGATTGTTTTTAGTAGTCCTGACTTTTGTATGCAATGCCTTGTTAAGATCACACGAATTTGAGTCATACACCACTTCCATTTATGGGTGTGATAAATGGGCAAATCCTTGTATCGATCAATACTTTTGAGCGAAATCTCAATGTACGTTGCGTGATGGCAGTATTGGCAACGAAGCGTACTTGGCCATCCCAAAGGGCCCCATCGTCCCCGACCATGCGCTGATCGTACCTATTCAACACACTGCATCCATGACAACCATCAGCGCCGCCGCTAGAGCCGAAGTGAACCAGTTCAAAGCCGCCTTGACAGCGTGCGTCTATAATTAATATTTCTGGAAATCTATAATTAATATTTCTGGAAACCCCCTTCACTACTGTGAGATTGTATGCGACATGGATTTTGAGTAGATTTTACGCGTCCCAGGGCAAGGCTATGGTCGTGCTGGACCGAAATGTGACGACGTTGGGTGCAGCCCATGGCCACTTGCAAGTGATTCCAGTGCCCGAGGCCTTAGGTATGCCAATCCTCCTCTTTCGATCATATTGTGGTTGGTATTCTATTTGGTATTTTATTTTTATTTTATCTCAGTATTTTGTATTTTGATACTATATACTAAATGATTGGTTTCATACAAAAATATTTTATATTTTTATAAAATTGTCCTTTCAGCCAAACAATTTTTGGATTTGTGTGCTGATTCGCCAAATCCGTCGAATGCTTTTTGTACAGGATTTCGCGTCCAGTGTCACACTAATAATATATAAGAATCACACAGTAATTCGAGAATTTGATTTGGACCACTTCATTCGTATTGTCTTTGGTGCTGGTCATTCGATTGAGCACTCCAAGTCTTTCAAATGTCCGAATCCACAATATAACTAACTGGTTGGTACATATGTGTTTAGCGCCGTCGGTAGTGGAAGCGTTTCATAACGAAGGAACCAAGTACAAAGTGGAATTTACTCCGTTGCCAGACGGGGCCGAGATTGAAGCGTCCGAGTATTTGCTGGTGGAGTGCCCTAGTCCACCCACGCGGCTGCTGCACACAGTACACGGCAAGCACTACATGCAGTTTGGTCGAGATGCCGTCGCGGCACTACTCAACATGCCACGTCGAGGCAACTGGAAGGTATGTACATTAGATGGACATGACTTTCTCAATAATGTAGCTCATGATATTACGTGGCAGTATTGCGTGGTCCCGAAAGACGAAGAGGAGAAGATGACTCGAGATTTCAAGAACGCGTTTGCCCCGTTTGATTTTACGCTAGCATTGGAGTAATAACTCACCAACAAAAATGAACTCTCAAGGGCTGCTTTATCTATTAACGTTAGGATATATAATGATGGCAGGCTCTTGTTTACACTTAGTTTGATGCGGCAGGACGTACATACATGCATCCTACTACTAGTATGTAGTAGTACTTCTTGGCACCTACCTGACCAGTGAACCATCGCGTTTACAAGTGTCAACAGTATTATACTAACTTACAGTTATAGTACATGATTGGAAGGGTTAGCTACTAACTACTACCCACAACGACATTATGCTGGTTTCCCATTGCGTTTTACTAGCCAACGTTATGGCCAAGCTAGAAACCCTCTGTAAATTACCGGTCAATGTCCATCATTTAGCGGGTAGGGTACAGTATTACTGTAAAAAGGGAAAGAAAGTCCCGTTGATGGATTGTGCAGTTTCGTCTATTTATAACTTATCCCACTCGCGAGTTTTTGGTTTTCGTTGGCGTGTCTGTCGTCTACCGACTAGAGCCCATGCCACCGGCTACGGGACAGCGCACGACCTCTCTCTCATCCATCCTCGTGTCAGTGTTCGCCGTGTGTCTGCTTTGTCAAGCGGTGCTATTCCGCAACATCTTCTCGGCGGTCGCCGACTTGCAACACGACGGCGACCATCGTGCCCATCTCCGCTCCGTGGCTGCTGCTGCCACCTCGTCCGATCTTGTTGAGGCTGGGATCGACAATTCGACATCACATTCAACCCGTGCGTCCAGCCAAAACACGACCGAGCCGACAGGTCCTTCTGGTTCCGCAAGCAAGAGCATCGACCCCCTCCTTCCCTTCAATTCCAACGCATCAGTATCTCTTGCATCCGTGGTTGAACCCACCACGACCTCGAATTACGCGCCACTGTCATCCGCCGCCGCATCGCCATCCTCCTCTTTGCATCCGTGGACGGTGGCCGATGTCTCGTTCGACCGCGTGATGAACGCAGATACAAGGGGGGTGTTTGTGTCCAAATTCGCGTCGGCACCCCGTGGTATCGTCATGTGCATGCACACTCGGATGGTTCCCATGGGTGTGTCGTTGATCCAGGAACTTCGGGCGCTGGGGAACATCGACCCCGTCCAAGTGTTTTACTGCCTCCCCAACGAACTCTCGTCGACGGATGTGACGCTCTTGACAGGCCTCGGCAACGTTGAAGTCGTAGACTTGTGCTCCGTACTGGTAACGTCGCGCATCTTTGCAGACCATGGCGTGGCCAGCCGGTTTCAAAACTTTTGGCTCAAGCCACTGGCCCTGGTGTTTTCGCCGTTTCCAAACGTCCTCCTGGTCGACGTGGACGCGATCTTCTTGCACGACCCAGCTTTGCTCTGGACATCCCCCCCTGTGGTCGACACAGGCACCTTGTTCTTCCACGATCGGGTCCTCGACTTTAGCCAATTCCTCAACCAAGATGTTGGCCCAGACGACGGCCAAACGTTCATTCAAGTGTTCTTCGACACGTTTCCGTACGCTGCCGTCAACTTGACGCGACCGGCTGCCATCTCCGACACCATGCGGCGGTCCATGGTCTGGAACAAGCACACGGCGCATGAGCAGGACTCGTCGGTCGTCCTCATCGACAAGACCCGCGCGGGGCCCCACGTGCTTGAGACCCTGTGGTATCTCGTCACAGTCAAGCGATTTCAAGACCAAATCACGTTTTCCTGGTACAACAAAATCCAGCCGCCGTGTTGTTGTTGGTGTACTTGTCCACGTTTTGACTGTGGGCCTTGTAGGGGCGACAAGGAAGCGTTTTGGCTCGCGTTTGAGCTCGCCGGTATCCCGTATGCGTTTTCGCCGTGGAACTGCGGGGTCGTGTCGCTCCCAGACGACGCGGCTCTGCACCCCACGACGCTGTGTGGCAGTTTGGCCCAGTACTGGCCCGACCTAAACAAGAACGATGTGTTCTTTGTCAATGGCAACGCCGTCGTGAACGTGTATCGCCTCGGAGACGGGCGCCACACGGACTGGGCGGCGCGGGCGGCCTCCCTCGTGGCCGCGATCCCGAAGCTCGTGACGCCACGTCATACGCGGCACCCCACAAGTCAAAACCGCCAGGGGCTGGATCAAACGTGTTTGCTTGGCGAAGGCGCGACCGACATAGCCCCTGCGTTCCAGGACGTAGCCGAACGGCGCATTCGACGGGGTCAGGCTGTGGCCGAAGCCATGACGTGGGACTAGTACAATTTAACTTAGGAGGTGTAGTTTCACATGGTAGTACTATACATATATCGAGTGCATACTAGTTAGTATATTGGGCTGGTCGTAACATTACTTGGGGGAGGGCCAGCTTCACACTTGAAGCTGACCCCCTTGGCCTTCAACCGGTCTTTTATGCTAAAGAGGAGGGATAGTATAACATGGTAGTACTAGTATTACTTACTATACATAGATAGAGAATATATTGGGTTGGTGGTGCTTCCGGGGGGGTCTATTTCACACTGTCAATCCTTCGACAAAGATTGAAAGTAGATCGCTCGGGTATAAGAATAACGCGACCTGTACGAAGAGTGGGGTTACTTTCCATGCCCCGCACATTGAATACTACAGGTATGTCCATGCCCCATATATTATTGCGCGAGACACCCAAGATTCATGTGGCTCGAGGCTAAGAATAGCTCAGCATGCAGTACACTGTTTTGGACAAGTGATAATAGCAACCCCCCGACGATCCATGGAGGTGCCATTGGAGGCCATCGTCCTGTGCGACGCCGACGCGCCCCCCATCCTCGTACCTTGTAGGAGACATGCCATAGTCGATCGAGCCAAAATCTACCTCACTCAAGTATATATACCATCTACCATCCATCGTTGACCCCCAAACATGGCAGTCTCAACGATCTGTTTTAGATTGAGGATCGAGCAGCAAAGAATGATTCCATGTGGGTCAACACCGTCCACGACTTGGGCCAACTGCACACCCTCAAGCTCGTACGTCAAAGATACTGTAACATGACTCTAAAATGCAATGATGGGTAGCTCTATCGAAGGCAGCGCAGGTTGGAAAACTACATGTTTGGTCTCGCGTGCTGCAGCCTACTTGCCGAAGCTGCAGCCATCCACGTACACAAACGTCGACCAACAGGACTCAATGTCTCATCCTACCCCATTGTAGCTGTACTGGAACTTGCCAAGTGCCATGCTCGCGATTGAAGTCAGCAAGGCGATTGTCACAGTGACCACCGTTGCCATCCTATACCTCCTCTTCTTTCGATACGGTAACCCTTCCTTCTCTTGTATCTTGTATTATATATATATATATTCCCATCACTCGAACTGATATTTCTATCGCCGCTCCACGGCAGAATTGGCGGCTTGCATCCAAGTGGCTTCGTACGGCCTCCCCCCTGGGTCCAGATTTTATCACACGACGCTACTACGGTGCTTTCTCGTTCCTCAATACTGTATAATCATAATCCTAACAATAATGATATTGACAGAGACTTTTGCCTTGAATGTTGCCTCCTACTGCTTCATATCCCCCCGGGCCTGAGCACGTATACCTTGCACTCGGTTCTATATGTTTACGTGGACCCTCTAGTACGTACATGTACAATTCCATGATGACCAACGCTCTCGTAACCATTCACTTTGACCAGTCAATTAAACCCGGGGCGTCAGTCCCCGTTTGTCCAACCAATGTACTGTACGCCACGTATAATTGCTACACCCGCGCCACGTACAGCGCCTACCAATTCGGTATATCGCTCTGCATACATTCGGGCTATTATTTTTCCATGTCTAATATATATATATATATATATATTTCTTTTCCAAGGCATCATCGTCGCGCCACGCATCTACCTCATTGGCCGGTACATTCGCAACGTGTTTGGGTTCAACACGAATGAAGCCAAACTCATCGGTAACATCGACACGTCAAGACCATATATATATATGTATATCTCTTCAGACTTTGACCATAAGACCAGGATCGCTGCAAAACGTGGACGCGACGTCAGCGTGGTTTGTGCGCAAGTTTCTGTTTCGGTTTTATCCGGCGACGTTTTGCGTGTTCATTTTCGTGTCCGTGGGGGCCGCCACGGCATGGGCAGTCGATCAGACTGAGCACTCCATGGCCAACGCCGACCTCGCCGAGTATGTCGACGCGCTCTGGCTGGTCGTCGTCACCATCGTACATACTGCGATACAAGGACACTTAGGATGTTCTTCAAACGAGGTGTTGGGTCTAGGTGACGGTGGGTTACGGGGACTGCGTCGTCGTGGGGTTCCCCGGGCGATTGTGTGTCGTGCTCGGGGGGGTCGTGGGGGGCGCCGCCATCTGCTCCATGTGCAGAGTGGTGGTCGTGGGGGCGTTGACCATCACTCCCAACGAACGCGACGTGATCGACATTATCACAGAGCGCACGCAAACGACCGAAAGGCGATCGGTGGCCGTTCGGTTGATTCAGGTACATTATACTCATATATATCGTAGATTCGGTACGAATTTCCGGATTCCTCAACCTCCCGCGATATTTGATTGGTTACTCTGATTTTTGTTATCTCTGATTGGCTAAAATCTCTCTCAATTTTTCGTATACTTTCTGCTGGCCAATCAAATGTCGCGCAGAATTGGGAAAATTCGCAATATCGTTCGTTTACAATAAGGTCAAGCGAAAAGTGGTCATATCTTCTGTAGGCAGAATGGAGACGATACAAAGCCATGACAGTGGGGCCACCGACTGACGGGTTACCTAGCCGTCGGGACGGCGTGGCGTTCACTGTGCACAAGGCCAACGTGCTCAAATTCAAGTAAGTACACCCTTATATAAATATATAGTTGTTGATATCCCATGGAAGAGTTATGGCGAGCGCGAGAACTATGCGGCGCCAGCACCAGCAGCGCCATCACAGCTTGGATGCGATTTTGCATCGGTGGAAGCTCAAAGCCGAGGCAGCCCGATGCGACGACGTCGCGTCCACCAATGCAACCACCTCATGCGACGACGTGGTGGCCAAGTTGCGGCGGCTGGTGTTGGCCTGTTCCGTAAACGAACTTGCAACTCAATGACCCGATTGACATTCCACACATATGATGGCTCCATCTTTGTTTGCACTTCGACACCTACATATATATATCGCGACATGCAGTCGCAGTTAGTGGTCACAATTGGGGGGTACGTAGGTGCAGTACATACACGGTGCACACCCAATCTGACGACGAAAGGGTGTAATTAACCGGAAACACTCGACGTGCATGGCTCGTCCACGGGGGCTTTGAGGGGTCGTAGACTTGCGCGTACAATAAACGATACGTCCGATCGTCCATGGCCCGAACGGCCACGGGGCTGTTGTTGTTATTGGCAGGTTGGTCGAGGCTTTGGAGGCCTGGGTAGATGTGTATATGTCGTTAAAGCCAGGGAGTAGAAACACACATATTGTACCGTGCAGTAACGCCGCCACCGCCCGGGGCACGTTGTCTGGACATGTCAAGTACACGACGGCGTCGCCGCGCGGGCGCTTGGTGCGCGGACACATCAACACGTCGATGCGCGGGTACAGTGTCGCAGAGTCTATCTACTCGGAGCACCATTCGTCAGCTTAACTAAACCATTTCCAACTACAGAGTAGGAAACCAACGTACTTGGACGCCAAACGGGCGACAGAGACGGGCCAACGTGGCTTCTGTGACACGGGGCGATGTGGGGAGATAGGACAGGTACAAGCTTCGAGCGACCGTGGCGGAATCGACTACGATGCTGGAAAGGTCCATGACCAGGGGCGGATGGACGGTTAAGGCTGTAGTAGTAGTAGTAGTAGTAGTAGTACTAGCAACAGAAGGAGGCGGAACCGATGGGAGGTGGTTGGCGGGTACTACATGTCGTTCGTGTGAAGGAAGGAGGGCGGTCTTTGGGCCCCATCGACTCACTTCCTTGCGACGACGTTTCAGAGGCGGTTGGGATAAATCTGACGTCGGACTCACAGAGTGCCGGAGGGTGTCGAGGCTCGATGTACTCGACCGACGACTCAGGGCCGGGGGGCAAGATGGTGAAGATGGTGAAGATGGTGACGCAGGGATGGTCGTTGTGAGGAGGCTGGACGTGCTGCTGCGACGTGGTAGGCGTGGCGTGTGTGACGTGGTGCGTTCTGGGGACGCGGGGGTCTTGTCTGGTCGGGGCTTTTTTGGAATCGCCCATGTGTCTGTGACAACGTGTGGCGGGGGCTTTCGATGGTGGCGATGTTTGGGCTGATGGGGAAGTGGCGACTCGGACTTGTCAGGCGGCGGTGGCTCGTCACACGGCTTGTTGCTTGACAAAGCAGCGCACGCGTCAGGCATGCCTTCCTCTTGACATGTTAACTGGTCTGCTACGACTAAACTTGGCGGCGTCCTTTCAACGTCGTCACAGGGTTTCACCGTGTCACAGATCTGTGACAACGTGTGGACGGCCGCGTCGTGATCATGACGAGTGGCTTCGATGGATTGCTCGTTGTTCGATGCTGCCGATGGCAACAATACTGTGCTCGTGGAGATTTGAACCGCAGGACATGTCGACGAGTGAGAAACCACCGCGCTGTCGGGAAGTAGTTGGATGGCCTCGCTTGCTTTGGCCATGGAAGGAATGGACGGCTCGGACGAAGATAGAGGTCGGGTACTGGTTGGTGGTGTGGTGTCGCTCCAGCATGCCACCTCATAGACTGCCGGTTCGACTTTGATGAGGACGTGGTCAGTATGAAAGTGCTGCACTTGCTGCTGGCGGGACACGACGGGGTCGTTCGTTGTGGATGCGTTGGCATATTCGGTTGGTTCGGATGACGTTGGATTCTCGTCGGGAATTGGCTTAGATGGAGGCATGTCATGGTTCAAAGGTGTGTGGGATGGCGATGCGACAGCTGGATGACCCAGGACGTGGTAAATGTGCGACATCGTTCGATCCACTTCGGAGGTTGAGCCATTTGGGCACAACAAGGGTGGTGGTCGTGGTGGCAAGTTGTCCATGGTGATGTCCCTGAAGCTATGGCGAAGGAGCAACGCATGCAAGCTGTCCCACACATGACGGTCGTAATCCAAGACGGACATCGCGGCCCAGTCCACCGGTTGAATCGACGACTTCAAGCGCGTCATCAACCTGTCCATGCGGTCGAAATGAAGCGATAAGATGCGATGCTGGTCGATTTGGTCATGGTCGTCGTGGGAAAACGCCGTGAGGATGACGCGGAGGACGTCGATCGCGGTCATGGTGGCACTCTCGAAGCGGTCTTGAAGGTACATGTACATACGATAGGGACATTCAATGGATTGCACGGCGACTTGCAATGGTTGGGAGAGGAACGAGAGAAGGTACATGCGTGCCTGGGCCTGGAATTTCGCCATGAACAATCCGTGGATCTCGCGGAACTTGAGCTGGCGGAGGGCTGCGAGGCGGAGGTCGTCATTGAGCTTCCTGTCTTCCAACGGCATGCCATTCGTTGGCATCCCAGGCTTCTCTTGTCGCCGTAAGGTTTCGACATCCATGGCAACGTCCACAGCGGCCATGGTTTGCGTGAGTACACGGGGATCGTCAAAGGAAGGCGAGGTGTAGTATGACATCCATCCATGAGCGGTTGCCGCCATGGAAAAGGCATGTTTCCATGTGGGGAAATTGTTGTCATGTAAGAGGACTACTGGGCTGCCTTGCATGGTCGTGTCACTGCAACCGCCGACACCGCCCGATGGCGCCATCATCCGAGAATTGTGCTCGCACGCCATTGGGCGGTCCACCACAACCGGAAAAACGTAAAAGACGCCGTTTTGACCAGGGTAGGTTTAACTCTTCGAGCCCGGGGTTTCGGGGTTCCACATATAATGTTACCGGGGCCGGCCACCATCTAATGTACCAGGTATATTAGTATGCTTCAGTGTCCAAGATACAATAGCCACTGCTCCATATAAGCAGCAGGTGGCTACCGGTAATGGTCAAATTATGTGAGTACTATCTAGTAAAGTACAGTAGGACTGCAGTGTCGATCTTATTGTCCGGATACGATGTATCCGGACATCTGGTTGTCACCTCCACGAGTTGCAGTATACTAGTACTTACCAACCCACGATTTGGTGTTAACAGTAAGCGAGCGCATGTCCGGATAAGATTTATCCGGGAAATGAGCCCACCTTGAGAAATTCCCAATGAATACTCGTAACACATCAGACAGACTACAGTAGTATTCCCAAAATCCAATTTTCACACTTGTCCACAGACCCAGACCAAGCTACGTCCGTATCTGCAGGTCCGCGGACTTGACGTCCCGTGGAAATCATTTGGAGTATCCAGGCGTACTTAACACGAACTCATTATTTGGTCATCCATACAAATACCAAGTAAAAAAGTACACTTCGTCGTAGAACAGACCACGTTGGGTAATGTAAAGTAGCAGCTGCGGCATGGCCTATTTATTGTAAATATCTTCCGTTTTTCCCAACAAGAGGAATCGATAGGACATTCGGTGAGACACACGATTGGGGCTTCCTCCTTACTCCCGCCTGCACAAAATTATACACACGACCACCGCTACGCTACGATGCGCGCAATTTTGAGGGGGATTCTTTGTAGTACTATTGTACTATAAACAGGCAGGCCAGCGGAGAATGTACAAATTTTGGTCATACTATGATTTTCAAACTTCGTCCACAGAGCTCAGTAAGCCACAGAGATTTCGGAACGCGTCCTTGACTATTCGGCCATCTTCACATGCCATTTGCACGCTTTCGGAGGTCGGAACAACCGCGAAAACTTGCATGGCGCATGGGCCCTCGATGGATTCAACGGCCGTCCCTGCGCGTGTCATTGGACACATTTTGTTCTTTCTTCCAATGGAATGCCAGTAAAAATGTCAGTAACGTTTTTGCATACTTGTAGAACTCAAAATGGATTAGTTAGATAATCAATTATCCTATATATTGTTAATAACCACTCTGGCCTTTCCCATAGTAGCTCAAATCTGATTTTAATTAGAGTACGCATTAAAATACATACTTTCGTATTGATGATAACTACTGTACTCGGACATCACACCTGCTCCTTGTTCTGATTACTCTCCAATCCAGGAAGTAAATCCCCATTGTCCCAAGCTCGTTGGGATAGAACACGAGGTTAAATCATCGAGAAACAGCTCCAACCGAGTTGAATGACATGCTCCCACAAGATAGGGCGATGCTTCACTTGCCGCCATTATCCCGTTGTTGACTGCGAGGACGCATGCAAATGCGCTTTAAATCATTTGGTCTTGGACATTCACAGGGAGCTTCGTCAACAACCAAAGCAAACCACACGTTTTGGAGGTATTTCTACGTGTCTTAACCCGCTCGGATGGACGAGATTTCCCAATCTGAATGCCTTTCAGTTCATTCGCGTCAACCCAAAGGTCAATCTACAATGTTCGTCAACACATGTGGTACTTCCCAGTGGTTTGGGACATTCTAAAGAACGTACAGCTACTATTAATAGTATGTTACAGTGGTAGAGTCTAAGTTCACTGATGTGGCTGCTCTCATGTAATTGGATGAAACAAAAGTAGTTTTTCTTATTTGTCCAACAAACGTTCTAGTACCATCGCATGATGGCGAAGCATTGGCTCACACGGAAGAATCTCCAACTCGCACAGATCTTCGTACTACTACTTGAAAGCATTTACGCGTGTTCATGAAGGTGTATTCTGTGAATCCCGAGAAGGGGGTGGCATCTGCTAGACGGTGGGAATAGTTCGATGTCGATACCTCCATTTTCCTAACGTTACGGTGAAAAGTGATTACTGTATAGTTCCCGTGGCCTTTCTGTTAATACAGTAGAACAGTGCATGTCATACAAAGCCTGTAAAAATTTTGCGGTCCAAAATGGCTCCATACAAATCTTCAAAAGACAATTTTTGAGTGCATTCGCTCTATAAAATTGATAGTAAGACGAATCGACTAATAGAAGCCAATCGTGAAAATTCACAAAATTGACAAAATGCATGCTGGCCAAGTCACAGTCATTTTGCATTGGAAAGGTGCTGAATTGAACCAATTTTGACCGGATAAGTGGTCTCAAACCGGATAAGCTATGTTGTGCCGGATAATGCTACAGTAGTAAGTAGTATTTATTTTCGCTGGTTATTTTCCAAAACCCTTATAACGTTCCGTGAATCCTCTAAATTAATATAGCAACCTCTAGCACCTTATCATATCCTGAATGGAACCAGTTTGTAGAAGTTTGAGGTTTCAGATGACGGGCACTATAGTACATACAGTACTAGGCTTGGTTGATGTGGGAATGCCGGATTCGTTCAAGGGACCTTACGTGCTTTCCCTATCAGGTGGAGTTACAATACAGTTCAATAACTTGCATAATATCCAATCAGCGTCGACCACACCCAGCCCATTTATGTACGAATCGTACTTAGAGGGATTTAATCAACAGACACTTGTACTTCAAGTGCAAGGACTTAAAAGAGGCACCCAAACACAACACCGTAATTTCCTGTGTAACCATTATATTATACAACTCAGTATACATTAACCAAGTGAACTATAAACTGTATGATTTTATTTTCAAACGTTGACGTTGTTGAATTTGCACATTTGATCAGAACAAAAGTGCCGCCGAATTCTCTAGGCGTATGACACATAGCGCGACCCCGCGCGGCGGAGGGTTGCATCCGAGTAACCAAGACAGCAACGCTGCATATGAATCCATCGATGTGCTAGATGGCGAAGAGTTAAGACGGGATGGAGCAATCGACTCTGTGGATGTCGTGGTATCCGACCAACGTTCGATTTCGTCCAGGCCCGGCGCGATGCGGTTGATTCCCGTGGCAGTCCGGCGTCTCTTGGCATCCAACTCAGGCACGTCCAACGACAATAGGTCCGACACTACCACCGCCACAACAGAAACCTACGAGTCCCATGCGACTCCAACGAACGTCGTGACCGACGTCGACGGACTGCTTCCGTTGGATCTGGACAAGGAGTCGTCGGTGCACCGGAAGTCCGTCGCGACGACTGTGGGTGGCCCCCACGGTAGCATACACACCGCGAAACCTCGTCGTCCAGGCGCGTTTCCCTGATCCCCATGCTTCCGTCATTTACGCTTGCATGTTCCCATAGACATGACACCGTTCTCTATCCCCCGCGTCACCCTCCAGGAAACACAGCGATACACGTTTGCCATCATCCTGCGCAACAATCAACAAGTGGAGCGGTGCGCTTGTCTGTCGCGATCTTGGACTCATCATGGTTGCGTAGGCTATACAAGGACCGGCTCAAGGACGCGACCAACGTCATCCAGCGGACCAACCTCACGCCCGCCGACATGTCCGCGCATGTCGCCGCTCTCCAGCAGAAAGCGCTCCGGCGACTCGTCCAAGCGGGCCTTGGCGTGATTCTACTTGACAACGACACGTACATCAGCGACAAGGACGCCAAGCACGGGCAAACCGACAACATTTGCATCCTCGTGGACCCGTACAAGGTACTATTATCATTTTCCACACATCTCGTGCCTATATATATATATATTTCTTCGTCCAAATGTATATCTAAATATATATATATATAAATATGAACTGGCGTAGAACAAAGGATTGCTGAACCTCGAATTTATGCGCGAAAAGGACGAGCTTGCGATCAACCAAGGCAACGCCACGGGCCGTTTGGGCGAGGCTCGTCTTCCCATCTCTGGTTTGAAACGCAATATATATATATATATCTTGGTTGGAATAATTCTATGAATATTTTTTTCTGGTAGGGTCCAAGGACATTTGCTTTTCTCCAGCGTTGGAACTCCAGCTGACACACAATATCATCCGCAATGCATTTCGAGATTACGACCAGGACGTGTGCGATTTAGATCGGAATTGCGTGCCCGATGTGCTGGACGTCGTGCATGCGATGCTCCCGTTGCATGACAAAAAGTAATTTTTTATATCGTTTGATCTATCTACCCCGTCTTTGTATATATATATATTTATGGTTTTAAGGTAGACCATAGCTTTATGTTCTATATACGTACGGATGTTGTCAAGAAGAATTCAATTTGACAAAAAGTAATTTTTTATATCGTTTGATCTATCTACCCCGTATATATATATATATATATATATATATATATATATATATATATATATATATACTTTTTTTTATTAATTTGCATATTTTTTGTGTGGTTTCTAGGTAGATCATACCTATTCGTTGTATACCTGTGGTGAGCTATTAAAAAAAAGTGCATATATATATATATTATATGCACTTTTTTTTATTAATTTGCATATTTTTTGTGTGGTTTCTAGGTAGACCATACCTATTCGTTGTATACCTGTGGTGAGCTATTTATTCTATTTGACGATTTCTAATTTATTTATTTGAACGTCGTAATTGGATGAATAAATATAAATTGCATGCGGACGACAACTAACTTTGTTTTATATATGACGTAGGTTTAACAACGAGTTTTTCAAAGAATACCGCCGACACACGTTCAAGTTAAGGTGGGGCAAAACGGTCACGGGGAATTCCGAGCGGTGGGCCATCGAAGGTTGGAATATATATATATATTTCTCGCTCTTTTTGGGCATTTTGACACCACGTTGGTAAATATGTATGTAGAATTGCGGCTGCATTTTGGCGAACGGGTGGCTTTCCTATTTGCGTTTATGCACATTTACACCAAGGCGTTGCTGCCGTTGCTGCTGATGTTGCTCACGTACTACTTGGCGTTGCGATTTGGGCCCAAGACATGGGACACGTACCTGATTGGGCTGGCGATCCTGGGCTTTTTGATCACAAGTGTATGGGCGCCAATGTTGTTGCACGTGTGGAATCGAGAAACGCTGCTATTGGTGGAAAAGTGGAACCTGAACGGGTATGATTGGTTGAAATGTTGTTGGTCCTGGATGTGGATTGGCTGACGATGATCGCGTGTAGGTACAAGCAAACAGCATTTGAAGCGAACGACGAAAACCCGCACTTTGAGTACACGTGGGAGCAGAATGTGCTGACCCATCAGTACGAAAAGGTGCCCAAGACAAGAAAACTCGGCGCCATGCGCGCCACCATGGGCTTCTTCGTGCTGCTCAGCTGCGTCCTCCAGTGCATTTGCATCTTGCCCTTTATTCAAGTACGTTGCCTCGTAGTAGTACTAGTAGTAGTAGTAGTAGTACTAGTATTGTCCATTGGCCCAAATATCCGACTGGTGTGCTGAATCTATATTGATCCATGATTGATGCGTTTGTGTGAATGTGAAAAGGTAGGTGTCTTCCGGGGATTGGAATCAATCACACACTAATTTAAGGCTCACACTAATTCGATGTGTTGGTATATGGATTTGTATCGATTCATATATCGGCTGATACTTGTGTGAACACTTGGTTGTGTCGATTCATGCTCCGGTTTAGAAGAATTACAACAACAATACTAGTAGTACTAGTATTTCCGAAAGCTCCAGCAAGGGCGACTAGTACTAATACTAGTAGTACTAGTCGTGGTACGGAAAATTTGCTCCATTTTTTAACGTGTGTAATCTGTCGTTAGTAGTACAAGTAGGAGTCGTTATACTGTATATTGGCATTTGGCTCGAGTCTGTAATAGTACTAATAGTAGTACTAGTGTAGTGTATGTAGGAGGGAGTTTAGTCTGCAATGTTGTACAGTGTTTGAGAGGCATTTCTATTTCGTCCAAGTTTGTTTGTCGATATATGATATTTTTGGCTAGAACACATTCTCAACTCATACTACACAATTGTCCACATTTCAATTGAATTGGACAATCATATTCTGTCTCTGAATAGTGGTATGTCTACGCCAAGACAGTGCAAACGTGCGACGCGTGCAAAGCTGCGTTGAAGTTGGTGCCTGTGGGCGATCAGACAATTTTCGACTGTCGGCAGTTCTTGACTTGCTTTAATTCCGAGAGTTCGCTCGTGGGCACGGATCGATGGGTGTACATCCTTGTTCAAGGTATCATATATATACATATATATATGCCTGTTATACGATATATATATATACATATATATATATATATTGATCATGCAATAGGGATTGTGCTGGGGTTGATGATCGACGTGGTATTTTTCGAGTTTTTCCGGTGGCTGTCGATCAAGTTTGTGCACTGGGAAAATTGTGCGAAAAAGACCCAATTCGAAGCCAAAGTACGCAATGTCATTTATTTATTTATTTATTTCGTCGTAGTTGATCCATCGGTCGTTTGTGTTTGTGTGGGCCAACTGGTTCTTTTGGTTTTTGTTCCTCGCGTTCATTTACCTCCCGTACGGCGAAACCATCAACGGGTACTTTAAGCAGGTACGACGACCCCCACTCCATATATCCTCCTTCGCTTTGATATATAACATATATGAAAAATACTTAGTTTTGCGACTGGCTCGATATCAAACTCAAGTGGGTATGGGACCCAACGTTGCTGTCACTGGACCAGTTATTTGTGACGCCACTAGTCGCGACCCAGTTCCTCAATATGATTCTTGAGACTTGGGTCCCGTACCTGATGAAAAAGTACCGCGGCAAACCATTTAGCATCCGATACTGGTTCAATACATGGACGTGTACGCTGAGACGGGAGATTACAACCCACGCCAAACGCGCAGCGACCAACAAATCGGCGCGCAAACTGTCCAAGGATGTGTCGTCCTCCACGCGGTTCTTTGTACCCGTGCTCGAACGCTCGGATGACGACAACCAGCACACGGCGTACGAGGTACAGAAGGATCATGATTTGATATATATATATATATATATAGTGTGTTGTACTCGTGATTTCCTCCTCTGATATAATATATATATATATATATATATATATATATATATATTGCGTGTTGTACTCGTAATTTCCTCCTCTGATATAATATATATATATATATAGTGTGTTGTACTCGTAATTTCCGCCTCTGATATATATTATATATATATATATATAGTGTGTCTGGCGGTGGTTGGTTGAATCAACCGCCGACCAATCACCGGACCTTTGAAATTTCATATAAACAAAAGTTGAAGTGGTATCTTTGGGACTGATCAATCTTTTTAGCCAATCATATTGCAACCTTCATTCTTTGTAGCCAATCATACACCTACAACTATCTCTATATGCATAGAGACTAGTCAATGTTCATCATACTGGGGTCGATATATGTTTGGAAATATACCTACAGTACTTACTATATCTATTGTATACTTATTGTTTTGCTTGGAGTATATGTTTGTGGATTTCTTCTTTGCTCGATATAATAACGTTATGTCGAGAACATCATTCGATCCTGCCGAGTATGGGGTGTATATATATATATATATATGGAGACCTTGATATACTTACTCGTCAAACGGTAGTCTATAGTATGTATATATGGCAATCGTCTTGACGTGGTGGTATATTGCTTGTATGATCTAGTCGCCTTGTCTTACTAACGACTAACTACTACTACATGTAGATTGTGGCCGAGTCGACACTCCCAGAGTTCGACACCCAACTCGACTATTTAGACGCAGCCATTCAGTTTTCGTATGTCGTCATGTTCTCCGTCGTGTGGCCGCTGCTGCCAGTTCCGGCGTTCTTGAACAACATCCTCGAAGTCCGCGGCGATGCTTTTCGATTGCTCTTTTGCCACCGCCGCCCCATGCCCCGGCGAGATGTAACTTCAATCCCGTTCAATCAAATTGTATCTATATGTTTTGAGTAGGTATCGATTGGGGAATGGGCTACGGTGCTCCAGTACGCCAACATCATTGGCATCACAGTCGTATCAGCATTTATCGTCATGTACGACTTTGATTTACTTGGATGATGATCATGATGTATGTGCCAAGGGAGTGGATTGTGTTTATTATTGTATCAATATAAATGCTAGTTTAAAAAACCTACGTTGATTCTGGAACTATCTATCTATCGATCTATATATATATATATATATATTGCTTCTGAATATTGCATTGATGAACGAATGTGCATACGTTTGTGCACGAAATTATTTTATTTTTGCGACGACAGGGGTCTCTTTTTTGCTGTGAAACAAGGCCGTGCACTGTAAAAAAATATTATTTATTTCATTTTCGCCACGGGACATAATAAATATTATTTCATATTTCGCCACGGGACTAATAGCTGTCTGTGCAGGTACCACGGCATTGCGTACTACATCAACGAGTGCAATTTCTACTTCTCCAACGCGGATATGGTGCCGCTGTTCACGGTCAAGACATCCGCGGCCGTGAATCCGGCGCTGTGTGCCGCGCAGCTGAACGGCGACCGCGGACAGATCATGATGAACCAGGTGGTAGCGTTCATCGTGTTGGAGCACTTGGGGTTTGTGATTCGGTATCTCGTCACCCAGGGCAACAAGGTGCCTTCTTCGATCGGGAACCCGAGCTACTTGCGGTTGAAACAGCTGCGCGAACTCACGGCCAAGCGGGCGGCGCTCGTCGAGCAGTTTGAGTACATGAAGCAGCTGCGTCTGATATTTGACAAGTTTGATCGCGCTGGCATCGACCACTTGTACGAAGACGAGCTCGCGGGCTTTTTAGCTGAATGGGTCGGCACGGACAGATCCAAGCTCAACGCGTCTATCTTGTTTCGATATATGGACAAGACTCGCCTGGGCAAAGTGCCGTTCTCGACCTGCTGCCTCATGCTCCGCCACGCAGAGTACGATCGGTTCTTCTCGGTACTCCTCGGCACTTGTGACTCGCTCGACAACTTTCGAAACGACGGCATGCGCCTCTCCGTCACGGACGACGGACTCGGCGCCCATGCCCGGCACTTGTCGCGGTACCAATCGCTGTCGGATGCGACTCCTCGGGCAAGAGGGACCTCGGGTGACTTTGAAGATTCCGACAACGACAGTCTCTTGCAGACGCCGCCCCAGTCGTCGGTACGGCAGCGTATGTCATCCTCGTCGTCGTCCATGTCAATGTATGTCGATCCAACACGCACGGCGGTGTATTCGAATGAATAAACAAAAAAATGCAATGAGATGGGTGTATATTGTACATAGTTGTTGATTTAGGGATTTTACAAATGTATAATACATGCATTGGAGACGACATATCTGTGGAAAGAGACCTTCTAAATCTCTTCCACATTTACAACATTTTCAAACCCCCGACACTAGGAGATTGTAGCTGACTTGTTGCTGACATACATTCAAGTTGCGTGCTACAATGTAGATAGGGTAATTAATATGTTATAGAAGCTACATATGAAAAGGATAGTATTTATTTGCAAGGGTTTTCGTCCAATATTTTTGTGAGTCTTAACTGTAAATTGATTTTATACGTTAGTAGTATTAATACTGTTTACTATTAATACTACGCAGTAAGAAGTTTGCGGTTAATATTATATATATATATGTATATTGCGCTTTTAACACCCAAATTTGCCCTATTCAAGGGATCGTTGAAATCACCAACTCGAGCAAAGTAGTATAATTGGCTAAGAAGATCAAAGGTTGATTGTAAGAGAATGAAAACGTTGTTCTAATGTAGTGTCACATTTACCTCTTAAACTTGGTTATGTATTAGATTTCGAAGGGCCGGCACACAATATCCATGTTTTATTCGGAAATCAACAGAAATCAACACATTCCCACGAAATATGAATATTTCCATGCTTTTGATTCAAAACTCAATTCATCTACTGATGAAACGACGAGGGATGGCTTGTACTATTTTCGACCACTTATTTGCCTTGTTGCGCAATTGCCGACTGCATGAGATGGCACGCCAGGGCTGGGTACCCCATTTCAATGAGCCGCAGGCGAGATCCTTCCGCGGCGATCTTACGCTTGAGCGGACTCGGCGCGTTCGGGCCGTCCATGTCATGGGGTCCGTGAGTCGGCGGTACCATCATGACCACGTCCGCCTTGGACGGGCTCGTGCTCGTACAAGACGGGCGGGACGGATGCTTGAGATGGATGGTTTCCACCACGTAAATGTTCTGGATCGCATGTTGCTCAAACACCTAAGGCAGGATATGAGATATTGTCAATAGTGGTTGAATCCGAAAATTGACCAATCAAAACGCAGAAGTCGAATCAAGGAGCCAATCAAACTCTAAGATTCGAATCAAAGTAGTGGAAAGGGCAACCGTGTCACAGACGCGGATGAATCACCCCAACACTCCAAGTTATGGCTAAAGGACAACAATAGGACGATGATGCACATGTACAATAACATGGACCTCGCCGATCGCAAGCTTCACGAGACATTCGACCAGTGCGTCGACACTCTTGGATTCGACGCAAATGGTAAAGTAGGATCCTGTGGACGTTGCATCGTTGATGGACGTGGCAAGGGATGTGATTTCCACCTACGACATGGTGCGAATGATTGCGCGATGGAGAGAGAGTCTGGGCTGTACCTGGACAGGCTTGGTGGGAGTAGCCAGGCGCCACTGCTGCCGCTCCTTGTACAGCCGCAAGCGCTGCAATGGGAACTTGATCTCCACTTGCTCGAGTTCTTCCACGCCACTCCCCACGATCGCCTGCTTCACAGCGTCGTCGTCCTCCATGTTCATGTCCTCGGGCACATGCACACGTTTCTTCAACCATTGCTGCGCCCCACATGTGCCTTCGATTTCCTTGGCACACTTGATCTACGTCATGACCGCTCTCAATATTCGACGTTTCGTCCACGAGGTACCTCCAACATGGGGGCCGACGACGACGTGAGGTTCCGAAACTTGATGCCAATGTTTGGCATCGGCAACACGATGAAGAGGTCCGTACGGCACTCCGGAAGCAGCGCTTGGCTGACCTTCAATGCCCCCAACGTGATGGCCAACGTGTCCAACAGCTCTTGCGTGACTTCATTCAAGACGCCACAGAGACGCCATTCCCACATGATCGTTATCGCTTGCTTTTTCAATCAAGCCAACTGAAAGTTCTCAGGGTCTGATATTACAGTTACGCTATAAATAGCGGCCAAGGAGATATTGACACTCATCCAAGTCTCATCCCTGGAACGATGCATGCATGATGTCGTCTACCTGTACTAGCAGGCGGAACGATTGCCGCCGCCATCGTCATGTCCTGTCGCCTTCATCTGTCCACGACCTGCATATATACATGCCGCAGCCGAAAGCGCGGGGAAGTTACGCACTTTAGAGGACGTTAGCTTGTTTTTTGTATGTCTTGTTTAAGTACGACACCAGAGAGCGTTTTGGTTGGCCCATCCATTCGATGTTCATTGCATTCACCTTTCAACATGCACCGGTTCGTCCTTTCCGCGGCTCGAAGGAGTCTGCGCGGCGGTATTTCGTCGACGTTTCTCTCAATGCGCCCCTACTCGGCAAGCACAAGGTACGACGTGATTGTGATCGGGGGTGGGCATGCTGGTTGTGAAGCTGCCGCTGCTGCGGCGCGAACAGGTGCGACAATGTGTTCCATCGGCTCGAAAGCTCGCTCATAGATGCAAATTCTTATATTCATGTAGGTGCCCACACCGCGTTGCTTACACAGGTAACATAACCACCGTTCCGTCCTGTCATAACGTCGTTGATTGTGTCATCCGTGTAGAAACTGCAAACGGTGGGCGAGATGTCGTGCAATGTACGTGCTGGTCGTCGGATCTATGATTGCTTGGTCTGATGCGACGTGGTGCTTGCAGCCGTCCATCGGTGGGGTGGGAAAGGGCACGCTAGTTCGTGAAATCGACGCGTTGGACGGTCTCATGGGCCGAGTTGCGGACGCCGCCGGCATTCAATTCCGCGTACGTTTTCGAACGATTTAAGTGTACCTTTTCTCTCTTAACCTGCATGTGTAGATGCTCAATGCGTCCAAAGGTCCGGCAGTACGCGGGCCACGCGCGCAAATGGACCGCGACATTTACCGCCACAACATGCAAGTTGCACTTCGAGCCCAAGGTATACGAGGACAACACGTCGCGACTTGTTGCATTAACGGCCATGCTCGACAGAAAACTTGGTCCTGGTGGAATCTGGCGCTGAAGACATCTTGCTTTGCCCTGACACAGGTCGCGTGACGGGAGTAGTCACTTCCGACGGCAAGACGATTCACACGTCTGCAGTGGTACGTGGTTGCTGGCTCATGTAGCGTATATAACCATCATCGTCACAGGTGATCACGACGGGCACATTCTTACGAGGGCGGATTTTCATCGGCGACAAATCCTTTCCCGCCGGCCGAACCCTCCGCGAATCGTACGAGTCTCCATGATAAATGGCCGTTGTCGCGACCATGTTGTCGGCGTGACTTCCATATAGGCAAGGGGTCGAGGCGCCGTCGATGGGCCTGGCCGCAACGTTGGAGCGTTTAAAGTTTCCCCTGGGTCGGTTGAAGACGGGCACGCCGCCTCGACTGGACGGACGCACCATCTGCTTTGACGGTGCCTCCATACATATATATATACATACATATACATACATACATATATATATATATATATATCGTTGTGTTATTTCCAACATGTGGGAAACCTATGCATAGGCTTGGAAGTGCAGCCAAGCGACGCCGTGCCGACCCCGTTTTCGTTTCTTCATGCATTCAAACAACCCCTTCCCCTGCAATCATCCTTCCGCCCGTGCCACGTGACGTACACAAACGAAGCGACCCACGCCATCGTCCGGCAGAACCTTCATTTGTTGCCCCAGTACTCGGAGAACGACGGCAACGGCATCGGCCCTCGGTACTGTCCGTCGATCGATGCCAAGGTCACGCGGTTCGCCGACCGGACGCGGCACCAAGTGTGGCTCGAGCCCGAAGGTCTCAACAACGACGTCGTGTATCCAAATGGTAATCTCTGACTATACCCCCGTACATGCATATATCAACACACACTCACGGGAGGGGGGGGTGTAGGGGTGAGCACAGCCTTGCCAGAACACTTGCAAGTGGAGCTCATTCGCACCATTCCCGGGTTGGAACGGGCTGAATTGGTCAAGCCAGGGTACTCTGTGGAGTACGACTATGTGGACCCGCGATCACTGCACCATACGCTAGAAACCAAACAAATCCCAGGGTTATTCCTTGCCGGGCAGATCAACGGCACCACAGGTACATTGAGAGTGTCTTGTCAGATTATAAAATACATATCCAAGGCGATATTGACTGGAGAGATGTAGGGTACGAAGAAGCTGGAGCCCAGGGCGTCATTGCAGGGGCAAACGCAGGCTTGGGCGTCCTCGGTATGCTGTGTAGATTGATGTGACGACATTTATTCTTTCTTGCTATATTTTACCACAATTGTAGGCAAACCATCATTTAGGTTGGACCGGGCGGACGGGTTCATTGGGGTCTTGATCGACGATCTCGTGAGTTTGGGGACAAAGGAGCCGTATCGGATGTTCACATCGCGGTCGGAATACCGGTTGATGCTGCGCCAAGTAAGTCGTGTGAATGACCAGGGTTATGGTGGGGGACGCGTCGTCGGAATGTTTTATCCCTAGCTTTCATATATATATATATATATGTTGGAGGTAATGAAAACATAGTATTGAATTTTTGGATTGGGTGTTTGTGTCTGTAGGACAACTGCGATTTGCGCTTGACAAGACGAGCGTTTGAAGCGGGGTTCGCGTCTGAGAGTCGCATGCAGCTGCTTCGAAGCAAGGAAGTGCTCGTGAAAGACGCGTGGAAGAGCCTCCTGGGCTTTCAAATGGACCCCCATGAATGGAGCAAGATGGACAACTTGACCATTTCCAAAGACGGTGTCAAGCGATCGGCGGCCCATGTGCTCGCGTTTCCCCACGGTATTATATCATCATGGATCCAATACAACCAAGTATTAATATATATGGATCGTGTGTGTTAGTCTCGTGCGACGATATGCTGGCGATGTGGGCAGTCAAAGGCTACAACCACGGTATCCAGTCGACCAGAAACTCACTTGTTCCAGCAGCATGTACACAAAGTACCTTATGAATGTATGTAGATATCCATCCCAGTGTTCGAGAGTACATGAAGACGGAATGCTTGTACGCGACCCAGCTTCGGCTGCAAGAAAAGGAGATCGATGCGCTGCGGGCCAAGGCCCACGTTCGATTGCCGGAAGACTTGGACTATGCGGTACTTAATGACGCGCAATCACATGTTTACGATGATGATGATGCTGTTGTTGTGGGCGGGGATGAATATATATATATATATATGTAGTCGCTGCCGATGCTGTCCAACGAAGAAAAGGAAAAGCTGGTTGCGGCGCGCCCCACGACTTTGCATGCCGCGAGTCGCATCAGTGGCGTCCGGTCGGCCACGCTCTTGTTGCTGTATCAATATGTGTCGCGCACGAAAAGAGCCAAGTACAACACACCAACCACGCCCCAAACAATCGCCAGTGACCTTGCGTAACACACTTGCACCACCAAATGTACCAACTAACGTAACTGCGACACTGTTCACGACGACAGGATAATACATTTGGTCACCAACACGAACACGAATTCGCTTTCATATCCGTTACAGATCACATTATCATGCCCACAGTACACCGACAACGGCATCTTGTACTCATTTGCAAGGTGGTTTATTGGCAGAATATATACAGTACATATTCGAACAACAAAGTGTGGTGTCTCAACTGACACCATGTCAACATGTACATGTCGTGCAAGTTTCCCATTACGAGTGGATGTCGTTGAGCTTTTCCAAGGCCAACATGAGCGCTTGGGTGCCAAGGCGGCCGCCGTTTGCTTGACTCTATACACCAAATACTCATTACATGTCCTCCCCACGCAGATGTACTGTAGGTATGTAGTACCTGCACCGCAACAAACAACTGGTTGGCCAGCGCCAGCCCAGGCAACGACAGACCCATGCTACGTATCCATGAGATATGGTTAGCTCACATGTAAATCGCAACGATGTCACATACGCCTGGGATTCCTTGAGCGCAATGCCCAAGTCCTTGAGAAAATGTTCCACCATGAACCCAGGGTTGAAGTCGCGCTTGGCGATGCGTGGCCCGAGGTTGTTGATGGACCACGAGCCCGCCGCCCCGGCGCCGACGGCCGCGATGGCTTCGTCCAGGTTCAACCCGCTCTTGTACGCATACAACAGACCTTCCACGACCCCAATCATGTTGGTCGCAATCAGGATCTAATGCCATTCATTCATGCGATGAGAATGAATCAATGCTCAATTTGTGTGACGGGAACGTACCTGGTTGACCATCTTGGTGTGTTGACCGGCGCCGGCCCCGCCCATGTGTCGGATGTTCTTGCCCATGAGCTTGAGCAGCGGCAGGACACGCGCGATGGTGTCGACGTCGCCGCCTGCCATGATGGACAACGTGGCCTCCCTTGCGCCAACATCTCCACCCGACACCGGCGCTTGAAGGGTGTTTTCGTTAGTTGACGGTGAGAATGGATAGACGGTAACGTTACCATCGATGGAAGACACGCCCTGGCGTTGAGCCTGGTCAAAGATCTCCTTGGCCAGGCTCGGTTCGCTCGTCGTCATGTCCACAATGATTCCACCCGGCTGCATCGTCGACAACACTCCATGTTCGCCCAAGATGACCTGGACTTGGTTCCGTCACAATCGGTCAACTGTGAAAGATGATTCGCCGTACCTGGCGCACGTCGCTAGGGTACCCCACAATCGTAAAGACGATATCTAATCCACACACTGCATCAGTCCACGCACTGAGCACATGTACATAGCGTCGCTGATGGTACCCGATTGTCGTGCGACTTCTGCCGGTGTCGTGGCCAGCACCGCGCCTCTGTCTACAAGCGATTGACACTTTGACGACGTGCGGCTGAAAGTCGTCACGGGGTACCCTCCACTCTGCCCAGATCACCATGAGCCACAGAATTCTCGTCAAGAGTAATACCACACCAAGATGTGCCCACACATGCTCTTCCCCATGATGCCTGCGCCAATAAAGCCCACTCGAAGCGTCGATGCTGCCGTCATCAGTGTTTTGACAATCTGAAATGCATCGAACTATTATGTTTTAAAGGAAAGCAAGTTTAAAAGTATAATCTCATACAGGTTGACCAGTTGAAGCAGCCGTTGTGGCGCACTTTCGCAGGACAGCATGCCAGAACCCCCTGCTTGCTCATGATCAAGAGATACACACTCTTCGAAGGGAACGCGGACATTGCGGTCACAGACGACGGCATGTCGTTCGAGTACTGGGCGATGGACCCGGAACTAGGAGCGTTCGACAACTTTCCCGTCTACCACCACTTCGTTGACATCCCGCCGCTTGCTACGTCTTCACCCCCCACTACTCTGTCGAAGCGATGCACATGTGGCCGACTTCAAGATGCGCTTCCTCCGTCGGGTATTTGTCCCTGTGGTTACATGGCCATCGTGTAAAACTCAATCTATTTATCCTTGTTATGCTGCTTATTCGCTCGCAAGTCGCACAAAGTCGGCCCGCGCCATCACATCTTGATTGTAGATCGAATACGCTTCGGTCGTGTCCATCGAGGTGTCGGCGACGGGTCCAAATCGCGCCTTTGTGAAAGCGTCCATGCGCTCGGGGGTCCACTTCCGATCTGATGCGTCGCAAGTGTCCACCATCGGCTTCAAGATCGCGTCGTAGTCTGTGACTTGAAAGAACACGAGCGCTTGCCGTCGTCGCGTCGTCAATGTCGACGCATGCACGGGTTTGACTACACGATGCAGAGTCGCCTTCAACCGGTCGTTGGACCACCGCTGTAAGATTTGGCCGACATTCACCAGCAACGACCGTCCGTCTTCGTTGCTGTCGGGGGCTATACCTACCCACACCACCTGTTCTTCGACTTCGATCTCTTTCGTCCCGAGCGTTGCAAGTGGATGGAGCACTTCCAGGCAGGCCGTCCCCACGCCGCCTTGAGCATCGTGACTGAGGATAGTAAAACACGTGATGTCCGCATGCGGCATAAGCACCATGCCGCCGCCTTGCGTGTCCTCGGATGGATGCAGGCGACTCGCGTTCATGCTGCTGGCGTGCCGTCGGGCCAAGTTGAGCAGTGCCTCCTCGTCGGGTAGTTGCAGGATGCGGGCGAAGATGCGGAAGAGGACCTTGCCCAATGCATCCATCGCCGCGTAATACGCCGTCAGCGCCGCGCGAAAACCAGGCACATCCTCTTCATCCGGCCACAGCACCTGCGGGATCGGCGGCGTTGCAAACACATGCCGACCGAAATCGGTGTAAAAGGGGTCGTCGGATAAATCCTTGTTATCCGGACGAATGCAGCTCCACGTTTCGCGCCCTTCTCCGTTGTACATTTTTGGAATGCCACGGTAGCCCGTGGGTTTATATGGCCGTGGCGCCGCGCCGTCAGCACGGGAAGAGGACGGGGGTAAGGTTACGGCTTCCTTGATGGCGGGATCGCAGTCGAAGAAGCGGCGCATGGCATCATGGGCATTCAAAATGACGTCCTTGGGGAACGATGCCCAGGACACGCGGAGAAATCCGAGAGAAGCACACTGAGTCTCGATGGCGGCAAGCACGTCGGGGTTCAATGGATCGGAAATGTCCACGGTCGGAACGGGAATGACGGGCACGAAGAACGATCGGTAACTGCGCGAGATGTGGGTGAGATTGCGCGGCGCTTGAGAGAACTCTGTCGTCGACGCAACCGTCCATCCGAAATAGTCTCCACCGTCCTGCGTCCATGCATATCCCGAGTCAGGTGCGACGCAATGACGGTCGACGTCGGCGTCCCACTGCGCGCGACTTGTGTATTGAAATGACGCCGATACAGTGATGTGACCGACGACACGCACATGAGGAGTTGCTGCCAGGTCCACCACTGAAGGGAGCGCGGACGACCCCACGACCCCGTTCGGCGATTCCAATAACCAAATGGGCTTGTGGAGCAGGTGCGTTGGGAATGCATACCGTCGGGTCTCAATAGTCTTGCGTCCACTCAAGATCCATGACGTGTACGGAGCTTGACATTCCAGGAGCACATTGACGGGCGGCATGGATGACGAAAATGGCGTTGTCACATCACTTCATGTAGTACGTACCGTACACAATAACTACCTAGTGCTCAAGAAATTCCGACTTCAACCCAGAGTCAGGTGTTTGACCCAGAATATAATAAGTTTCGTTTGTACTGAATAGAAACATCAAGTTAAATTTAAATAAGTACTTGTATCTGTATATAATTGTTTACCGCCTTCGCAGCTATTGCGAACGTGACGATCATACTGGGCATCTCCAACGGCGTTTTTGAAAGCTAAGCTTAGAAACGACGAACAGGCCAAATCTTTTGCCCTACGTTTTTCTATTTAACCTATATGTTTTGGGGCAAAACCTACTTGGGATGAGCGTTAAACAGTAATGTGCCGGATAATGATAGGTTTAACCCACTCCAAACAGTAAATCATTGATATAGACTTGATTAAAGTATTGCAAAATGGGCTAGCAAACGATACAAATATCTATTTATACAGTTATTATTCGTTTATAAAGTAATTAATTATCATAGGTTTAACGACCTGCAAATACGGTTGAAACACTGTAACATAATTTCTGGAATATTGATATTGATACTGCGCTGTAAAGTTAAAATCACCCAGCGGGCACTTAATGGCCTCGGCCGCGTATTAACTCACTAAGGGTTTCATTGTTGCGGTCACTCGTTTTATCCAAACATATCAATTCTGACATTCTATTGGGCAGGAAGTTCGGCAAATCAATGATGCATCGGCAAATCAATGATTGTTTCCGTTAGTACCACTTTTCCGGACAAAGCGAAGGTCGTTGGGTAGGTCATATCGCTGTGGCTTCTTGTCTTTTTTGTCCTCAATTTCAGTTCAGTTATTAGAGATAGTCGCATCGGAGTAATTTTCTGATTGCAATAGCTTCCCAATGATAGAATGATGTAAATATAACTGATTTGTGAACTAACGTTATTATATTTGGCGTTCATCTGCCCCATGAAATGTAAAAGGCGAATATAAGTATAAAATGCAATATAATCTGAAATCAATTACTAGTATAAAATTCGAATGTTTAAATAAATTCTTCAAATTTAACTGCAAAGGTACTGTACGACAAATACGGCAGCAACAGTGAAGCTCTTTGTATCAGGGGATTAGTCGTCGATTCAGGCTAATAAGAATAACTAGCAGTTTAAACACTAGTATACGAACAATCTTGTAAGTTGTATGTCTGGAGATATTTTTATCCAAGTCATATTGTTGACTAAAGCTCCGAACCGTACACTATATCTACCTAGACCTACAATTGTTGTGTTTATTCTAAACTGGAGCGACATGGAGAATCAATCGACGCTAACGTTACCAAATATACGGAATAATCAGCTGAAGTATTTAGCCAATCAGGATATGAACGTCGAATTAGTGTGTGACTTCAACTAGTGTGATACTAATCCCCATAGGTTATGTTTTTACATAGATAGTAATAATAATAATATGCTAGTATTTTAAAGGTATTGTGGGCCAACTCTGTGGATATTGAAGCCTCACTTGAACTCAACCAGAAATGCTATAATTGTACAACGATCAATATATGCTTCGAAGTACTAGAATTTCATTCTAAAGTCATGATTTCCGTTTTGTGCCTTCCAAGTAATTGGATATTTTTAGAAAATGAAAAAATTGCTCCAAGTAGAGTTTCCTACTTTTTTACCCCTTTTTCTTCGATCTTTTACCAAACTCACTATACCAAAAGTAGAAAAAGAGAACGTATTTTTCCAAATCGCGAAAAAACAAAGAGGTAAATCGATTTTGATTGGCTCATGCTCCTTCTAAAAACTAACCTTACTTGGACATACCAGTATTAACGTTAGTAGTTAAGCAAACCACCGATTTGTTGAGACTGGTCTCAACATCTGCGAAGCTAATTGTACAACTATTAATATGAATATATACCAGTACTATTAATAGTATTGAATTCTAGAGTTATGATGTCCGTTTGTGTCTTCGCAAACCACCGACTGGTCTCAACATCTGTGAAGGAGTTAATAAAAATAATTCGAAGTAATAGTTACTTCAAGTACCTCGAAGTACTTCGTATAAACAGTAAACAAAAAATGTCACAGAGGCGAATTTTCGCAAATTGACATGGTGAAAAGGCCTCCAATAACAATTTTGGGCGCACTATATGTGTACGTAGTAATAATGACAAAAAGATATTATTGCTCCATGAGTAGCAAGGAGATGCAGGAACTGGACTCATCATGACACGAAGTTATGTACGCTTAAGGCCAAATCGAGGCCATCATGGTTGTGAATGTGTGCAATTGATAGTCATCATTTCGCCTGAACAGTTGGTATGATGCTGATAGTCAAATTCCGAGCTCTGAACACTGTAACGTTAATGAAATAAAGCTGATAACCGGATAATGATCAGTTTTCCGGAAGGCGCTTCTGCATCACTTTTGAATTTCGACGAAACAAGCAAGCATGGCGTCGTCGAAACTTCGCGTGGGGTTTATCGGCATTGGCATCATGGGAAAGAGCATGGCAGGACATATCCTTGTGAGTTTTCTACATGCGTATGTGGTCTGGCTTGAGCATGATGCTGTGTAGGACGCAGGATACTTTGTGACAGTGTACAGCCGCACCGCAAGCAAGTGCGACGACCTTGTGGCTCGAGGCGCCAAGTTGGCGCTCTCGCCTGCCGAGGCCGCGAAAGATGCGGGTACGACACACAATCCCATTGATTGCACTCTGTCCTTGTCCTTGTGTTAACGATGCATTAGATGTCGTGTTTACGATTGTCGGGTACCCATCGGATGTCCGCGAGGTACTCTAGCCATTCTCTATGTGATCCATGGACGTTTTCATCCCATGAACGTACGCTGCCGTCCTCAGGTGATTCTCGGATCCAACGGCGTACTCTCCACGCTTAAATCTGGCGGGATTGTCGTCGACATGACGACGAGCGAACCCTCGTTGGCCAAGGAAATCTACAACACGGCTATCCTTCAAGGCGTATCTTCCATCGACGGTAGCCATCTACTCGTCCTCGTTCCATGGCTCATGCACAATGCGTAGCGCCCGTGTCGGGTGGCGATGTCGGCGCCAAGGAAGCCCGCCTGTCCATCATGATTGGCGGCGACGCGGCGGCGATTGCCACTGTACAGCCCTTGTTTCAAGTAATGGGCAAGAACATCCGACACATGGGCGGGGCCGGCGCCGGTCAACACACCAAGATGGTCAACCAGGTACATTCCCTTCACACAAATTGATTCATTCTCATCGCATGAATGGATGGCATTAGATCCTGATTGCGACCAACATGATTGGGGTCGTGGAAGGCTTGTTGTATGCGTACAAGAGCGGGTTGGACCTGAACGAAGCCATCGCGGCCGTCGGCGCCGGGGCGGCGGGCTCGTGGTCCATCAACAACATGGGCCCTCGTATTGCCAAGCGCGACTTCAACCCTGGGTTCATGGTGGAGCATTTTCTCAAGGACATGGGCATTGCGCTCAAGGAATCCCAGGCGTATGTGACATCGTTGCGATTTGCATGTGAGCTAACCATATCTCATGGATACGTAGCATGGGTCTGTCGTTGCCTGGGCTGGCGCTGGCCAACCAGTTGTACCTCGCCGTGCAGGTACACTTTCATTTGTGATTCTGATGCATGCTTTTCTACTACTGATACTGAAAAATGTTGATATGTGTGTATTTGGCTCAAAACGACATATATATATATATATATATATATATATATATTTGTGTAGGCGCTGCCCAATGGCCCGAAACTCGGCACCCAAGCGCTCATGCTCGCGTTTGAAAAGCTCAACTCGATCGATCACGCTTAAATAGTGTGGTAACATATCGTAACATGAGCATATGTGACACAGATATACACTGAACAGTGTCACATCACGGGCGTCTCTTGTCGAACGCGGCGCGCTTGGTCGAGTGCAAAGTGGAGGAACCGCGTCCACTCGATCACGGCGGTGTCGTCCCCAAACAATTTGGGTCCGTTCGAGTGCAATGTGGCGACCACCGCGTCCCGAAACGGCTGATCCCCCGCCGCCCGGACGGCCAGCCGGACGTAGTCGGCCGCGGACGTGGCGACAGTCGCGACGGCGTTGATGTGTCGGAGGACTCCGAACGGAACTCGAGTGCGCCACAGCTGTCCCGGCAGGGTCACCGTCGGCACCCCCGCCGCCACTGCCTATACACACGCTGCCACGTCAGATCCTGGCCGACTGCATGATGCTCTTATAAGCGTTGGCCGCATTCTATATTGTCAAGTCCTACAGTGTGCACAAGTCTCGGCAGAACAACTTAGCCAATCATATTGCAGTAAATCATCGGACCAATAAACAACTATGTAGTGCGTGACTTCAATTAGTGTGATGGAGATCTCACCGCTTGACATATTTTGACATGCAAAATTCAGTACAAAAAATCGGTCGACGGGTTTGCCAAATTAACATAAAAGTCCAAACTCTGGCTGACTACTGTTACATATCCTGAAATGCATGGCATCATGACATCCGGATGTCACTTTATATTGTCCTTTTACCCATAATTATTTGGACTCTTGTGCTGATTCGCCAAATCTATCGATCGATTCTTTGTACTGACGTTTGTATGTAACAATGGTTCAGTCTCACACTGATTAAAGTCAAACACTAATTTGAAGTGCAATTGAGCACCCAAACACTTGAAATTCGAATCGACTTACAACTATACAACCTGGTGGCGACTAACTAGTACATGTAGATGATATATATATACTACTACTACTACTATTTATACTACTACTACTACTATCCAAGGCACCATATCTCAGAACGAAACCACCGTGCACGATGTTTGTGTACTCGAAGCAATACTAGTTAGGTCGATCGGTGATAAATGTACCTCTAGCGTATGCTGGAAAGTGTTGGTGTAGAGATTCGCGAGGTGGACGTCGCACGCCCTAAGCAGAGCCGCCACAGGCACTTCCGAGCTATCGATCAAGTGGACTCGGTCGATGGGAAGGCCTGGCTGGAGGGTCATCCGATCTGCGAAAGCCGCGTTCCAATGCGAAAGCGACGCCAGAAAGAACATGTGGCCCAGGGGATCGCGCTTCAAAATGCGCCGGACGACTGCGTCCATGTCCACGTGGAGATGGTCCACTGGCTACATACAGTTCAGTAGTAGTACAGTGTAGTGCAAACACAAAGTTGATTCAATTCTGCTCCAATATATATATATATATATATTATACCTATCCAATGGCAACCTCCAATATATACATATATATATATATATATATATATATATATAAATCCAATGGCAATCTCCAATATATATATATATATATCCAAGGGCCTCCAACATAAAACAATATGACCGTTGTTCCCAATTATAATTACCATTGTCACAACATCATGTACACGCGAGTCAAACGCGGCTAAGCTTTCGCCAATGCATGATGTAGTCTCGCAAATACATGCAAATACCATAAAATATTAAAAATTATAATAAAATCCACGTCAACATATGCAAATACAATAATAATAATAATCATAAAACCTAATTCTATAAATAATAATCATAAAACCTAAGTCTATATACACTTTTTTGAAATAAACATCTTGAATAGCCAAGTCCACACCACTGCATGCTCACATATATTACGATCGAGAGTGTCGTCGTCTATATATATGTGATTTCGCAACCTAAATCAAATACCTCGGCGACGAAATAAAAGTGAAATGACTTGGGGAGGTGAAATTCTTGCACGAGCAACTGCCGAATGTGCGCGCGACTAGTCAGCGGGTATGTCGTGGTGTTGGGGGCCATCGATTGCGTCTGATACAGGCCCAAGCCCCTACACGAACCCATCGCTGTCGCATGAAAAAACGGCATCACACATCCAGTACGAACTAGCTAGTAGTTTAATATTTACTTGAGTGCAAACGGCGTCTCCGAGTAGTGTTGGCGGTCGAAGTCCGGATACTCGTATTCGGATGTGACGACATAGTCGATGGCGCGTACGCCCGACGTGTCCGAGTATCCAAGTGCCCACGCTGCTTGCACGGGCGCCAATTTTGCAAACGACAAAAAGTAACTCCACTTGTTGGCTCCCACCTATTATAAAAAATAATACCATAATCGATATAATACGTGGAACAGTTTATAATGATCAAGTTAGCGGTCATAAGAGGGTCGTACATCGGCGTAAATTAGCACATCGAGGTCGTGTCGTTGGATTTCCACGGCGCTTGGGCCGACGCCAGCAGGCAGCGCCACAAACTATCACATGGAAATATGGTGTTAAATCAGATGTATTTTTGATTTCTCAAAGCATCGAAATAGACTCCATCGCAGGTGTCGTACATGTACATGGCGAAGTCCGAGTTGGCGGGCCACGTTTGCCGCCGCGGACGATGACACGGTAAACAAAAATACGTCAAACGAAGATTGGTCAAGGGCGTGCACCAAGTCTAGGACATGCGAGTCCTCTGCGACAAATCCAATGCGGGAACGATGTCGCAGTTCTCGGGGGATCGTCGAGTACGAACGGCCCTATGGAATAGAAACGGTCAAAACTACCGTTACCCGACATTTCAAACAACAGAGTCACGATCACCTAGAAAACCCAAGGACTTGTACTATACTTTGATTTAATATGAATGCTATTCGTTCAATAAATACGTACGAATAATTATATATATATATACAATAATACTACGACAATGCAGTACATATTAAGTTTAGCTGGTGGTACACTTTCCAATAAGTGAGAATTTGAAAGAAAACTGCCAGGTCCTTCAGTGGATTTCGTATTTTTATAAAATATAGTTTCCATTTACGAGGTATTGATATTTCACCATTATGAGGTGCTGTATAGTTGAGTATATAACTTCAAGTGAACTGTGTACCAAGAACGATGGGGTTTTGAGGGACGGAGCGTACATCTCGAGCATCGTCGCGAGCTTTTGCTTGAGCTGGTTGTTGTTGTGGGGGTGGGATATCAAGTGGTAGCCCGTGGGGAATTGGTTTGTCATCAGGTCTGTCCAGTCGACGGTGGTGATGCTGTCTACGAACGCCATGAAATGCAGCTATATCTTTGATTCGCAATGTGTATACATGCAAAAAATTATATGATTAACTAAATGCACACGAACATTCATTTATACTATTATTCACCATGCCATGAAATGGTATGACAACTATTATGAAAAAGTTATATCAACATTTTCACAATACATGCGGGATGATAGTCTGACGTACCTTGCTGCAGCATGGCATCCAAGCGGCGGCCCATGTCCTGCCGCGCTTGGTCGACGAGAGCGCTGTCAAATGGAAGGACCCGCGGCACCACCCCCGCCTGCACCATGCGGATGTGACTTGTCGAAAGGTGCCGAGTCTCAGTTAATTGCAGCAACTAGGCAGTACCAACCAGTACATTTAGTCGCTGGAAACCTGGTTGATCTGCGACCAAGTGAGAAGCATGGACACGTACGTTGGCGTATACGTTGATACTGTCGTTAGTGTGGCCCATGGCTTCCTTCACCAGGGCCAGATTGAACTACATTTGACAACATATCGTCAAGTCGATTCGAAATTGGGGACGGGGTGCAATCGAATCGCGCCAATCAAACCGATCCACAATCGATCTGATTGGTTGAATTTCACTGAGAAGGTTTTGATTGGTTAATAATTTTGAGGTCTTCTGAAGTAGCCAATCAAATCGATTTAAATTCCAACGAGAAACCACGCCACCACACGAAATTTCACTCGAAAGCACAATATTCGTGTGTTTACATAGTAGCTATATTGATACACCACCAGTAGCATCCCATACATTTATAAACCACACAAACTTATGATATAAATAGTCTCTATTCCAATGGTCCAGCCATAAAATCCATTCGACAGAAGGACATGAGGTATATCCATGTATTAGCGCTTACCGTCGCCACAAGAGCACCCGCGTCGGCCGCGACTTGATAGTCGTCGTGCGCCAAGTCCAAATACCCAGCCTACACCAACAACCTTAGCACACAACCATTCGCTGCATATATCAAATATTTCATGGCACTATATTATATACAACATATATATCTATATATAATTTCTATCTATTTATAATATACATATGTATACATCATTCTATAAATATTATACATAAATCTATCTATCTATATATATATATATATATATATATACAACGTATCTATCTATATATAATATATATAACATCTATCTATGATATATATCTATGATATATATATATATATAAATCATATTATATAAATACTATATATATATATGTGTATACATACATATATATATATAAACCCGTCGTAAATCACAGGACCAGTGTCCACGGTGTGTGTGTGTGAGTGTGTGGTGCTGCTTTGATTCACCATACATGACAAACGTACATTCAAGTACCAGTTGCCTCGTTCGTTAATAAAATCCGTATCGTGCGGCCACAACGCCAGCGCGTCGTTCAAACACCCGAGCGCGTCGTCACGTCGGGACGCGCCTTGGTATGCGCCGCACAGGCGCACAAATACATCTCGCTGATGGGCAACTGTCAGGTCCAGCGAGTTGGCTTGGACCATCGCCGCCAATGTCCGAAACTCATCGATCGCTCGGTCGTAGACTTGTGTGGCTTGCCACAGCGTCCCCAGATTGAACCGCGCCTCGACATAGGACGGACGAAGGGCCAGCGCCTTCTCAAAGTGCCAGGCGGCGTCCGCTGATCGCCCCACCTCCTTGAGGCAAAGCCCGAGCGTGTTGTGCAGGGCCTCAATGGTCGCGTTGGCTCGCAGCGCCTGCTGGAGGTATGGAATGGCTTCCATGGCCCGACCTGCCCGCAACTTGGTCAATCCGAGAAGATGAAGGGTGTGGCTGTGCTCGGGGCTTTCGACCAGGATCCGTCTGTAGATGCCGACTGCCGCGTCGGTGTCGTGCAACGTGACCGCGTGCTGCAGCGCCGTGAGGATCGTGACCAGGCCGGCGTGGCCTGGGATCGCGATGGCGGCGACGCGGAAGTGGCGCATGGACACGGCGATGACGTTGCCTCGGTCCACGAGGAAGACGCGGACCGTGTACGACATGCCTGCGACGAGGTTTTGCGCGTGGAACACCTTGCTGCTGGTCTGGTCAAAGCAGAACTCGGTGAGACCAGTCTCCGTATCACCGTTGCTCGTTGGCACTGCGTTTTTGGCGTGGATTCCCAGACAAATCTTCGTACCACGGAAGGAACTCGGCATGGTGATTTCTCGAACGACGAGCTCGATGTCCACCTCGGTCGTTTCCGCCACTTGGCCATTCACGGGGGTGAGAATCTCAAGGAAGGGATGGTGGAAGGACGCGAGCGTGGACTCTACCGAACCCCCGATAGAGACGGCGTCGGCCTGCCGATGCAGGCCCGCCCACCACCAGCAGGACCACCAGAACCACGTGGACACCAACAACATGCAACCGCAAGTGCGCACTTTCCAAATTGCCATGACACAGGGAAGATCGGATCCGGATAATTTAGATAAGCGTGGTGGTATCCGACGACTCAATTTTTTTCGGTTTTCTCAAATGTCATAACGAGTAATTGAGGAAAATACTCCATTATTGTGGGCGATATATTTTGCCCAAGTCGCTTGTGATTGGCCATTACGATCGTGAAATTCCACGCCTCCCATCAAATATCGGCGATGAGTGCCGCAGCATCTCTGCATCAACTCTTGGTGCCAAATGACAACCCATCCAAGGCCAGTGATCGAAAGCATGATGTCCTGCCATTTGTGCCTCTCTTCACGAGGCTGCTTCATGCACGAGAATCCTCCGACGTGCCCACAGACTCGCGTCGAACGCTGAAGGATCTACTGCATGATCAGCCGGATGCGACACTTGGCAAAGAGTACGCCGTCGCTTTCCGTCAGATCGCTTCCATCGACACCATTATCCAAAAAGCAGGCTCATTCGACCCATCGGTGTTTCCCGACTCGGACGGCGACGACCACGTCGCGCTTCGCCGAATCGAGTGGACTCTCGGTACCCTGTACGTGGCCCTGGAGTCTCGTCGGGAGGACAGCGCCCATCGTCTACCGTGGATCTGTGGCATTGCCAACCATAGTCATGTGTTGGAGCTCCAATGCATCCTCCATCACGCGCTTTCAAGCGACTGGATCCCGTTGTCGCCACCGCTCGTGTCGCTACTCCTCGAGTCGTCCATCGGTCGCACCCTGCTCGTAGGTCTAGTCCAGAACGATCCGAGCGCCGCGTCTTCCATTGTCGAGTTGATTCTCTTGGCCATGCGCAGACAAGTCGACGTCGAAACCCACATGACGCTCGTCGCGATCGCCGACGCGACCACGCCCCATGCCGTTCGTCGGCAATGCGTCGTCGCCGACTTTCCGTACGCCGCCGCCGTGGCCTTGGACATCACATGCCGCCTCCTTCACGACACCCCCGTCTTCTTGAATGGCGTCATGCAAGGCACAAAGCACGTCACATTATGGTCCGTCGTCACAGAAGCGCTGACCCAAGACCCCACGACTCCGTTCCGAAGGCACACGTCCGCCATCCTCGGTCGCGTCCGACTGGAGCTACAGCAAGCGCTGGAAGCTTTCCTCGCCACAAAGCCAGTCGATGTGGTGGCTGTGTTGAAGGCATACTGCGGCCTCGTCGGGCGCGGGTCGCTGGCCGTAACCGACGTCGAATGCTCGCTCCTGTTTCGCGTGATCGGACAAGAATGCCACCGCCGCCGTCAAGATAGCGGCGGCGGGCGTTCCCACAGTCGCTTTGTGCAGGTGGCGTTTATCACGATCGTACTCGTGTGTTTGAGCACCCTGTCGCAGCCCGTGGACGCCGCCGCCACACAAGTGACAAAGGACGCGCGGCATCTCATTGGTCTGCTTTACACTCTCGACACGTCCAAGTCTGGGTCGCTGTTTTTGATCACAGCGTTGCTCCTGTATACTAAAGTATGTATACCATGATGTACAATATCGACGACATATGACGACATGTGGTGATGACGCTGATGCGATGGTGTTGTGATATCTGTAGCCTGGAATGGTGGTGGATCTACTTCGAATTGTAATCGATAGCCACGTGGTCGTACACTCGGACCGCGTCCCGCTGTTTGGAGAGGTAACTAACTACTGCAGGATGTTAACTATTATAACTACATCAATTCATATCCTCTCCATATCAAACTCAAAAAGCAACCTCACATCGCCGTGTTTATCGTGGACTAGTATGTGCTCAAGCTGGATTTCACAGAGCATGTCTTGGTGCATGGGGTACGTTCGTGTCTACACTACATGCGTATATATATATATATATATATATATATATATATATATATCCACTTTGAGAGAAATATACAACATGGATCCGTATCTAATACTGTCGTCTCGTGTCTTCAATACATTCGTATATATATGTATATATACTTTGAGAGAAATAAACAACATGGATTCGTATCTAATACTGTCGTCTCTGGTTATGGTAGCTGTTGGGCATGACGGGAGACGCTGGATATATCAATGCGACGATGGTCGCTCCGTCCAGAGAATGGACTCTCCGTGTCGCATATTCGTTGCTGTGCGAACGGTCGTTTGTTCGGCACAAAGTGAACCCGAACGAGTGGCTGTTGCAGCATCAAGTAGGGCAAACTTGGTGTGTTTTCATGGGTTGTTTCCATATCCTTTTTCAATCTGTTAGATCCACAAGGCGTCTCTGCCGATCCATCCAATGTTGCCGAATATGGTCATGGAACTCGTGGAAAACCATGTGACAGCGTTCGACAAGGCGACGCAGCAGTCGTCGATACCCCCGCTTCGACCCGCGATCATCCTCCCCGTCCTCCTTGCCGTGCTCGACATTCCCTATCCAGAGCCGCCATCACACGTCGAACATTTACGTTCGAAGCTGTCCAATTTAAGCTTGAAATCGTCCAATGTGTGGGCGACCGCGACGCTTTTGCTCGTGTATGTGCTGCACTTTAACCGGCGCCACGTCACAGATGCCGCGAGTCGCAAGTACGACTTGCACGCGCTTCCGATCGCGCACATTTACCGCACCGCGTCGAGATATTGCTCTGTTGGGGATGCATTTGAGTTTGTGTTTCCAGTGCTGTCGCGGCTCGTTCTCGACGAGTGTCCGTACGTGTTATCGTCGCTTTCTGTCGTCACATCCCAACCGTCGCCTGCCTCGCTATCGATATTGCCGCCCACGCATGCGTCCTTGGGCCGTACATATGGACATTTGAAGAAGACACAGCAAACGATCGATATGCCCGTGGTGGTGGATCTCCTCTGTGACCTCGACTTGCTTCCGATCGATCAAGCCATCCCGTGGCTCACATGGTTGGTTGAGACGGTGCTGCCAGTGGCGATGGGGTCGTCGCCGCCACTTCAGGAACCATCGACGCTGTCCATGTTCAAAGCCCCCAAAGACAAGCTGTTGGCGCGGCCGTCGACGGCACTAGCCTTTCCCGAAGTGTGTGGACTCATCCAAGCGGTGTGGAGTCGGTCAGCAGATAGACATCCCACTCCCCACGCCTTGCAGTTGCATCTTGTGCATGCGCTCTGCCCCGACGGCGCGTATTCGTTCCAGGACCTCGTCCAAGTATGTCTTCAATATTTTTTGTTGTCCAAGTTTGAACGACGTGTCTGGGCCTTGTAGGAACCGTTTTCGATCTTGCGGTGTGATCCTCGCGTATGGCGGCATGGGCCGTTGCTCCAGCTGCTCTTGTCGTTGCTCACAGCGTTCCGCGACGTATCGAGCGTACATTTGCGCCAACTTCACGCGGACGACGCGCTGCATCCGTCGACGGTCGACGTCAACCAGTTCATTCTCGTGCAAGATGCCATCATCGTCCATGCGTTGCTGAATGTGATCGCCCGTCTCGATGCCGAAGAAGCGTACCCCCAATGTGGGCATATTTATCGCTGGCTCGACGCTACGTTTCGCCAAACTCCGTCGTTGCTGCTGGCCGTACATTCTCAAGTATATATATATATATATATATATATATATATATATCATATGACTGAATGATGATGTACATAAAATGAATGATCCATCCTAGGGATATGCCACGTCACTAGTCCGATTGCTCGTGAAAGAACTGCCAGCCATGTACGACCTCCTGCCGTCGATCCCAGACCTCTTGAGTGCCAACGACTTGGCGCAGCTCTCGTTTCGATGCCATTTGGCGAGTGCGCTGTGTCGTGAGTACCCCGACGCAGTCTCCACCGCCGTGTTGAAGACTGTTGTGGCCAAAGTCAAACTTGTATACGATACGGACCGGTAATACCGTGTTGCCATCAGTCGTGTCACCGCTTGATGGCGTCTGGATATACTGTACGATGACTAATACTAATATGCGGGAATAGGGCCCAAACGGCCGACAAGTTTCTCAGCACCCAAGTGGTCGAGTTTCTCACGGCCGTGTTGCCTGCGCTGGGCGCGATGGCGGTGGCGTTCTGCGACATTGCCGAGGAATGCGTCCAACTGCTCATGAAACTACGCGTGCAAATCAACCACCAAATGACAGACACGCTCAACAACAACACCGCCGTGAGCCAGCTCGAAGGCACCGTCCAACGCGTATTTGCCCAAATCGTACGATCTACGCACGAGTCCTAAAATATATATATATATCAAACGACCACGACCGTCCTTCGTCATTCTGTGGATTGCCGAACATGACATGGGCATACATACTAATTCTGAATCCGCACAAATTAACGGTCAACGGTGTAGCAATTAGATTTGAAGTTGTTTGCAACCAGGTGACATCATGGCGATTTCGCGAGCCGACGACGATAGCGCCCCCAACGCCGTTTCGATGATGTGCCTGCATTCTGCAACGTGAATATGCCACGCTGCAATGTCCATGGAGGAGGTGGCTACATATACAAACATATATAACTCGAATGCGCAATATTACGAGGCTGCTAGACTTACGTCGATGGTGCAACAATACTTCCCATTTCGACAACAGGTGGTTGTTTGCGTTCAACGTGGCCGACACTCGGCAGGCTCGTTTGCTGGCCAAAGCAGATTTCAATCGATTCGAAGCGACGGTTGTTGCCAATCGCAACCGCTTGGCTTGTCGCTTATCGCCAACTTTGTCTTGTGCTTTTCGCTTAATTCTTGACAATAACGACGTTGTGTTGGTGTATAAAGAATGCTGTGCAAGTGGGGGTTGTTCTGCCTTCTCAGGACGCACGTCGTTGACTGGCTGCTGACTCAAGCGATGGAAACGAGATTGGATCCGTTGGGCGAACTGGAGCTTTTGCATCAAGCGATCTGCAGCCTCGTGGTTCAACTTCGACGGGTCTTGGGGCTTTGGTGGGAGGATTTCGTACTTGATGTTGTTTTGAATGCGTTGTTGACTGTCGAAACTCGGTGGCGTGGTCGACCCCCGAGGTGCACGGTCGATTTGATGTTCAATCCCGTCAGTGCTACATAGCCTTGACTGCTGGGACGGCGAAGTTAGTTTGCGCTGGTTGTGGCCTCCATCAATTGAGTTGGTAGTAGCCACAACTTGCGGCAGCACAAGCCCAGGCGATGGGTTTGGGCTCACTCGCTCGTCTTTCACACGGTGGTTCACTGTTGGCTGATACGTCAACTGTGCCACCCTTCTTGGCATTCGCTCCTTGGGTCGTGTGCCCCTTACGTTGCACAGGGCTGGTGCATCCGATGTCTGATTCAAGCGATGGAATCGATTTTGGATACGTTGAGCCAGATTGACCTTGTTCAACAGGCGCTGTGCAGTGTCATGGCTTGAAACCTCTGACGAATCGGTTGTCGATGTGTTTTCGAGGATTTCGTACTTGACTTTTGCAATGGGGGGGCTGGTGATGACACTTTTCGTTCGTGTAATGCTACTGGATCGTGTCGTCGACTTGACTGCTATCAACGCTTCACGTTTGATTCGAAGTTCAAGCCCATCAGGGTTTCTTTTCCGTGACACCCGCGAAATCTCGGTTTCCATAGACGTGCGGTCGACGACACAGGTCGTTGGCATGTGCTGACTTGCAACTTGTGGTAACGTAAGGTCAGGCAATGAGATTGGACAGACAGGTTCGCCTTCAACCACGTGGTTTACTGTTGACTGGTGGGCCTTCAACCGTGTCAAATTTGACATCAGCTTCCCAGGATTGTTCACTTTGCAGAGGACATGAGTATGTTTTGCACAACATGGCGATGTACCCGTCACGGGGCCATTCCCAGGAACGCCCCCCGGGTGTGTGCTTTCCAAATTCGTCTCTAACTTGATACTGGTCGATGATGTCGTCCCTTGGTGCGATACCCTCGCATTTTGTCGACTTGCAATTGTGGTATCACTGGCTTTACCCTGAATCATCATGTGCAGTCAGTTATAAACCGTCAGGAAGTTGAAGTACATACATTAGTTTGAACTTGATCCCAACGTTTCTTCGAACGTGGCTGAATCATGGTTGCCAACTTGTAATTCACTTTGACCTCAGTCGACTCGTCTTGGGGCATTGTAGGCGTGCGAGTATTACTCCATTCTCTGGCCTTGGGAGCAACAACTATGGCGTCATTCATGATTAAATCGGATATTTCGTACGTACTTGTGCCAACGTCGGAATTAATTCTGAGCTCTGTTCCTCAAAGGGTGGATCACTTATCGTAAGGATTTCAGCTGCCACCTACGTAACGCTGATATGAAGTCCATTCGAGCCCTTGTTGTGGAGAACCTGGGATGGCAATATGGAATTCCCATTAGACATGATCGCAGTCTCAATGATCTCCACCTTGAGCTGGACTTCAGGTGCACGGGAACGAAGGTTGGCGTGTGTTGTTCCTTTCTTGCCATGCACGTTAATTTCAGCCTTTTTCTTCTGCTTCGAAAGAAAGTTCTTCGCCGGCAAATACTACGGGATACAAGGTGGGAAACTGCATCTCGATTCAAGCATACGAGTTGCAGGTCGAAGTCGACGGGCTGCTTCGGAAGCGACATGCTCTGCAATAACATGTTAGAATATATCCACAAGAATGATATGATACCATGATCGACATGAACGGGAAAGCTAGGCAGCACGAATTCGATTTCGCCAGTTTTCGTTTCTTGAACGCTTTCCACTTGTCGCTTAGTCGCAACGACCGGTACTTGTCACTTCGAGGGGTCGCCTTGACATTCGTTGCGCATGGGTAGTCATTCGGGGTGCTGGCGTATCCTTCGAAGTCGAGGAGACTGATGGGCCTCAACTTGAAGATACAAGCACAGGTCGAATTGCCGTCGTCGATCACGCCCAACTCGGTGTCCATGGTCCAGGAAGCAGTCGTTCCATCTTCGTAGATGATAGTGTCAGGATTATCCATGCTCATGTTGCATTCCATGATCCACGTCGTCGGCGGCATGGCAATATTATGTCCTTGTCTCCTGCTGGTGGAATCTCGGAAAGTGAAACCCTTCGCGCTCTTTTTCAAATCCGTTCAAAGGCCTCTCAAACATAATTCTCTCGAAAACCTCTGTAATTTTATTTCTCGTCGCACTTAATCAACGATTGTCACGCGGCCCTCCTTTTCGGGGTATGCGATCAAGCGCTTCTTCTCAAGGAATCGGATGGCCACTTGAGCGATAGTGTCGTCCGTAGCGAGGAGCGTTGCCTTCTTCCATGACACGCAGCCGTCCCCGCCGCCGGCAATGAACTTGGTCGTGGCCACGGTGACGTAGTCGTCGAGGTCGACGTTGTTGCCAAGCTCGTCTTGAAATGTTGTGATCTACGACCAGAATGAACACATCTCGGTGGGAGTTGCGACAACTAACACACCTCGGGGGTGTTGCGAGTTCGATCGTACGTCAATCGCAACCCTGACACGTGAGGAAACGATCCAGACAGCAGCGGGTAGTGCCTCAAATGTTGCTCCAGCGCCTCCTTCAAATCCCGCGCTTGGATGCGAAGCAACACTGCCGGACGGGGAAACGGCATTTCCTTGAGGACAATGCCCACCGTCAACTGCGATTTGGCTTCATGGACTAGACACATGCTTGTCGTTCCTGCTTCAGACTCTATCATCTCCGACAGACCTGTATCGCCGCGAACAAAGCCGCCATTGAGGACTCCGAATTGCGCGCCAAGTTCTTGCCGGACCGCGTCCGCGACCAAGTTGCCAAAGTTGCTTTCTTCGCCGCGCATCACCGACGTTTTTGTGACTAGGGGCAAGCTCAGCACGGCCAACTGCCGCGCGCCAGCTTCCAAGTGGTCCGCCGTCATGAACGGGGCCATGTACTTGTGCACCTAACGACCCCCTCCCTGTTATTTGTACATTCCTACGAGAACGATCGTACCAGAGCTTCGACGCCAGCGTCGGGGGTGACGTTTTGATTCGCAATCATCTTCCATGCTGGAGACACGGTCACTTTTCCGCTCGCCTTCCGAATGTCAAAGTCCAGTCGACCCAACCAATATGCATTCTGCCCCGACTTGTGAATGAATGTTTTGCCTTGGTACATCGTGAACGGATCGTGGTCGTGCCCCCCGATGATCACGTCGATGCCTGGTACGCGCTTGGCCAGTAACTTGTCGTGGGCGATGCTCACATGGGTCAACGCGATGATGACATCGGCCCCGCGGGCTTTCAAGTCGTCCACGCAACGCTACATTACATGGAGATTCCTCGCTGAAATACACTATATATGGAGCTTTATGGGGTTACCTTGGCCGTGCCCAAGATGTCCTGGAACTCGACCTTATCGCCCGGAAAGGACAATTGAGGGGTTTCGGGGGTGCAAATCCCAAACATTCCCACTTGAATCGCCCCATCTATGGGAATATTCCTTGAGCACAAGTGCTCGGTATACAGACAACGTGCCTTGCGCGGTAGATGCAATGGGAAACAGAGTCGTGTCCAAGCCATTGCCGAGGACATTTCCCGTCGCTTTGTCGCGGACGTTCGACCCAAACCATTGAAACTTGGACTCGGCCACTCGCTGCACAAGAATGTCCGAGCCAAAGTCGAATTCGTGATTTCCTACACACTCCTGAACATGATGAACAACAGGCGGCATCCAGTGGTACCGTAGACTGCATAGTCGATGTCCATGCGATTCAAAATGTCAATCATATGGGCTCTACATAAACTCGTGATGATCCATGAACGGAAACATACATGCAACATGGATCATTGCCCCTTGTAGTGCTCGCCTGCTTGAGATGCCGACAGAAAGTCACCGTTGATTGTCGTGAGTGTATGGTGCGTCGACGGGATGATGGCCCGCTCCGCTTGCAGAAGCGTTGCTAGCTCCGCCATACCTGCACATCCCGAACGTCAGATGGAACATACACTAGTGCATCATCTACGCGTACCTCCACGTCCTTGTTCGTTGGGCACGACATCGTACACATCGTTGACGGTGAGGAAGGTCAGCGTCGCCGTGGTGACGGTCATGTTGATTTGTGCCAGTTACTGTAAACCTAGTACTGCGTTCCACTGTACTTGGAAATGGAAACAGCATTATCCGGATGAATGGAGTGAAAAACGTCGCGTGAAAATTACCACGAAATTGAACCACTGCGACGTGATGGGTTTCATGACTCTCTGTGGTGTCTTGTGGAAGAGAGGCTTGGAGGGTTCCAGGGCTACTGAAGACGCTCCTCACAATAACGTTATGGAATACTAGCTAGCACTTCGAAGTACTCGCGATATATTCAACTTGGCGAAAATGTGATGGGAAATACCTTATTCAGTATGTATCACACTTTGAGTTTACTGTTCGTCGACGCCGACTATTGATTTGTGTATTATCCGTATCCGGTTGGGAAAAATTGATTGTCCAATGCTGGGACAGTCCTGCAGTCAGGCGTATTTTAATTCGAATCCACCAAGTTGGATACTAATCGCAAGTTAGATCGTACAATTAAAAACAAAATGCGTCCCACCGCACTCTCGCCACATTTGTTCGTGGCTCCCAGTGCTTTTCACAGTCATAATGGTCCGCGGACGAGTCGCCAACGCCGTGCGGCGATTTGCCTCCCACAGCCATGCTCAACCTCATGCGAGCGATGCTCATGCGGCAGTCCACCATCAAGCGGAGACGGCCATGCTGACCAACAACGTACGTGTGTCTCGTTATGCTCGTCGTGTGTGCTAACGAGGCGAGCAATAGGGCACCCATGTGTGGACAACCAAGGGATTTGAATGGTCCACGTACATGGGCATCGTCGGCGGACCCCTCGTCCTCTGGCTCGGTCTATCCAACGCCCCCGACACGGATTTCGAAGAGTATGGCCGCCGTGAAGCCGTCAAGCGCCTGCGCTCGGACGACGTCGTGTTGATTTCCCGGCAAAACACGATCAACGGCCCGTTTGTGTTTGTGAAAAACGAAATTGGCGAACGTCCAGCTTTGGATGAGTAAGCAAGAACGTTGAACGATCCAAGTAGACGTTGGTTGGCATCGCTGGTATATACTCCATGTTAATCGACCTTTTCTCGCAACATATATGCGTGCCTATCCTCAACGTAATCCTCGTTATGATGTTTTTCCCACGGACATTCTATGCTTCCAACTCCCTCGCCGCGATCCACTTGCGCACGTCGTCGGCGGTTCCCATCGATCTGAAACATATCCCATGTGTTAATATAAAGGTGTAGCCAGGACTGCATAATCACTTACGTGCAGGTAGCAGCTGTCGGTGCATGCTGCTGAATCAATCCAGTGAGGACGCCGCCATAACCCAGTTCCAGGAACGTGGTGTGGTCGTTTGGTGCGGTTCGATGTATGCACAGGTCGACCGAATCGCTCCATCGCACGGGCTGGACGACTTGGGCGGTCAAAGCGGCGCGCATGGCGTCGGCGTCTGTGCCTGGCATGTCCACCGCCGACACGTTGCACACCACAGGCACAATGGGCGGTCGGAATGTGATCGTATTGAGATGCGCCGCGAGGGCGTCCGCGGCAGGTTGCATGAGGGCGCAATGGAATGGCGCGCTCACATCCAACAGGACGGCGCGGCGGACCTTGCGCGACTTGGCGGCGGCCACCGCAGCCTCGACGGCAGCAAAGTGACCACTGATGACCGTCTAGTAGCTTGGATGAGGATTCGCAATGGAAATCGAGTTGTATGAATGATTACGACCTGCTTGGACGAGTTGTAGTTGGCCACAGAACACACTAAACCCGTGGACTCGTGCACCGAGTGGCAAATGTCATTGGCAACTGCAGGATCCACGGGAAACAGCGCGGCCATCGCGCCTTTATCGGAGCCGGCTATAGCTTTGGTCATGGCGTTGCCTCGAAAGTGCTGAGATGTGCGAGGTGAGGCAAGCACGGAGAACCAGATATTCGCTAAATAGGATGGATTGTATGTACCACCAAGTCGATGGCGTCGTGGAACGAAAGCGCTTCCGCGGCGACGAGCGCCGTGAACTGTCCAAGCGAATGTCCCAGTACACTGTGCACTTCGGACGCCACGTCAAAGTCCGCTTCCCACTAGTAAGAGTGATCGCCACACGACGTTGAATAGATACAACGCATGGGACTAGTGCTTACCTGGAGGATGCGCAGCACAGCCGTCGAGTGAGTCAATATTGCAGGCTGCGCGATGGACGTGTTGGTGAGCGCATCCTGCGGCCCTTGCAGCATAAGCGTCTTCAGATTGCGCTTCATGGCAGCTTCGGCCTCCTCCAGAAGAGGATTCACATGCTGAGGCCATTGGTCCAGCAGGTCCTGCAGCATCCCCACGCGTTGGCTCCCTTGCCCCGTGAACACAAGCGACGTCCATCGTCGCCTTGCCATCATCAATCGATCAGACACCTACTTTTGAGATGACTACCGTTGATTGGTTGATTTGTGGGTTATCGTTAAAGTTTAAACGTATTTTCTCGACGATCTTATATGCCTGGAGTGTTGGTTTAACCGTCATTTTTGAATCATTATTTTGAGCAAAAATACACGTTTAACGTTTAACAAGCCTACAGATATGTCGCATCCGAGGAGGCAAAGAGCACGTCGTGATCATTGTGGTCGCGCATTTCTCGATCACGATGACGACATCATGGGCTTCCTTGCAAGCGCGCCTAGGCTCGACGGTGGAATACGAACAATCGTAAGGAACATGATGCATGATCCACTGCTTGGATGACACCTTTCTCGACTTCTCTCATGCATTACCATAATGCGGGCGTGCTACAGGGATGCCGCTTCGGAACTATTCGAGTTCTGGTTTGGCTTGGCGTCGGATTTTGCCCAGACGGGGTCCAACAGTACGTGACTACATCGCTTTACACACGACAGTCCGCATCACGCCAACCTTGATCGATCCATCATGCGTTAGTTGTGCTCATGCAACGACATACCCGTCAAGCTCTCGAGATCATCTTCACGACGTACTCGGTGCAACGGATTCGCGATCCCTCCACCGACCTTTACGCCGTGCGGTACGTGCGCATCCTCCCATCCCATCCATGTATTGACCTCGTTTCAGCGAACTCTTCCGCCACGCGCAGGCCATCTTTGAGATCCTGCGCACCAAGCCCAAGTTCACTCCGTTGCTCGACCCGTTGCTCCTAGACACCGTCCACGACGCGAACGTGAACGCCCTGAGTCTGCTCCTCGTCACAACAGGCGTGCAGTCCCTTGAAGTTATTGCTTATGGTGACAACATCCATGCCGGCGTCCGCGTCGACGCCTTGTCTACCCTCGAGAGCATCTTGGAGTTGTGGGAGTTCCTGGCCGCTGGGCCGTGGGCACACGTGTACTCTCCATCTCCCCACGCATCATCTTCGTCTGTCTTGACGTTCCAGCTGGCGCACCTGGCGCAAACCATCTCGTCCGTCTCGACCGACTCGATCGTGCGAGATGCCGCCCTCGTACTCATCCAGCACATCGCGCGCTTCGACAAGACATACGCGCCGGTCATCGCGCTCAGCCGCGTCGCGCGGGACGTGCTGGCGCTGTCGCCGCTCTGGTCCATGGGGGTACTGGCGTCGTCGGTGGCCATGGAGCACCTCATGACCAAAGTCGTCGCCACCTCCATCGACCACGCGGCATCGAAAGCCCTCTTTTGCACCGCTGTCATGTACGTAATGCAATATAACATCGTAGCCCCATGCAATAATAATAATAGAGACGACTGTATATTGGACCGTTTGTTGATTTTGAAAATGAATATATATATATATATATTATTGTCCCTTTATGGTGAATGTAGTACCTCTGTGATGGATATACAGCCGCCATTGGTTTGGGCTTTCTTTGGCTGTATTGGCGATTCAGCCAATATTTGGACTTTGGGGTTGATCCACCGACTCTATTGATCGATATATTTTGTACGGAATTATGGACGTGTGTCGCTCTTCACACTAATTTCAGTCATGCATAAATCTTGTGGATGCGAGAGTTTGATTGGCTACTTGATTCGCGTTCTGGGTTTTGATTGGTCGATCGATCGCGAGCAGCACCCCACTCACTCCAATTCCGACTCGAATGGACAATATAATAGCACATATATATATGGGATGGTTTGGTAGCAGTGAATGAATGAATATGTGAAATAGGCTGGACGACCAGCGATATCTTTTATGCGAGTCCAATTGAACCGTGTGGGTGTCGTGTATATATTATATATATATCTTGTAGCGTGTATGTATTTCCAATATATATATATATATATATATATATTGTCTCAGTACTTGTGGCTCCAATCTCGCGTTGGAGTTGACACATCGTGACGACAGAAAGCTATTCGTCCATCATGATCCATATGCAAATCGACGTTAGTATATCATACTTATATACACTTTTAGCATATGTGGTGTGGTTTCGAAATCGAATAATATTCTTCTCGATCAAAATATTTATATTCATATATATCATCAGGGAATCGCTATACGAAGCGTTGATGAACCACCGATCAAGTCGCGAGTGGACATTTGACGCCAAGCTGTTTGAGACCAACCTCACGCATCTCTTCCACGCGTGCCTGCACACGTTCAAAATGTACATTATAACAAATATAACAACTTGTATAACACAGTTATAACACAGTTATAGGCACCCCAATGAAGGCAACCGCGTGGTGCTCCCGGACGCATACCTTCATGCAATGGAAAGCGTGCTACTCAACTACCCAGACTGCGTCGGCATCGTGCAGTTCGCTCTGGATGCCAATGAATATGGCATGTTCGTCATGATCAGCCGCACGTCGCATGTGTTTGCCGCGAGTGTCTGGACCGATCTCATCCTCCCGTTTGCCAGGTGAGTTGCTACCAAGTTTAGGTAGACAAGTACGAAAATCATCGGTCAATGGGTTGGCAAATATATATATATATATATATTTATAGTGTGGGAATATATATATATATAGTGTGGGAATGCTTTGAGCGTTCATGATATACACATACGGGTGACATGATGATACAGAGGAAGGTTTGGTCCCGTGGTTTTGATGAAATCCATTCGACTGCGAGCTTTCTAATATATATATATAAATTCAAATGTGATGTTTCTCGAATATATATATATATTCAACATTATGTGATGCTGATTCTAGAACGCAACTGGCGTTGTTGCCGCTGCAAGGCGTATCTGGCAACCAGCGGGACCAAGAGATTGTCAATCTCATTCGAGAAGCGTGTCGGCTGTACTACCTTAACATCGACCGTGTGCCACCTCCGTCATTGGGTCGAAACATATTTATCACGGTCACCCAAGCCATCCGTCACGGGTACGTCGACTTGGATATCTTTTTGGAGTCATATATATATATATATATATATGTATGTTCCATCTTGGATTATTGGCCAACGATAATATGAGCATGTACCACTCCCGTAACCTTGTATATATAATAATATATATTTTCGATCAAGCATATATGCCTTGACATGAGATCGTGGTGTGATATATAAGTATTACGCTTATATGCATGGATAGTAGCTATATCTTGACTTGATGAAGAATATATATATATATATATGTATATTTCATCGATAGCTGTACGCATATATACTAGTATTTATATATTTGTTCCTCGATAACTATATTCTGAGTTTGATTGGCGGGGATAGGTACATTGAAACGGAGCGGTTTACGGAGATTTTGGCGCTGATTCTCCATCGGCACTACTCGATGGGCCATGTCCAAGTGTACCAGTGGATTCCCACGCTCTTGTTGCCAGAGGTGGCGCATAACCACAAGACACGCCGGGCGCTTGTTGAAGCCCTGCTCATTGCATTGGGTAAGACTATTTTACTTCGATTTATTTGTCTATTTCTTCCATTTCACGAAATATTATCACCCATGTGTCTATAATTAGGCCTCCAAAATTCAGCGTTTGGCCTCGAAAACGCCATCATATCGGCGGAAACCAGCAAGGCCATCTCCGATGCGTTTTCCGTGATCGTTGCCAAGTTCGTTTCCATTATAATTTAGAATTATATTTTTATATACTATAATTAATGATATATGTATAAATATTGATGTATCGGTAGGTTGCGCAGCGGTCCCGCCGACATGCTGTGGCAGGAAATTTGCTTGAATTTCGGCCAATTCGTGCTCGAACATCGACCTGCCTTATCAGCGCTCCTCCATTCCATCAATGTATGTCTATATATATGATATCTTGGTATATTATATATATGATATCTTGGTATTGTGCTTTTCAGTCAACTTTGCCTATCTTGGGGAATTGATGAAATCGCCAACCGATCGAGCAAACGAGTATGATTGGCTAAACAGAATGAATGAAGCAAAATGATTGGCTAAAAGGTTTGATTGTTGTACGTGTATTGCAGTCACAAAGATACCTCTTAAACTTTGTTTTATATGAAATTTCGAAGGTCCAGCGATTCTTCGGCGGTACATTCAATCAACCACAGGAGGAAATTTTGAGTAGAACACACCATACTATATCAATATGATATCTTGGTACTATGTATATATGATCGCAAATGTATGTATCAGTACTGACATATCGCTTACATATATATACTATAACTATATATATATATATGAAAAATCATGCTGAATCGTCTGATCTGTTCACGGTGTTGTTTTGATCCCGTCTGGTGGAATTCATAATGTTGCCCAAATACATCCCATATATAAACATATCCCATATATATATATATACAGTATATATACTACAGTATATATTATAGTATATATATGACATCGTCATGACATTTAGCTGGAACTGGATGCGTGTGCGATGCGGGGGGTTATTGGCGTGGACCGGCTGGAGTCACTGACGGAGCTTCTGTACGCCATGTCCACGCGCATCGACTCGACGGATGCATTCGCGGTGGTTCAGCTCTCCCTCCAACTGATCCAGCTGGGCGCGGGACCCTCCACGGCCAATATGTTTGAAGGCACCCTCGTCAACGCATTCAACTTGATGTCTGAAAAGGACTCGCTCGACTTGGTACGGCACTGTATCGCATACTAGTATCATGTACTAGTATCATTTACTAGTTAACCGTCGTTGGTTGAGAGTTATCTGTACAATGTCCTCAAAAGAAGATGCAACTTCGGGGATGGCTACATGTGGGTTTGCTGCGTTGCATCGGTTGGGACATGAATATATATATATATTCATGATGTACAAGATATATATAATTGATGTCCATGATACTTATATGTATATATATCGACGCACATGATATATCTATTCGATTTTAAAACGACGTCGGATTTTTTGGTTTGCCTGGATGTGCATGTTTTCATAATATATATTTAGTAAACAATTTGCACTTTTATGCTCATACATATGCCAAATCCATCGTTCGCGTCCAGCGGTGATACCCAACACACTATTTAAAGTCACTCAGTGATTTGTTGTTTATTGGTTGAACCGATGATTTCCTGCAATCTGATTGGCTACATTCGTCTGCACATAATTGGTTGTGTCGATCCAGTTTTGAAAATAAAGTTCTAGATAACGACGGAGTTGGCGCTGAGCATTTGCGGCCCGCGAGCCCGCGCGGCGTTGGCGCGCTATGTGCCGCACATGTGCTTGGAGGACGTCGACCCGACCGTGCGCCAGGCCGCGCTTCGCTTCATACTGCCCCATCCGGATCTCATCCGGACGCACTCGCTCGCGGTGATTCGGTCGCTCTACTGGATCCACCAGTATGGACTATACAAACACATTTACAGTGTCTCATATTGCCCATTTCGCTGAAATTTGGACGTGGCAACTAATTCGAGAATCGAGTGGAGTATGATGTATATCTTATTCAAATTATAGTATACAAAGTTGAAGATGAACACATTGACTGGGCCAAACTGCTGGACTGCACGATGATTGGTTGAAATTTATCGTGATTGCACTTTGATTGGCTAGGATAGGACATTCTCAACCACATTCGATCAAGTCCATATTGGAACGGATATATTTGTCAATATATATATATATATATATATATATTCACCACACGAAATAACTCTGACGGTGTGTATGCTAGCCCCATGTTCAAAGCCGAAGATGCATCTGCGACGCTGTGTGTCGACCAACTCGCCCTCGCCACCGAAGCCTGCCCCGTACGTTTTTACCAGTGGATTGAACTGTATGCGATGATGTTCGAAGAATATACGTGTAGATAAATATATGTGCAATCAACACAACAGGATGGACGGAATCTCAAGTTTACTTTGTCCTATGTAGGTGCTGGTGGTGCTGGCTGAAGTGGCGCCGCTGTACGTCAAGGAGTGCGTGCTAAAGCTGCTTAGCGCCGCCAACATTAGTGCCGTCAACGACCCTTTGAACGAAGCCAAGTTCATTTCGCCACATTTGGATGAGGTGGCCATCAAAGTGCCTCGCAATGCGCTGATTCGACTTGTGCTCAGTCCCGCAGGCATTGCGTTGCTCCCACTGCTTGTACGTTGCCTCGCTCTTTGCTAGTATTGTTGTACATAGCGAATATCCTCGATATGTAGGTGTTTCTAAGTGCCAAATGGCAGCAGCTGGTTCAAGAGATGGTGCAAAGCGGGTTCGTTGTTGAGTCCACCGATATAATCGGCAGCTCTTCCCAGGAAGCGACGGAGTTCGCCAGTTTGGATCGCATGGTCCGCAGCAGTCGGCGGGGGGCTACCCCTCGCTCCTTTCAATGCACCGCCCAAGGCCGCGACACCCTCGCGCAGCTCTTGGGCGCCGAGTACGCCGACACGGCCCAAACTGTGCCTTCTCGAAACCAAGTACGTTTCCTCATGTTCTTGACATCCTCTTAATTGAATGCGATGCAATATTGTGGTATATTCGATACGAATTTCCAGACCCCGTCGAATCGAATCGCTGAATCGAATCACGAATCGACACTATTGGTTAATCCATTTTAGAGTGGATTATTTGATTGGCTCGAAAGGAAAAGTATATTCAACCAATCAGAACTCCGGCGTGATTCAATATTGATTCGACAAACCAGGCGAAGTTTGGAAATTTATAGCGAATTCACAATACATGCTTTTACCCTTTTCACCGAAATTTATACATTGCGCGTCATCTGTTTCTGCAAAAAATGACAAGGTTCGAGGTTTGCAATAATGTTTTAGAGGTGTACGTATAATATATTAGAGGTTTGGATAAATAACCTGCGAAAGTACATTGTGGTATACTATTAATAGTTATCACGCACAACATAGCTTATCCGGATACGAGTCCACTTATCCAGTCAAATTTGGTTCACAGTCTATCAGGAACCTTGCCAGTGTTAGATGACCAACTTGGACCTGTATACATTTTGTCAATTTTTGCGAATTTCCGCGATTGGCTTTTATTAGTCGATTCGCTTTACATCGTCGAATTTCATTCAAAATTTGACATTGAAGATATGTATAGAGCGGTTATGGGGCTATGGACCTCATAGTTTTCACAGGCTTTGACGCGCATTCTACCTTTGAGTGAATCCACTTGACCCAAGTTAGGCTTGTATACACTATGCAATACAAAATTTAGCCTGTATGAGGTTTTGCCCAATGCCGATTTATTGGGCATACTATATCGACAGAACAAGATTTGATTGGCTAGGAGATTCTCAAATCCATTCGATTCTAATGGCGATTTCGAATCGACTTGACAATATAATACCCAACAGTTCTAATATTGTTGTACAACTAGCTGCATCAGTTGATTGTGGTGGAGCATGACAAGGGCGGGTTCATGAAAGCGCTTCGACTGGCCAATACCATGCGCGCGTGGTACCCCGACGACTACGTCCAACTAGGCACCCACACCCTCGTTCTCGAGGTATATTTCATACTATTATTACCTGACAGAGTAGTAGTACTTTAAAAATATCCTAGAATATATAAAGTCTGATTGCCTTTACTTGTACTGTAGACGTTATTACCCAAGGTTAAGGACACGCACTTCCCTCCCTTGTACTCGAACGGGTTCACCACGGCCACGCTGGACGCGTTTTCGATGTACTACCGCATCATGCACGAAGTCAAAGTACGGTGCCCCGTACTTCTCTTGGAATACTCTTGTAATGCTTGATAAGCATTGATTTTGATCATAATTGCTCCATATATCACGATGAATGGGTCAATCGTTTTCATGTCGTAGCTGCTGTTTCCCGTCGAAGCTGAGACGGTGCTGCACCTGTCGTCGCTGCTGGATGCACTTTGCCTGGCAAAATTGCACGAAGTGGTCGCCGTCTGCGGCCCCGACGCGGCGCGCTCGTGGATGGACTTGCATGGGTTCCACTCGGCCGCCGCCACAGCTATCCTGACCGCCGCATCCGTGACCAAACCGTCGGTGTCGACTAGCACTACTAGTCCCCTTCCCATGGCGGCGCTGGTCCAGCCGTCTGCGCCATTGTGGGCTGAAACCATGCTGCATGTACTGGATGGCGACTGGCCTGCCGTCGCGCTGGACGACATCACCATTGTCGAATAGATTTATAGTTATTAAATACTATATATATTGTGTGTTCTACTCAAAATTTCCCCCGGAGGCAGCGGGAAATCGCAAAAACCGGTCAAAACGCGCAAAACATAATTTAATTTGAATGAAAAGTCTTAATTTAAAATGAAAATAGATTGTTTTCGAAATGTATTGTCCATTTTCGTCAAATTTCCCAATTTTGCATGGTTCGTTCAATCGAGCACAAATAGAGCCGAGACATCTGATTGGCCATTATCCGCTTTGCCCTTTCCAGTAGAAGGCCACTTTATCCGAAACTCCAGATAATATTCCCACATGCACGTGCTACTATATCCGTAATTCCGGATAACATTCCCCAAATCGAAATATACCAAATAGTACCAGTACAGTAGCATTTACAGTTATTGTGTATTCAACACTAAATTGGACTGGGGGGCGAATCGAATAGCCTAAACAAAGAGATTATGATTGTCTTAAGCCAATCACATCACTCCATTCCAGAGATTTTACCAGTCTCGTGCCCTGTCGCTTCGGATTGGGTAAAATCAGTCGGGAAAAACATGGAAAATACATTCGAAATCGCTTTGAAGTTTCGACTGCGAAGTCCAAAGTTCAGTGAAAAGCACAATAGCTCTACGTGGTAGAGATGCTCTGAGAGGTCGATGGACAAGGATTTGGACAAATATTTTAGGTCAAAGTATTGATTTTCAGTTTACAAAATGTAAACTGGGCTGTTTATTGGTGATTCGGTATGAATTTCCAGACCCCATCTCGCCGAGCGAATCGAGCACCAACCTCTCCCATTGGTCAACCCGAAATTACTTGTCTCTGATTGGATACAATCCATTTTCGAGTTTTTGGATCTGTCATAACGTTATGGAATATATTATCTATTTTGCCGCTATAGTGTTCAGTTATCTATTTTTCTACTCTTGGGAAAAGATAACTTATCTATTTTGGTGATGGCGCAAAATAATGTATTTTTCGTTTTTTCGAATAAAAAATATATTTTAAATAGATTCTGTTTTTGAGAATCCCGCACCAACAGTGCTGCGCGTCGAGAGTCGTCCGCGGCGCGTGGACTCCATCCTGTACTGCATCCACGTGTCGGGGTATGTCCCGCAGAGGCTGCAATAGCTTTGACGATGCAGTTCCTGTTCGAGATGGCACAGATGCTCGGCACATGTCTTCTCTACTCTATCGGCATCCATCCGTATGGTCGTGTTTCGGGCCGACATCCTTCGCAATCGACCTTCCATCTGCATCCTTCCCCCATTCCATGTCAAATCCAAGTCTCCTAGGGCAATCCAAGCCCACCCGACACATTCACCTAGCCGGCCATGGTACACTTTCCGGATACTGCGACCCCTGCCGTTGTTGCGCTCGAATATACAATCGAATCTTTTTTTTTTTTTTTCTATAGTGATAATATATTAATACATACACTACTGTACTACCTATTCTATCTAAGATGCGTTCGACGGATGAGAGAAACGAGCGTTTGATATATTGATGTTCACTACTACGGTTAACTCGGTCAGTGTAAGGTCGACGAAAGGTGGTGTCGTTGCTGGGAAAGTTGTTGAGCGTCGGTCGTGGCTGCCAGCAACGCGTCGCGCTCGGCCAGCAACGCGCGATGTTTGGTTTCCGCCATGTCGTAATACGCCAAGAAGAACGCCTGCAGTTCGCCGGACGTGGCCTCGTCCAACGGCGGCATCTCTTGATTCAGTGTTTGTTGATTCGTTGTGCGGCTATCGCTGGTCGATTGGTCGCGTTTCTCGCGAAGTTGGTCGAGTTGTTCGCGCAGTTGCTGGCACTCTGTCACAAGGGCGTCGCGATGCGCGGTGGTCGTCGCCAGCTGGTCGTCCCGTGCGTCGATTTCCATCTGCAGAAGTGCGAGGGTTTCCTCATGGGCCGCCGCGACCACGAGCATGTTTTCGCTGGCTTGTGTGGCGTGCTGGATCTGCGACACCGTAGCTTCCAGCACTTGAATCTGCTGTTGCAGCTTGGCTTCACATGCTTCCCACTGCTGTCGGTCCTCGGCTTTGTGCTTTAGAACAGTCAGCGTGTCTTCCTTTTGTGCGACAAGGTACTGCTCCTTGGCAGCCAACCGTTCTTGGAGTTGTTCCAGTTGCACGTGGAGTTCGTGGACGTCCGTCGTCCGTTGGTCGAGCAACTGGGCGAGTTGGTCCTTTTCCAGTCGAAGCTTTTCAACGTTGGACGATGCAGCATCCAGCGCTTTCTGCAACTCGTCGGCCCTGGCATGTGCCTGTTGGTGGTCGCTAGCAAGTTGGTCGCACCGTTTCTGGAGCGAATACTCGGCTTGTTGCTGCAAAGTCGAGTCGGCCATTGCTGCTGCAGCTTGCGTTTCCTCCAACTGGACTTGGACTTCGAAGCGGTCGAATTCTTGCCGATCATGGAGCTCGTCTTGGAAGTGCTGAATCGCGTCCTGGAGCATTTTCTCTTGAACCATTAGCGACTCGTTCAAACGACGACGCTTGGACGCATGTTGATCTTGCATTTTCGACGTGCATTGCTGGATGAGGTCTTGGACGACAAGCTGCTGCTTTTCCCACGCGCTTTGGTTATCCAGCAGCCGGTCCAGCTCCATGTCCGTGTCGGCAGCAGGGACGCTCGATAAAGGGGTAGCCTTGGGTTCCTTGAAACGCCTGTACACACGCTCGAGGTCGTGGCGCAAGTTCACCACGTCCTTCTCCAGTAGGTCCTTGTCCTGGCGAAGCTGGTCGTTCTCGGCCTTGATGGCGGCTTTCTCCTTGTCCAGCGTGCTGGCCTGCTTCTTCAGTTGCACGAGCTCCTTCGACGGCGCTGCATTCACCTTCGGTGGCACCTGCTCCTTGTTTTGCGCGTCCTGCACGAGCTTCTGCAGCAGTTGGTTGTGGTCGCTCAGGAGCTTCGACTTCCTCTCGAGATCCTCCTGCTTCTTCAACATGGCCTCCTTCTGCACCACCATCTCTTCCATTTTCTTCTCCAGTGCGGCATTGTCTTCCCGAAGGATCTCCATGCTAATCGCAGCAAGGTCCATCGTTTGCTCCATCGTCGATGGCGGCGCCGGCGGCCTGCCGATCTGGTGTTTTTTTTAGTGAAACCACCAATCAGGCAAATTGATTTGAACAAAGTATGCAATTATTTAATGGAAAAATACGCTCTGGTGACCTTTTTTGAAATTTGAATCACGCGAGTTGCAGCACACAGTATGCGATCTCGCGCGCAAAATGGAAGTCCCGATGATTGGTATGCTCGGTAAGCTTCTTTGACGCAAGTACATGGAGGTAGCAGCCTCCATCTCCGTGCTACCGACTGAGCCTGGTGAAGGACATCATGACATGCCGTTGGAAACGCTCGGCGTGGCTATTTTTGTCGTTCAACGACACTCCTGTATGCAAGGACGACTTGATGCAGCGGTCACCAAAGCGCACCGTGGTCGTGCCAAAGAATGCATCTTCACCTCGGAAACTTCGCGAGAAACCCGCGGCGGCAGACGTGTACCCGTCCCCTCCGACCTTGCCTCCGCGAGGTAATATCTGCTTCCAACAGCACGACAGAAGTCTCACGTTCATGTAGATCTCGTCCCGTGGGGTAATCAAGAGACCACAAGTACGAGGTACGAAGAATATGCTTGGTGTATCATCCCGCGCTGTAACCCTTGGTATGTCCAGTGTCTTCCATGCCAACAAACATCGCCGCAAACGCATCGATATGTACGACCACATGTTTTACTACATCGTTGGCATAATCTGTGTACATATATCTAGGAAACCGACGATGGGAGGCGACCGCGCGATGATTCCTCCCGCCGCTAGCTCCATCATGCACCCAATCATTCGCACGAGCATTGCCGCCGACACGTTGGACCAGCGGTTGAACTCGATCAAGCACCAAATCGACCACGTTCTTCTCGGTGGCATGCTCAAGGACGACACATCACCGCGGACATCCCAACACCCGAGTCCGCGTCCCATGACAACCAACGACACGCTTGTGTCGCCGCTGTCGCTGCGGTCCACGGTGCTGCCCGACATCGACGCGTCCCCCGAAGCCATCGCCAAGTCACAAGCGTACCTGTGCGCCGACGACGAGATGGAAAAGTGGATTCAGCACTACGAAGCCGAGAAGCACCGGTTCACGTCATACGCACTCTTCACAGAGTACAAGCTGGACCAACTGGTCAACTTCACCGCGAGCACCGGCCGCCCCAATGTCCTCGAAACCGCGGCATGTTGCGCGGCACTATTCAAGATCCCTGGCATTCTCGGCAACTACCGGTCGCTACTGCAAAAGATCGTCGTGGGGCTTGGTACACATATACACACCATATCTATCTACCTATATATATATTATATACAGTACATCACCATATCTATATATACAGTACATCACCATATCTATCTATAAATACAACACCATATCTATCTATCTAGATATTCATCACCATATCTATCTACTTATATATATATACAGTACATCACCATATCTATCAATCTATATATACAACACCATATCTATCTATATATATATATATTCAGTACAACACCAAATCTATCTACCTATACAACACAACACCATATCTATATATGGTATATCACCATATCTATCTATTATATATATATATATTGTACATCACCATATCTATCTTTGTGTGTCTATTGCGTGTTGGTTTCTTACGTTTGGTTGATGCGATTAGAATACGGACTCTATGGCGATTCCACCTGCGAGGCTTTGTTTAGTGATGACGTGGGCGTCCATACTTTGTGCACGCCGCGAATGAACGACCGGTCCAGCGTCGACATCGTCCGGTCGTTTTATCACCGCAAGCCGTTCTTTATCCAGCTGCGGGAACTCGAGCACGATCATGCGCTCAGCATCCATTTAGGTGGCGCCCGACGCTCCACGGTAACGTTCACAAATATATCACGATCGAATGCAACTGGGTGTTGTTATTTTAATATAACAATAAATCTGAACCATTGTTTTTTATTATTATTGTTTCACATTGAATTTCAGTGGATATGAACCGTGCTATATAATTATATATATATATATATTCACGTTTATAAATATGTCATGGTGCAGATATCCACGATCAATACAGTCGATTCCGAATCTCGGACGAGTTCATGTTTTCTATATTGTCCTTTTACGCACAGTTAGTTGGACTTTTGTGCTGATTCTTTGCCAAACCTATCGATCTTCTTTGTCCTGACTTTTGTATAGAAAGGTCTTCCAGTATCACACTACTTAATTCACACACTAATTCGGTGTTGAATTGGCCGAAGAGTGAATTTATTTGATTGGCCACTTGATTGTGTTCTGGGTTTTGATTGGTCGATCTATTGTCTGCCGATTTCATTCGATTGAACACCCCATACTAACTTCGAATCGACATGTGTACCTTGGATTTTGTATATATATATATGTAGGCCCTGCTGGACCAAGATAAGCGGCGCGTGATTGAACTGTGCTCGGCCGACCTGTTGGAAGCCGGGCTGCTTCGATTTGGCGACGATGTGCGGCAGCAGATCGGCATGAAGCTGGTCGCGTCGGTCGCGCATGGCGGCCCGCATCTCGGCAAGGCGCACATGTCGGACGTGTGCCGGCGGTTGCTCAAGCTAGCGGAGGCGCTGGATATGGACTCCAAGGCGCTGGTCGTATCCAGTTTACTCGACGAGTTGGACGTCGACAGTCGCGCGTTGTCGGCGTTCCAAGGCTTGGGGTACGTCGAATATTCTATTCTGTTTTAAAACAGGATTCATTCTAAAATTAAAACCATTCGTAGACTATATATATTATATATATATATTATATATTATATAAATATATATATTATATTTATATGGAATAAAAAACCCTTTCCAATCATTTCGACATGGTCCGATCAATAGCATTGATTTTTATAAAAAAAACTATTTTTATATATAATATATATATATATATATATGTGGAATAAAAAACCTTTCCAATCTTTTCGATGTGGTCCGATCAATACAGTATTGATTTTTATACAAAACTATTTATTTATATATATATATATATTTAGTGTCCCCATCGAATCATCGATGTCTTGTATCCACGGAGTCTTCACCCTTGTCGACTACTAACTACATTGTTCAGGGCGGACGGTGAAGCACGAATGCTAAAGTGGATATTACATCGCGATGAAAAGGATCGGTTCTTGATCAGGGATACGCTGGACCGCATGGACGATGCCGAGTACGTGGCATGTCTTGGCAATATGTACGTGCTGGCGTGCGACGTCCACCGCACGGCGTTTCTCTCGACGTTGCTGGGCAACAAGCACGAACACGGGTTCATTTGCGACCTGGCTAAAGTGATCAGCCCCGACCAGTTGGACCAACTCTCGGATTACGTCAACGGTGCAAAGTTGGAGTCCCAGCTCACGGGAATGGAACGATCGATCACGTCGGACTACCTCCATGCGCTCTTGACGGCGCCCGACACGTTTCCCACACCCTACACACCCTCTGTACGACCCCTCACTTTGAATGTGTCATCATTCGTGGCCATTGGGCATTTGGCTTGTTGTCTATGACTGGTGTACGACCTCTCACTTTGAATGTGTCATTCGTGGCCATTGGACATTTGGCTTGTTGTCTTTGACTGGTTATCGTGTGTATACAACCTCTCACGTTGATATGTGTCGTGCGTGGTCATTGGAATTTGGTTTGTGTTGTGGCCATTGGGCATTACGACCCCTCACTTTGAATGTGTGTCATTCGTGGCCATTGGACATTTGGCCTGTCGTCTATGACTGGTGTACGACCTCTCACTTTGAATGTGTCGTTCGTGGCCATTGGACATTTGGCTTGTTGTGTGACTGGTTATCGTGTGTGTATACTAATATATGATTTTGTAGGAACAACGGCGGTTATTTGATGACGTGTGCACGTTGCTGCGTACGTGGTCGTCGGTTGCAATCGACTTTTGCGAGCATTTGGTCGACAAGTGTCGGTCGTTGCATCCGACGCAGCGAAAGCTCTTGCTGGCCACGCTCCTCCATGACGACTTTAGCACGACCAAAGCGGCGCTGGCGGACCTCGTTCTGCGTCTCTCGCCCATGGAAAAGCACCAGATTCAGTCAATTTGGCACGATACGACGTTTGATCTAGGCTACTTCCACGACCAAGTGGCCCACATGTCGAGTGATACACGGTCCAAGGTGCTGTACGCTGTCATGCAAGCCATGCGCAGTAGTGGCGATGGCGGCGGTACCGTATCGGACAACGACGTTGTGTACGTTTACATCTAGTTCGTGATGTTGTTGTTGTCAGCGAAAACCCATGTCGACTTTTGAATCAATATATATATATATATATACTATGTAGTATATATATATATATATATTGTCCTTTTAACCTAAATTTGGCTGACTTTTGTGCTGATTCGCCAAACCGATCGATCGATTTTCTTTGGCTTTTAGAAGATCGTGCAGTGTCCACTAATTTCATTCACACACTAATTCGGTATTGAATTGGTCCTCGAAGAGTGAATTTGATTGGCCACTTGATGAGTGCTCTGGGTTTTGATTGGTCGATCTTCGATTGTTTGGTGATTCTGGTGCTACTCGATTTGGTGCACCCCACTCACTCTAATTTCGAATATCTTGACAATATATATATATCGATCGATGTATCGAGTACATACAGCTCGAATAAACTGGTCGTTGACGTGATTTGGATGCCTCTGATATATAAGTTCTTTTTGGGTGGCTATGCTATTACTTTCTATTTGTATGGGTATATGTGTGCTTGTTGATACCCCAATTGTGCACCCCAGCATAGCAACACGACGAGGTTGCGCAACAGATTTTGTATTGCCTTCTCAACATACAATACTATTTAAATTCTCGGTATATAGCGTGGCCGAGTCGAAGCAGGCCAAGACAATCATTCGATTCTGCCGCGAGCTGTTTGGTTTGACACTGATGGCAGACCCCCTCGGGTGTACCCCCCCCTCGAGCAACCACGATCCCACGACCTCGGAAACGGCCGCGCACACGCTCGACGTGCTGCATCAGCTAGACAGCACCACCCGCAACACGATCATGCAGTCGCTCGTGCACTCGATGCCGTCGTTGCCGTCCAAGTCGGCGGTGAGTCTGGTCTCGGACGAGAGGCGGAGCGCCATGCTAGCAGCCATCGACGGCGCGCTGACCATCCATGTGCATGGGATTCGCAACGATGATGATCATGATGTGTCCTCGGGGGGGTTGATGGCGCCATCGGCATCGGCTACTTGTGTCCGTGAAGTGTCGGTGGAAGAGCAGATTGTGCGTGGCATGACCGAAGCCGACACGTCGTCGCTGCTGGAGCATGCGATGCTGTCGGGAGGAGCGCGAAACACGAAGAAGAAGAAGAAGAAGAACGGATTTGCCAAAGTCATCGGGAAGGTCGTGTCGACTCTGGAAACGGCGGGAAGGCGGCAAACGTTGGATCGGGTACTGGTCAAGATCATGGAGCGGGCGACGGCGCTGGGTAACGACGCCATGACGGACGAAGAGCGCGCGGCGTTCGAGGTGCATGACATGTTACTAGAACGATGTCTCAAATCTTTGATGTAGAATGCCAGCACGATGGACAAGTTGAACTCGATCAACCACGTCGCATACCGAAATGCAAAGAGTGGACACCGATCAGACGACGATGAGAATGATGACGTGGACATGTCGGACGACGAGCGCGACACAGATGCACTTGTCAAGATGGGCATGGCCAATGTTGCGTGTCAAACCGAAGTGAACTTTGCCGTGGACGTGATAGAGGTATACATATTACTCTCATACGCTACAAATTGGAATGTACAAGAGATTTGGCTCCATCTTGGCGTGTCTGGTGGCCATGATATGTGTTTTGTATGAGCGTCGACGATGGCTTTTTATGTTAGGGTGCGTCTGGTAACATTTTTAAAAGTATTATTCCACTTTCTGGCAGAATAATGGGATTGGAATTGGGTTAAAACGCTTCAAACAAGATATGTTTCAATTTTGATCAGATTTATTGAATTCGGCCCCAAAATGGCAATTTGGGCCTGAATATTGCAATATTTCCGGTTGCCAGACCGGCGCTTAACCTATTGTCTTTCTTTTACCGAGCATTTGAACTATTTTTCTTGTGATGATTCTCCAAATGTATCGATCGAGTGCATTGTGAAGTTTACATGTAAAAAATTGTCCCGTGGTGATTGTGATCACACTAATTCAAGTCACACACTAATTTGACGTTGTGATGGTTTCCTGAATCTGATTGGCTAAATCCATATCTGTCGATAATTCTTCTGTAATATATTCGGTTGTGTATCGATTTATGTCGTTCCAGTTTAGAATACACACGACAATATATGATGTACTGTATGCACTAACGATGTGCTTTGAGCCAAAATTGGATTTAGTTTTTGCGTTGATTCATTCACCAATCCATCGACCACTTGTTTGTATTGAATTATGTATGTAAAGAAACATGATCAGTGTCACGCTACTATATCCTCCAATTAATGTATATATATATTATATTATATATACATGAATTGGAGGATGAAGTCTTGCGGAGTGAGCTGAGTTGGCCAGCTTCACTTGAACGTTTGAATAGGTCGAGCGATGATGTTATATATATGTTGCATATATAGTGGCCACGATAACAACCATACAATCTATCAAATTTGGAGCAAGAAACCCCCAACAATATGTCGTAATCTGACGTATGTCTCCACGTAGACACAAGGCGACGGCGGCGCAGTGTCTCATACACTAGAGACGCGCAAGCAACCTGTGACGCTGTCCAGCCTCACGAAACGCGCCAAGGGCGGCAAAAAGGTGATCAAAGTCGACAGCGCCGGCATCCCGAATGCTCTGGCGTCGCTGGTCACGTCATGGAAGATCAACGTCGATCAGCTGGCCATGTGCTGCAAGAAACCTCTGGCGGCGGTGCTGCGGACCATCGCCGATACGTACGCTGAAAAGATTGTGCGCATGAAGAAGAAGTACACAACGACCAATAGTGGCGGCGGCGGCGGTATGGCCAAGGACTCGCTGGCGCAGATTGCGTACCAGTCGCTCTTGCACAGCTACGGCCTTCCATCGATCGCCGACATGCACTTGATCGGGCTAGGCTCTTCGCTCGACATGTTTCGCAACCAGCATCGCCGCGTCGACTTGTTTTGCCAGTTTCTGTACAACGAAGTGCCCGCATCGCTGTTGGTGCACTTTCTAGAATGCGTCGAAGTGATACTGGACGAATCCATCTTGGACAATGCCGATTCTGGAAGCATTCACAGCAACAACCAAGCACAATCAAACAATACCACACGATTGGGGGTCCCGCCGTCGGTCTTTTCTGCGACACTGTCGCCGTCGGCGTCGGCGTCGGCGGTGATGGCCAAGAAAGCCCGCATCGTGCGGTTGAACATCCCTGACAAGGACGAGTGGACGATGCCGCTGGATCGGGCGCTGGAAGTGGTCCAATATTGCTTTCGCAGCATGCGACGGGTCCATGTATCGGCATTCTGCGACAGAGTGTCCCAAGGCGGATGCAACGCAGTCGACAGCACGACGACATCAATCGTCAACGTCGATGTGCTGCTGGGATGGGTGGTCAGCGAGTGGAACGAAGAGCAGCTCCGTCGAGATAAACATCTGCGGGATGCATTCCGCGCGGGCGACAACAACGGCGATGGGCAGTTGAGTTATGAAGAGTTTAGGCGCATTGTGCTAAGCATTGACAAGTCTCGCGATGACTCGGATGTGGTCCAGCTGTTTGGCGATACACTGCGCCGAACAGGGAGTGATACGATCGCCCCCGACGACTTTTTGGCCGTGGCCAAGGAGTACGGGCTGGCTGAGATGGCGTGGGACGCCGACGGCGATCTGAGCTCGATATCCAATGGCCTCGACGAGATGAACGCCATGTGGCCGTCTGTGCGGCCGTTCTTTGTCGGCAGCGTGGAAGCGCTCGCCCGCGATTTGCCCCCGACGCACTTTTTGCGGACTTGCGTAGCCGCGGGATGCGGATGTCTCAAGTGCTTGGTCGACGGGTATGCTGGGTTCCAGGTCATGCGTGATGAAGCGACGACCGACGCGATGCATGCCGCGGCCATTTGGAAGCGGTTCTGGCATCTCATGGCGCAGGTACAGATAGTCATGCAATATAATGCATCGTCGTCCTTCAAGTTCGACACTCGTCATGTGTATGGATGGGTGTTGTAGCTGTACGAAGCATGCGACAAGAGCGATGGCGTGTACACGCCGTGGGCGGGGTCGTCGCCGATCCGCCGATATCCAGCGTCGCGCGGCAGTGTCATTCGGTCCAACGCCAATCGACGGCATGCGTTGCCAAATGTGCTGTTGCCAGATGTCCACCGCATCACGGGCAAAGGGTCGTCTGAGGTCGAACACTTGAACGAGGCAGACGTCGTACAGAGGCTGCAACGTACGCTGGCATGAGATGACGAGGACTTGTTTATATTACAATTGGGAAAACACAAGATAGTGGAAAACTCTAAACTACTAGCATGTCAAGGAATATGGCACGATATGCAAATGCAGCCTCCTAAAAATGACTGGCGGCACTGCTGCTACCTTCGACGTAGGTCATCATGTCGTCGGGAACATTTCGCACGCCTTCCATCACAGACACCATTTGCCCGCCGCACGTAACCAGCACTCGCTGTTCCACACGCCCACCGTGACGCAAGTATGACGATGTGCTGGGATGATGGTGGTGGTGGTGGTAGTGATGACTGTGAGACTTGGACGCGGGCGGTTGTTGCAGGGATGCCAGTGTCATGGATGGGGGTGGCGGTGGTTGGAATGGTGATCGGTGTTGTTGTGGGGACATCACGGGGCTGCTAATGGGACTGCCGTCAGCACTACTGCTTGTGTCTGACAGCGACAGACTCATGCTTCGACTGCTCCTAGGCGACGTCAACGTGGCCAGGAGGGACGGATCACCCACGGTCGTGTTGTACTGTTCCATCATGATGCGGTATTCTCGCTGTGCCGTGAGCATCTTGAGGTCTTGGACGGTCATGCCGGAGCGAATGTTGGCGGGGTGGTTGGCGGCCGTGGGGGATGATGCAGAGGTCATCGTCGCGGTCATGTGGGGACCAAGCTGATTGAGAAGTGAACCACACGAATGAGATCTTCGGTCGTTTCCATATCGAACACAAATATGTCGATTTTCGAACGCGATTTCGTTGGCTCGCATTTGATTGGCTCGTTTTGAAACCCAACCTGTGCTGTCAAGACCCATCGAGACAGTTGAATGGTGGCTTGTTGTTACTAGGCTTTGACGATGCATGTAGTACGCGCTACACAGAGCTACGACCGCCATGGGGAGCCAGCTCCCCGACAGGCCAGCCCATTTAGAAAGCACAAGACGGACCGTCCAGGCGAGAAGGGTATAATCTGAGTGGTGGTTTCGATATTTCGGGGAGTTTCAACGGAGCTTCGAAAGGTACAGTACAAATACTTGCCCATCATTTTCATTGTCCAAAGGTATAAATAATACTAGTACTACTAGTACCTGATAGCTCCACTGACATTCACATGCTGTTGGGGCCTTGCATGTAAGGCAACATAACTACTTGAAGCGCTTACCTGCATGAGCTATATGTATAACTACAGTATCGTCTTACGGAGTAGTACTTCATTATTGGGGACTGAATATCAAAAGACGCCACAACATAGGCTACAAATGGTAATAGGGTGATGAAATTCAAAAACCAAACCCCAGGGTTGGATTTGTATGGGGAAATGTATTGAATTGAAACTTAAATATAGCCGGTGAAAATATAATTTGGGCCGACGCGATTTCCCCCTCGTTCGCCACCGTGTGATTGGTCCAGAGGCGAACAGTTTGAAATTTCACAAGAAAGTCAGTGGTACCATGGCACGCACCAAGCAGACCTCCCGCTCGTCTTCGGGTGGCAAAGCGCCGCGGAAGCAGCTCGCCGCGAAGAAGACCACGCGAAAGCAAACCCCTCTATCTGGCGGTATCAAGAAACCCCACAGATATCGTCCAGGTACGGTGGCGCTGCGCGAAATCCGCAAGTATCAAAAAACGACCGAACTCTTGCTGCGCAAGCTGCCGTTCCAGCGCCTCGTCCGTGAAATCGCGCAGGATTACAAGACGGATCTTCGATTCCAGTCCACGGCCATCATTGCGTTGCAGGAAGCCACAGAAGCGTACCTCGTGGGTCTCTTTGAAGACTCCAACTTGTGTGCAATCCACGCCAAGCGAGTCACGATCATGCCCAAGGACATCCAGCTCGCTCGGCGTATTCGCGGGGAACGCGCATAGGCGACTGTATATCTTGTGAAGGAATGAAATGCCCACATTTGCTTAATACACGCTCCATGTATCGAGTGTCCGTGGTCGCAATTCTTCCCTCCATCGTGGCAAACTCGGTGAATATGGCAGCAGTTTCTCGCATGATATTCCTTCTGTGTACTCCCCTGTCAGCGTTCGTAGCAAGTGACATGTCCATCGTACGGCTTCGTTCAATAACTTTCAGGACAAACACTGGCCTACGAGTGGAAAAGGCATGGTGCTAGTAAAGCAGCCCCCTCCACCGGAGATTGTCATCACGGCGTCCACCCTCAGGGGCATAATGTCAATCACTTTGGTTGTCATCGACGAGTTCCACAGTATTTCGGGTGCGCCGTTTCAAATTCAACCCTATCTCGGCCGTTTCGGGTGCGTTACGCGCATGTTTGTTTGGTCAAGGTGTTGTGTACCGCTCGCTCGCTATGGCCCGCACGAAGCAGTCCAACCGAAGCTCCACCGGCGGCAAAGCACCGCGGAAGCAACTGGCGGCCAAGAAGACACGCCCGCCGGTGTCGGGCGGCATCAAGAAGCCACATCGGTACCGCCCCGGGACCGTCGCCCTTCAGGAAATCCGGCGCTTCCAAAAGACAACCGACCTGTTGCTCCGCAAGCTGCCGTTCCAGCGTCTCGTGCGTGAAATTGCGCAGGATTACAAGGCCGACCTACGTTTCCAGTCCACTGCCATCATCGCGCTGCAAGAAGCGACCGAGGCGTACCTCATCGGCCTCTTCGAGGACTCGAACCTGTGTGCCATCCATGCCAAGCGGGTCACGATCATGCCCAAGGATATGCAGCTCGCTCGCCGCCTCCGACGGGAACGCGCGTAGGAAGTGTGGAAGGGGATAACATGTACATTTCCACGACACAACAGGGGTGCTGGATCGGTGGATCGGTGGCTGGGTCGTGTTACTACAGTCTGTACAGGAAGCTATCCGCGATGCACCTTCTATGAACGAGCGTCATTCAAGAGCCGCCACATCCACCTCATCTTCCTTCGATGCTTCCACATGCTTTGTCTATCACGTTTTCGTGGCGACATTTTCGGCGGTGGTGGTCGTACATTACAATTAGTTTCGTACATGACGTACATTCAAATAATATAATCAAGGTAAACCGTATGTCGTACGTACAGGAGACCGTACTTGTAGAGACTTAACCCGCTGGAACATAATGTATCATTGTCGTGACAAGCGGCGCTGCCTCGAAGAACATTCGTGGCATTACACAGGTCGCTGCTGCCCCTGCCGCGGCCATTGTCCGACCTCTCGAAGCTCATCCTCATGACACACAACGACGGAGTAGTAGGTTCATGTGCGGCATCTTGTTCTCACGGACATGCTACGATAGGTCGACCCCGAGGGTGACGACGACTCTACATCGTTTCTCGACAAGGGCAGTCGACGGCGACAGCGACGAGAGGTACAGTGTATGCTTGGCATGTCCAAGTTATACCCTCATAACAATTACTCTAGATGGCTTCTTGCCACTCCAACGAAGATGGTGAAGACGGCGACGACACGAACGATGCGTGGCGTGTCGCCTTCACATCCGACCCCGACTTTCACACTGCACGAGCGTTGCTGCAGGTATGACATGTTCGTCGCATGGTGCAGTAGTATAGTTGCGTGTTTTATAGCGAAAAGGCGACATCAAAGCCCTCACGCATGCGTACATGTGCGTATTCGGCGATCAATTCCTAAACCTCGTCCGGACGATGGTCGAGTCCGAGGTGTCGAATGTGTCGGACGCCCATGCCGTGGAAATGATGCGCGGCAACTCGGCGTGCATGAAGGTCGTCTTCTCCAATCCTCCTTGCATCCATCCGTCCATCCTCTTGATATCCTTCGTCATGTCCAGATCCTCAGCGAAGTCGCGTATGTCGTCGGCACCGACTACCTGCGCGACGTCTTGGCCGGCCCCATGGCCGTGCTCTTCCACTTGCAAGACACTCTCGAAGTCAACCACGCGATCGTCCACGACGACATGACCCTAGCGGCGCATCGCGCGCAGTTGGAGTCCCTTGCCCAAACTATCCTCGACAGGTACCAACGCCAGTCCATCAACCTTCCTCTTGATCCATTCGAACGCGTTTTTCAGACTGGTGTGCGCGCCATTTCCGCCGCTGTTGGCGGCGGTGTGTCTGTACCTCCGCCGCAGCGTGGCCACCCGCTTCCATGCGCACTCGGACTCGATCCTCGGCGGGTTCCTCTTCCTCCGCGTCGTGTGCCCCGTGATTGTCATGCCGTGCCGGTCCAGTGTGTTTCCGCATGTGGCCAAGACAAGTCTGCCGCCCCACGCGCTTCGATCGTCCATTCTCGTCGCCAAACTGCTGCAAAACCTGGTATTGTGAATTCGCTATAAACTTGGTTTGGAAATTGGTATCGAATCCTCAATATTGTGTTTATATTACCCAAAATGTTGGTCGAAGAGTGGATAATTTGATTGGCTACTTGATTCGTGTTCTGGGTTTTAATTGGTCGATTTTCGATTGTCTGCCGAGTTGGTGCTTGCGGCTCATTTGATTGAGTACCCCACCCGCCAAAGTTGAATCGACTTACAGATTTGATGAATGTACAAAAAATACTATCGTCCGAGGAGATACACACACAAAACGACGAGTCGGGTATATATATATATATATAATATATATATGTAGGCCAACAACGCGTTCTTCAAAGAAGACTACATGGCGCCGTTCAATCCGTTCATTCGTCGCAACTTTCCCACCGTGGTGGCGTTTTACGACCGCATTTGCGACAGCGTCGACGCTGCCACCTCTCCAACCACCCGCTTGGAAACGACCACGTCACTGCTCACTGCCGACGAAGCATGGAAGGTAGGTAGTGTTGTGTCCTTTTACCCCCCAAAATTTGGTTGACTTTTGTGCTGACTCGCCCATTCTATCAATAATCGACTCTTTGTACTGAATTTTGTATGTAAAATGGTTGTCCTGTGGTGTTTCACACTAATTTCATGCACACACACTAATTCGAAGTTGGTGATTGCAATCGGATTGGCTCAATTCTTGTGCGGATGATTCTTCTGTATATACAGTATGGTTGTGTCGATTCCTTCTCCATATCGCATATCGCTCCAGTTTAGACGACTAAACACCAACCAAAAGTAGTACGATCATCCCGTGAGACGAACCGTATCGCATATTTATGTTGTACATTGGTGCTTGTGATTGAATACTAGTCGTAACAATAGACATGACTGCCGATGTGTAGATCATTCAAGACCATGTGGACCGTCCATTGGAAGTCGCCGTCCGCCCCGCGGTGCGGAGGATGTCGTCGGGGATTGCAGGCGGAGGACCTGTCCGCACGTCGGCGCAGTCGTCCGTGACGTTATCGCTGGATCGACCCAAGCAAAAGCCATCCATCTCGTCCACATCGTGGTTCCATCCTACTTTTTTCCTCAGCCACCGAGGGGGGCCGCCGCCGCCTCCGCCGCCACCGCCGCCGCCCCCCTTGGACTTTCTGGACGACTCAGCCGACCACCGCCGCCGCCACGACTTGATTCAAGTACGTTCGATTCCCATTCAGTTGTTTTTTGTTTGGGTTAAATAGTACGTACGTACGTTGCTTATATTGTGCTTGTATGAAAAAACACAAATTTGACAATTCGCCAACTCTATCGATCGATACGTTTGTATGTCCAGTGTCACACTAAATTGAAGTCACACACTAATTCGATGTTGGTCGAAGAGTGGATTTGATTGGCCACTTGATTCGTGTTGTGCGTTTTGATTGGTCAATCAAATTTGGTTGTTCTTGTGCTCTCATTCGATGGTCTATTTTTCAAATCCACTGAACAATATATCTATCGATAGATGGCCCAATGCGGACTGACCGCACTGGTGGACGCTGTCGGTGGCCATGACGCGCCGGTTGCATTAGACGAACCACCTTGGAATAAGGGCCCAACCAAGCGCGGCGTGCAAGTTTTCACACGTGTCAGTCGACAGTTGCTCGAACTCAAGTACTACTTTACTGCTTCGAGAACTCGTTTGTGAGCAACTCGTCGTAGAGCGTCGGTGGTGGTGGCGGCAGATCCACACACGTGTCTGGCGTTCATTATGGCGCCTCAAGGCCGCGAAATCTGGAGCACATGGGGACACGAAGTCCGGTACACGATATTTATATTCCATAGAGAACTATTTATACAACTGTGTGCTATGTACTGTATATATAATATATATGTATATTTATAATATATCATGGACAACACCCCAACCTGTAATGATACTATGATATATTTATTGATATATTTGTAGGGAACTGGAACGACTGGACAGCACAAGTCGCGTGCTCCACCGTACCAACTACGGCACCAAGTTGCCGCGGTTCTTGTTGTGGTGCTGCATGCAACTTCAGGACGCATGCGAGTTGGAGTCTGTCTTCTATCCCCCTTGCAAGCCCAACCATTCGCCATCCTCATATCCATCTTCCCCGTCGTCCCACGCTCAAAATGGAGACGTCCCTGCCGCCCACAGAACCCTCATGGATCAAGACGATGCTTCTTGGATATGTGCGCTCGTGTTTCAGGTATACAAACGTCTAGTTAGGTTGTGTGTTCAAGTGATGATCTTCATTGGTAGTCGGTGTTCCGTCCAGACTTGCCGCCTGTGGCGGGGGTCGTGCGGTCGTCCGTGCTCAGCAGCGGATTTGTGCTGCAGGTGACGCCGGATAAGACGACTCGAGTGACGTTTACCATTCGAATGGACGAGGACGTGGCCCCTCTGCAAGCCAAGCCGTACCAAAAGCAGCTGCTCACGCTCGCCAAACTCAAACTTGCCATCGAACGATCCACCTAACTGCGACTCTTATCCAGTACTTGTACACACGTTGCTTTCTACAGGCGCTTATGTATTACTGGTAGTACCAAATACAGTACTGTACTACTACGAGTAGTAGTACATTGTTGGGCAAACATGACAATTGTCCACTAGTACTAGTTGGTATTCGATTCATGCAGCACAGTAACGTTAGGTGTAGCATTCTTACATCAGTGATAAATCAAGTCGTCGTCGCTTCGCAATGCCCAGTTGATATATTTGCTTCCACAACAAGCATACAAATATTCATGTTTCTATTTCTTTTTATTCTTTGTTGAATTGGTTTTTTAATATGACGGTGCATACATGCTACAATAATTTGGGGATTTTCACTACATTATTAAGGTGATTTCCAGAGTGATTTATCTTATTGTATTCCCAGTTAACTACCGTATTTGATGTACTGTATGCAACGCGAATATACTTTCTGTGAAGAATTCAATATAACAATGTGTAATTCTCGAAATCAATTATATAAATTGTAATATTTAATAATACATTGTTCTATCCATAAGCTTGGGCGAGATCTCATGATACCTCGTGTAAACATCTACTATTCATAGTATGATACTATCGCCAGTAGAGATAGATCTATCTACTAGTACTTCGATGACAAGCTCCCATGTAATGTAGTATTGGACACTACAAGTAATAACATTGCTATAAAGACATGGTGAACTGAGCGGTGCAGTTCGTTTTGTCCGACGCTTTGAAGGGGAATCCTAACCATCGAAAACATGTTTCTTAGGGCTACGTTATTGCAAACGCTGATATCCTTTGTCGAACCGCTGAACAGCCAAAACCGCTCCGACTCCCAGCACCGCGCCCGCTCCAATGTATCCAGCCACCGCCCAGTTGTTGGCAATGGGAGCTTCGAGCTCGTTGCCACCCGTCGACGCCGTAGACACTTCGTGGCGCTGCTGCGCATCGGTCGGTGTGTTGGAGCTCAAGGAGACCGCGTTGTCGACTTGGGGATGCAACAATGGCTTCAGAAACGCCACCCAGTCGTCGTAAGTCCAGGTGGACTCTGCATTGATAGGCACGTCGTTGAGAAGGTATTGTGGGGTGCCAGAGATGCCGCGGGTGCACGCATGCTTCCATTCCGTACGAGTTTCCGAGTCCCGTTCGGTCCCACCATGTCCGGTCATGCCGTCTTTCCATTGCGCATCCGTGAGGGCTGGGAACGTGGACTTGGCGAGCGCTTCAATCTTGGCCGTCACTTGTTTTTGACCCAAATTTTCAGTCTGCTTGTTCCAATACCTAGATAGCCATGGTGTTAGTCCATATATTCTCCGTTTGAAAGTAGCGACTATTCGAAGCACATTGCGTCACGTACTGGTCTTGGACGTCGTACACGGTTTCCAGCCACGTCGCAAACTTGTCTTGTCCCAACGCATGCGTGATCGTTCGACTTGCTTGGGCGATGGAGAATGCTTGGTGGTGGTATGGCAAGGGGAATTGGTGGATACGCAGTCGGAACTGACTCGACGACAAGTTCCCCGCGAGTTGTTGGAGGGCTGGGTACGCAGCCTTGCTATCGGGGCAAAGGAGGTCGAAGAACACTTCGAGTTGCACTGCAGCATCCGCCGACCCATTACCATACGTGAAGCCGAGAGGTTTTGACGGAATAGGAACTTGTGCGTCGACGACACATGCGACGGCGGCCAACGTCGACACAATCGGAAGCAGCAGCTGCATGACGGCTTGCACTGGACGACTCAAATGGAAAAATGCGAACACTACAGAAGGATCTTCAAATCAATGCTGTGTGATTGGTCGATTTGAATTAAAGTTAGCCAATCAACACCGTGTATTCCGCAGCATCAACTCGAATGACCTTGGACTCCTGCATTGGGAAGATGGCATTGACCCCTGCATCGAACATGTAAGCTCTGCTTGGGCGCAATGCGAGTTACCGTGATAACTGCTAATCCATATGCATGGGGCAATGCTGGTGGTCTTCCTAAGCAAGGCACTGCACCAGTTTGTATCAAGCGGTCCAGCCCAGGCTTCGGACACCATATATCTTTAAGATAATAATCTAGATAAGATAGCAAAAATAATCTATTTCTTGTGTGATGTTGGATGATCTATTTTCTGTGCCGGTTAATATCAAGCTTCATCCAATTATCCTCAACACACCTTCGAAGACGAGCTGACTACTGCTGAGAAGGATGCATTGGTCATGATCCTGTTGGACCCTGGCACTGTTCCAGTCCCCAGCACGCCGTTGAGCTACGCGGACGAACTTTTGGCTCCAAAACGTCACCGCATGGGACCAACAGCAAGCAAGTACAGCTGCTTGAAGTTCCCACGAGCAACATGGATGAACAGCTCTTCAGCGTCGCAAAGTACATCATGACAGACCATAGAAAGCACATGCATCCGGTGAATTTCGAGATGATCATATTCCTTCGCGCGAATGCATCGTATTGGAATGCTTACGCCCTTATGTAATACGAAGTAATAAATTTGAACAATTATCGATATAGATAATCGCAATAAATATATTATTTCGGAAGCCTAATCTAGCGGCATTGGCGGCTGCCCAACCTTGGAAATGCGTGGGAATGTCCTGGTTACTGAAGTCGCTCGGACGTTATTTCAAATGTTGCAGTGGAATCGTGTGGTAAGTACGGCGAAAACATGACGTGAAAGGTTCGCGTGGATGGTGCACGAACGGACTTGCGGATGAGGAACCTACGAGTATATTAATCATGAAATGCTCCGCTCGTCCAGGACATACCGCTGGTTGATGCACGACGACCACGCAAGGCCGAGTGCCGGCATGTTGCCATCGTTGTGCATGTCCGCGGTCATTTGATTAACAACCACGAACACTGCTCGGTATTGCTTGGCGAGGATGTGCATGCAGTGCACAATGTCGAACATGATCCGCGTGCGTTCGCCTGCGTCCGCGGCCTTGTCGACCGAATGACCGCGGAACACCGCGGCAATGGAATCCACAACAACGAGACGCACCCCATGAAACTCCATCAGCGACGGCAATCGAGATTTCTAAGTCGCATGTGAGCTTCATCCAGGAAGCTGGGTAAGACGTGTACCAAGGTATGCAGAAACTGGCCTGGGTCAGTGGCTGCTTCGAGGAAAATGCGATTGAGGCTCACTGGTTCCCCAGAATGTTGCCTCTCCAGTTCCTGGAGACGCTTCATGGGAGAGAGACCGTCCGAGTACATGTAGCAGCTACTCGCATTCAATCCTCCGCTTGCTTCTCGCGGCAGCTGCGCACGCAGCAGGAGCTGCAAGCACAGCTGCGTCTTGCCGCTTCCAGCACACCCACACACTTCCGACACAAACCCAACGCGGAAGCCTCCACGCAATGCGTCGTCCACGTTCACGCATCCCGTTGCAAGGTATTCGTCGTCTCGGTGCGTCGACAGGTCCCATACCGTCTGCCCTTCCATGTAGTTGCGTGTAGAATTGAACGTTTTTTTATTACTTACTAATTGTATACCTATTTGACTTCACAATAAAATGAATGTGATCAAATGGCGCAATTTTTATTTATTTCTTTTTCACGTACTGTCAAGATATGTTTGTTCCCAACTCATTTTTCAACCACACACAAAAAGCTATATAATATATATATATATAAACCATCGCGGCCTAATCGTATTATATCTACAAGCAAGTCAGTCTTCTATCTACGTTGGTCGACACAGTTTGTTTACAGCTCGTCCTTCTTGGGCGCTGTCTCAAACTCGTCTTCTTCTTCCTTGACCACGACCACATCAGGGTCTTGGGGAGTTTCGCCGGTCGCGACGTCCGTGATGGGCGTCGCCGCCGCCTCGCGCGGGACTTCCTTCTACAAATTAAGGTCAGATAGGTACGTACAATCATGGACGGCGTTCGCACCACGATCGGGAGGGGCACTTCTTGCGAGCGGATGGTCACAGAGGACGGGTATTCTTCGCTGAAATGCACCGTGAGGTTGGTCGCCTTGTCTGCGACGCGGTTGTCAAACGTGGCAGTCTCTTGGCCGACAATCGAGACGCGGAATTGATGCTGGTGCGGCAAGAAGTACGACGTCGGGTAAAAGTTGAACGTCGCTTCGTACACGACACCGGGCTCAATCGTCTACATCCAATCGATCATGCACCATATATATATATATATATGCGACATCGTTCTACATATCAACACACACACATACCCGGGACGCGTCCTTCTTGAACGTGTGCAGGGGGTTGCCAGGGGCGATGGACTGATGGATCGGGTTCAGCACGGCTTCCGTGATGTACGTGGTGCCGCCGCGGACCTTGGTCTTGGTGGCCACCATGGTCGAATGCTCGATGGGCGCAATGTTGTTGTAGTCTTCCAAGTACGCGATCAAGCTCACACCGGGCGCGTCCACGGAGAAGAACACCTTGACGGTCATTTCGCCGGTCGCTTCTTGCTGGTGGAGTGGCGGCGTCGTGAATGAAATCGCCTTCTTCGCCAAGTCGTCGCGGTTGTGCGAGTACGTGGGCTTGTTGAGGAAGATATGGTCCATGGAATTCCATCGGTTGATCACGCTCGGCTGCGAGTTGAACCCCGCGGCAAACTCGGCGGTGGCCGCGCCGTCCACGACGTCGGCCACGTCTTCGACCAACGTGTTGTTCAAGCTGAAAAAGTACGTGTGCGCTTCGTCGATGGACGCGGGGGGCCACTCGGTGGTGCTGCGCCACTTCCCTTCTGCCAGCGTGTAGTAGTGGATGGGGTCTTCGGTTTCCAACTGCGACAAGACCGCGCGGTCGGCGTTGTACAAGTGGTAGTCAAAGAAACGCGAGATCTGCTCAATGTGCTCAAAGCATCGTGTCTTGCTCTGGAATACACACATTCACATCATGAGGAACGATGACGTGGCAAGATAGATGAAGCTGCTGCTGCTTCTTGACGTACCTCGGCATATGGGTCGATATTGTCGACGTTCGAGTGACTCCACGGGCCCAAGATCAAGCTGTACTGGGTCGACGCGACCGTCTTGGCCGCAAGCGGAGACAAACCATACGCCAAATGCGATTCATCGTCCAAAGTACCAGTCAAGTAACTATGCAACACGTGAGCAAAAGACTCGCATCATGCTGGACCAAGGACGAGTGTACCGGTGCAAGAGGATAGCCGATCGAGACGAGCCCATGTCATAGTACCCGGCCATGTTGAGCACAGGGATGTCGGTGTCGGCTAGCTTTTGAAACAAGCGAGGGACGTTGATCTGTTCAAACGTGCGGTCGAGGGAAGACAGCCTACGTACGATATAGTCCAACGATGACGACACATCGGATTCAAACATATGAAAAAAGACGGCGTACTTACTTGTCGTCACGGAAGAGAATGTCTTTGGTTTCGGCATGAAAGTTGCCGTTATTCACGTGTTCCGCGACGGCGGCGGCGTGGACCTACCGAAAAATCATCTCCCATCAGGTCAAGCAAACGATGATGGGATAAATTATAGGTGCACACGCACTTGAGGTTCACTCTTGTTGACCGCGGCGACGTTGCCACCAAAAGTGCTCATCATGAGGCGAGACTTCAAGTGCGGCACTTGGTCCCACCGCTTGTTGGCGTCCGTGGCGGCAGAAAAGCCAGAGTACATGGACGACGCGCGGTAGTTGTGCAGCCCGCCGGGGAAAAAGGCAGAGTCGTACAAGTCCAAAGGTACACCATGCAACACCAGTGCTTTCACCGCCGTGTGGCCGCTGGTCGCGGCTACAAGGGCAGACACCCCGTCGGTACCAAAACCAAACAACGACACTTCGCCGTTGGACCAGTCTTGCTGAGTGACCCAGTCAATAACGTTCTTGGCATCGACCGCCTCTTGATCGACAAAGTCAAACTCCTTCGCGCCAAACGATGCGCCGGTACCGCGGATGTCCACGACGAGCCACGCGTACGACGTCGTGACAATGCTACACGAAAAACATGTTTATGAGAAATGGACCACTTCGATCGATATGGCGTGACACGTACCGAGGGATGTACGAGCCCGTACGGGGGTTGATAAAGTCGCCACCGGCGGTGATCGATGACAGGGGAAAGTCCAAGGTGTAGCCACGTCCGTGGCGGGTGAAATGAATGACGGTGGGTTGCTTGAGGTCGTTGTACGTGGCTTGTTCAGAGTGGTAGAGGTCGGCGGCCAATTGGGTGCCGTCTTCCAACGCGATGAAATGTGACGTGCGTTGGATCGACTTGGGGTGGAAGAACGGGTCCGACTCGTACGGCTTGCCGAGCCACGTCATGTCGTTCACGCCTTCCTTGCACACGGCGGGAGTCTCAAACCCAAAGTACGAGTTCACTGCATTCTGCACCACCACCATGAGGACCATGGAGATGATCATATTTGACATGAACCCCGACATCGTGACGAGCTACTTGCGGGCCAGGAGGGGACTTTGGAAATGGCCACCATACAAGTGGATTTTTCCCCACCCGATCAGACCTTATGGTCCGTGGATGTATTCATTTGTACAGGTTCTGAAATAAAAGTTGAAGTTCGTGCCATGTGGCGATTTGAGCCGCCAATCAGAATCGTCAATCGGCGGCCATCCCTGAATCTGGTCGCGGTTTTCAATCGTTTTTACTATTGGTAGTGCTGTATTGGTATTTATTTCCTCGTCCTCGATGATGTCACGGCGCCATACGGAATTACCTGACAAGTGACCGACCGTCGCGGTGCTTTGGACGCGATAGAACATGCAAGGACACCAACACCAGTTTGTGCCTTAAGAGGAGACATTGCGGGGTTCTAGCGACGTCAAGTGATGGTTTCTTCTACATTGAAGTGGCAAAACGCCTTTCTATTTGGGCAGAATAAGCCAGGTGTTTGGATTGGCCAAAATTAATCGCCTGTATCCTATTCTATTGGCCTTTCTATTTCGGCAGAAGAATACGGAGTTTGGATTAGCTCAAATTAGTCAACTTTTGGCCTTTGCCACGGTCGGATTGGTTCATTTGAGGGTGTCGAGTTGGTGTTGGCAGCTTTTGATTGGTCATAACCATATTGAATGACGGATCACGCCTCCTGTATTACGTCAACGTGTCTCTTGGAATAGACATACAATGCGTAGACCAATCATTTGCGAATAATTAGCTCACAATGTATCTTATCCACCAATCAAATATGTACGAAAAAATCCACCAGATACATCGCTGAAATTGGCAAGGTACACTCACTGTCCTTCGAGCACCGAGTACGGAAGGGAAATGTGGTATGCGCCACCACCTCGATACCGTCTACAGAATGTACTAGTAGTAGTTTACGTTAACTCAAGTCCATACCGGTACTCTGTACAGTGAAGGGACTCCGTGAATGCGAGCGTACAAGTATGAGGTAACGCACGGACGTACAATCGCAACCTTGGGAGAGGCAACGACATGGAAATTCATGGCGCAGGCACGTCGTGGAACTACGAATCCTGCCTAAGGTAGCCGATGCAACTTATATTTAAGTGTACAAAAGAAACAGTTTCACAGTTGATTTCCCTTGTCCTTATTATTAATAACTCTAAGATATACTTCGAAGTATTTTAATATATCTTAGAGTTATTAAAATAACTCTAAGATATATTAAAATACTAGTAATAAGAACAAGGGAAATGATTTCGTAAGCAACACTGCATTTAACTATTTAAAAAATAGTTAATTGCAGTGTAAACCAAAATACTCATTCCAGCGCATAACCCACTAACATTAGTACAGTACATGTAGCAATCAATACAAGGGGAGTCCGGGGGTTCCGAAGTTACCAGGGTTTTGAAGGGAAACGATTACGCAAGCAACGGCGGAACTGTTGTTCTGAGGGTATGATTCCTTGTAGTACGTACTCGCCACCATGCATGAATCGAACGCTCGGTGACTGGGACGGTACATACATACTGTCACGATGGGGTTGTGTACCACTGTGAGATACTCGAGGACACCACCAACAACCCTCCAAAGCTCGTTTGGCTTCCATCTTACACACTACTTACTACATAACGTTACTTCGATGTATGTGTTGTTTGCTCCATCTTGCTTGGGCATCGCATGGCATGTGTGTGTCATGCCATCCGATCCAGTGGCGCAATTGCAGATTCGTTGGCGCCATGGTTTGGTGTGCCAAAAACGACCATACTGAATGGCAGTGGTTTTGGTTTCCGTTTTTCGATTAAACTATTTCATACAAACGCCAAGTGTGTGTGTCGTGCCGAAAATAATTACTTCAGCAACGGACTTCGAACAAGAGGAGCGCTCGACACGCACTCACCTCCCGCCGCAATGATCCCGGCACCACATTCGGCGCTCTCACAGGCGCCGATGTCCGTCTCACGAACACTCTATCTCACAGATGCCCAGCAGACAGACATGTACGTCCATCGTCATGCATGAGCTTTCTCCTGACCTGAGACTCAGATACCATCAGTCGCGCAACCACGCCGTGTCCTTTCTCCAGAACTCGCTGAGCGATTTGCATGAATGGGAGTTCATCTCCGAGAAGAAGAGCGTGCAGTTCTATCGCAAGAAAAGCAACGACGGGACGACGTACACGATCAACGGCATCACACGCATCGTTGCCGACCTCGACGAGACCATGCGCACATTGTACTGCGACAATTCGACGTCGTTGAGCGATCTGTTCTCCCAACTACATGACGACGCCTTCGCCGATGGTGCCGTCCTCGCTGCATTGCCCGGCAAGCGCGACCCTTCTGGTACCGTTGAATGCCAATGTCGACCGCTGACAGTGTGCATGCAGGGATCTGCCGGGAGCAATGCAGCATCAAGACCCTGTCCTTCCGTCCGTTCAACGCGATGGACAAGGCGCGCCAGTACACGGTCGTTGACTACTGCACCATTCGCACGGGCAAAACCGATGAAGGCGGTAGCGTGGACGCCACCGACAACCGCCTCGGCATCCAACTCATGTACTCGACGGACGCCGCAGACCCCGCGAGTGCGTCGTCGCGGCGTCTCGCGTCATCGTCTTTGGTCCACGGTGCCTCCCAATCCACGGATGCCGAGTCGAATACCAGCGCGAGTCAGCTGCTTCCGTCAGGATTTATCGTCTACCCCACGGCGAAGAAAGGGGTGCTGGAAGTGATCTTCTCGTGGTCTGCACACGACCCGCGCGGCATTTCCCGCGGCTACAAGAAGAGCATCCTCAGTCTCGTGGCGAGCGTCGCGCGCCTCGAGAACATCTTCCTCGCGCTTCGGATCGCCGCCGCCGGGTTCATCAAGTCCAAGAACTGGGTCAGCGACAAGGAGCGGTCCTATTGCTTCATCTGTCGCGAGTCGTTTGGCGCATTCCGCCGCCGCCACCACTGCCGCCTCTGCGGCGACATCACGTGCTCCAAGTGTGGCACCCTCACCGCCGTCAAGCTGCCCGTTGTCGGCCTCTGCCAAGTGCGCATTTGCATGCGCTGTCTCACGGAGAACGATTCTTCCCGTATCAACGTCAGCTTGCCGCCGTCCACGTCGTCCGGAGTCGGCACCGGCCCGCGGTCCACCTCGGTCACCCAGCGCTCGTCGGCTGGTATGTACCACATCAATGCCGAAACCGCTTTACTTGTGCATGCTATATGGTCACTCCATTCGTATGTCTTGTCAGTGACATGTGTTCGCTTGTGTGTGCATGTTTGATGTGGGAGAATGAATATATGGGTTGGTATATCATTGTGGATTCGATACGAATTTCCAGACCTCGTCGAATCGAATCTCGCTGCCTGAATTCGAATCACGAATCGACGCTACTGGCTAATCCATTTTTGAGTGGATTTGATTGGCTCTTGCAAAAAGGACAAATATATTCAACCAATCAGAACGCCAACGTGAATCAATCTATTGATATTTGACAAACCACGCGAGTTTTGCAAGTTTATAGTGAATATTCACAATATTATGAATGTCCGATTGGACGACACAAAGGATGACTAGGTGGTGTTTATAAACCACGTCGAGTTGGTTGCTGGTGCCACGATGAAAGAAACAAGTGTTGATTCCCAAATATCTATATATGTCCAGGCAGCCAGCAACTCCAAGTGATGGAACGTCTGTCGCATGGCATGTCGAATCTGTCGGCCGTGCCGACGCAGCATCAGATTGATTCTGACGAGGACGAAGACCCAGGGTACGGGTCGCTGCAGTCGTCGACTGTCCTTGGTGGATCCAGGTAGCCAATGCAACCCTCGACCACAAATAGTCGTTCCTCTAAAGAGTGGATGAAATTCCCGACTCCCTCGACACTATTTATGGTCATTTCACGGTACTCATGAGAATTGTAGTTCGATGGACTCGTCGTTGTCGTCCACGTCGAGCTACATGGGCGGCTCGTTCCAGCATAGCAGCCTCAACAGCTCGTCTCGCCTTGCATATACTACCAACAGTGGCAGCGGCATCATCGACGAAGACGACGAGACGCAGTACCGCCACCGCGCCGGGTCCAACGAAGGAGTCCAACGACCTCCGCCACCCCCCCGACGGTCTGGGGGCGGAGCTGTTCCCCTCCCGACACTGTCGGCGTCGACGCAGCTAACCCACGTCAAACAATTTTCGTATCCGCTGCATTACACGGACGGGCAGCTATGGCCCCTCGCGCCCATTCCCACGGAAGAAGCGTCGCGCTTGCGCAAATTGGACGACCTCGCCATCCTCGACACCCCCCAAGAACAAGTACGTACATATATCCATTTTGTGCGACGTGGTTGAGTTCTGTGATAGGAATACAATCACATTGCCCAAAGCGCCGCGGAAGCGCTGCACGCGTCGTTTGGGTTTATCAGTTTCATCGACGCCAAAAGGGAATGGGTCAAGGCCTCGTACGGCAATGGCGCGGGGGCCAACACAAGCATCGCGCGCGATGTGTCGCTCAGTGCTCACGTCATCATGTCGTATGAAGTACGCCCCCTTCCGATATATATATATATATATATATATTGTGCTTTCGAGTGAAATTTCGTGTTGTGGCGTGGTTTCTCGTTGGAATTTAAATCGATTTGATTGGCTACCTCAGATGAGCTCAAAATTATGAACCAATCAAAACATTCTCAATGAAATTCAACAACCAATCAGATCTATTGTGGATCGGTTTGGTTGGCGCGATTCGATTGCACCCCCAAACTTGTATCAAATCGACAATATATATATTAATTTTTTGCGCGTCCAAGTGGAGGGATGAAAACGAGCACATACTTATGGGACCATGGTGCCTGTTTGTAGGTGACGGTGGTGCCCAATATGACTGCAGACGTGCGCTTCCGAGATAATCCGTTGGTGCTGGACGGGATCAAATTGCGCAGTTTTGTGGGGTATCCCCTCGTGACGTCGGACGGGTTCATCGTCGGAGTGCTCGGGGTCGCAGATACGCGGGTACGTCCATATGTGGAGTAGTACGCTATATTTAGTGTGACGTTGCTACAGATTCGTTCTTTGCCCCTGTAATGTATAGATATAGAGTATAATTGATTCTGAATGATGATTGAATCATATAGCCGCGGGAAAATGTCACTGTACGACACGTGGCCCAGCTCAAGCAACTGGCGACTCACGTGTCTCGCGTACTGGAAGAACGCAGCGGGTACCAACCCACCGGTCACCAACAACAACACCACCATGTGTACGATTCCGCCGCCCCCCAAGCGCACTCGCAAACGTACGTACCCACCCTTGTTGGGTCAAAACCTCGTTGCTTAGCAAAATGGTATATGTGTAGGTATAATGTGGCCACGACGCAGTCGACGATCCACAACACGTTGCTGGATCTGCTCAAGAAAACGGAAGCAACGGGCAAAACGCTTCAGCAGACGCAGCAGAGCATGCTCAATGCAACGGGGCGACCACCTCAATCATAGAGTACTGAAAAGGCACGGCACCTTCACCATGACCACCCACGCACGTTTTGGATGATCGTACTAGTAGCAGTAGTAGTGTTATGTGTGTGAATATTGCTTGGTCAATACAATGCACAGCTGGGGCTCTGCCATCTTGGTATGTAGTGCGTACGATCAAAAGACTTAGTAGTGTTTTCATCCCACCACTTGGATTCAAATTTGTACGATCTACGTGACGTTTTGCAGATCGAAGTACCTCGAGTGCCCGTTGATTTAAAGCTCGTTCAAAGTGGAATTGATTCGAATGATGTCATGTGCCAAGTGCAGCACCACGCGACGGCCTGGCATGGGAAGCCACTACCATAAAGGACGAATAGATTGCCCGATATCAGAGAATGGCCCGAATCACTTTTATGACGAAATCTATTTAATTACTTAAACTATCGTGAAATGGTTGTTTCATATCGACAATAGAATTATACGCCCACTGTTTCGCAATGCAGCGTAGTATTCACAGATACTATTAATAGTTAAGGTCATACGTATCTACGGATCTTCTCCAAACTCACAATTTTGACTTTGACCAGCAATAACTTGAGGCAGTACACCGCACCCTTCAAATCTTGCGCATACTCACAGTCAATATCATGTTGAACGTTCAATCTTATTGAACTCCATCATTGAAAGTGTCGTCCAAACCGTGATATCTGTTGAACGATGAGATAAAGCCCAAAACGAAGAGTTGCGCACTGCAACTTTCACGTCGAGATAATTGCTGAAGTTCACCAGATCAAACTCGGCAAAATACAGATTCGTTATCCTAATTATGTACAGTTTCCTGCTGCCCCCAGCGTCCGTCATGACCATTATTTTTGGCAGCAATCATTCATGAATAGCACGCGGCCAAAATGTCCTGGTCACATTTACTGTTAACTGCGTGTCGTCGTCTACCTCCCGTGCGACTGGCGAAAGATCAGCGGGGTACTCGGCAAGTTCCAAACATGTGACGTTGGCAACCAAACGACCGTCCGTGTTGTTGAACACCACCAACGGAAGCAACTATGGCAACGACAGACCCGGCCCACCCGGCCCGACTTCGTACGCAGATAGCCGACGGTGCAGCAGCTCAGCCATGGCCACTTGGTCGTTGAAGAAGAACGAGAACTGCCACATCACGTCCGTGTAGACGAAATGCTCGCGTAGAAAGTGCAACAGCACGACATACGTGGCTCAGTCTTTGAGTCGCCACTCCACTGCCTCCCAATCGATGGTTTCCAGCTTTCGTTGGGCCTTCGAGAACGTCAAGAGCGTGTCCAAGCTGCCGCGCGACCACACGCCTTTCCACAACGTGATGTCGACCGTCTTGGACTCGGCCACGACGGAAATGGTGCTGGGGGCGATTCGTCCGCCCACCGCACCGTTTGGCAGTGAATGGCCACGTGGGCGGCAAAGTGACTGAATGAGCATCCAGCTTGTCCATACCCCACTTTCTACAGAAACGACCCTCGAGTAGTTTTGGATCGTACGCACTGACACTTGACGACGGTCGTGTACCCCATGATGGCGATGGTACTTAACATCCAACACAACAACTTCAGCATTGTCAATGAAAGTAGACTTTGTGTACCTCGGTTTGCAATACATTTTGTTGCCCATTTTGATGCCGTTGGAAGGATCCAGCGGGAGGGCCGTGATGCAGTTGGGCAAATGGAGGGCCGACAGCACCGAGTTGGTTCGACACTACGCTGTGGACAAGAGCCATATACGTCAACATCCAATGTGCGGCTGTAAGCGAAGATGGTAGCTACTTCATGCTGCTACCTTATCAAACATCCTGCTTGTGCCTGATGCGGCGGTAGATGGACGAGATGGCGATCCCGAAACTGCCGACGACGGTGGTGACGATGGTCTCGACCAAGTACTGTAGGTCAAGACCGGTGGCGTCTCTTCGGTGCACGACGTATGTGGTGCGAGTCGTACAATCCGATGTGCACAACGTTAGTGTCGTCGAATTCTCTTTGGCAAACTCAACATGAAAGCGTCCACAAATTAGAGTTTGCATTCACTTAATCTTAGATTCCACTTTGCCCTGGACTTTGCAGCAGAGTCTCTATTAATAACCTGGCATTCAGAACCACCTTGACAGCTTTCCACGGCGACCTCATGGCTAGCGTTGCTGCAGCCTATTTCACGCCCGTACGTAGCCTGTAGTATACTTGAAAATGTCGTTGAGAATAATCCCGAAGGACCAACGCACACCTGTTCGCCGCACCTCCGCTGCAAGGGGCAAGAGGTATAGTAACACGAGCGTCTCGAAGCGCAAGGCGATCAAAACGTGGCGGGTCACGGTGCTGCCAGGGCTGATCATGTTCCTTTGTACGCTGGGGCTTATCTTTCTCTCCATCTTTCTGCTGTTCCTGCTCATCTCTCAAGTACGATCTATACACTTCTCGCCAAATTATATCATTGCGTTGCAGGGCATGTTCAAGCGGCAAGTGGTCACTGTGAATGCCCAGCTAGCAGACACGTACTTTTGGACTCCTTATGGTCAGTCGTGCGTCCTCACCTCGGCTGGCTTTACCCCCAACTCGTACGACTGCTCGGCACTATCACCCCCCACTTCATCCTCATCGTGTTTCTGTAGTTGCGACGCGGACACAACCAGTATCATTCCGAATAAGCCGTTCACGGTCGTCGGTTCCGAATTGGCCAAACAGTGGGCCGCCGAACTTACTCAAGGTAGAATTCCGCACCTCCAAAGTGCAATGACCATTGCACTTTTTATACGTGGCAGCCGGAGGGCTGTTGTACGTGACCACGTGTATCATTGGCGGTACAAGCAACGTCGGGTGGACGAATCTGCAGTTCATCGCTGGGTACTGTAGACGTCATAAGGAGTATGATTTCGCCTAATGAAGAAGGTATTGGTCGTAGCTACGACTATTTTCCAGAGTGTCTGCCTACGGAGCCGCAAGATGTGGCCGGCATGGCCATGCTCGAGACCACTGTGCGTCCACCTGTTTCTACGTTGGGTCTCAACAGTGTCGACATGTAGATTCGCGACACCCACGTCGACGGTCTCTACTTTCTCACGCTGTACGCAGACCTGGACCCGTCCATGGTAGTTATTCCAGCGACATGTTCTGGTGTTGTTAACTTGCGATGATTTAGACTGTGTATT